CCAGCCCCGTTCCGTACAAAGCATATGAAATCATAATCATCATCGCGTCGGATAACCCACTCGCTAAAGTCTACTGAGGATGCGTGCCGAGTTCTGATCCGTTCGAGGGCAAGTACTTATCACGACCATTGGAGTAGTATCTAATGGTATTGATGATTTACTTGGATGAGCATCAATAGTGTCGTGACTGATCCAAATATTCAAAATCATCAACATCATCGGTCATCAGCATTAATGCCGGGGAGGGGTGACAGAGGATGTGGTGTGGTGTGTTATGTGTGTCATTAATCATCTTCATTCCGACACTGCATGCAATGAATGAATGAATCAATCAATGGATCAATGAATGGAATGAATAGACACATTGATCTTCGGCATTCGTCACCCTGTCTGTCTGTTCATCCGCTGTAATGTATGTATGTACTGTACCACGGTGGGAAGACTGATGGAGACAGGAAAAAGCTGCGACGCGTCTTGTGTTACGGGGTCAGTCAAGTCACCGTTCAGTGTTCATCACGGGTCGCGCGCCAGAGTTCAGTAAGTACTTTCCGGCCGTGTTGGATCTAGCGTCTTTTTCTTTTCCCTTTTTCTTTTGCAGCAAATGCTAGGGGACCCTGAGGTGGCAAGTGAGGTTGGAGGTTGATAGGAGACTTGTCTTGTCTTGGACCGAGCACACTCTTCCTCCCTTTCCCCCTTCTTCCTGCTTGTTGTTCAGTTTCAGGCCTACAGCCCGCTTGTTGATGCCTGCGTTAGTTAGAAGAAATAAACGTTACGGATGATATTCCTTTCCACCATAAACCCCCTCATCCATGGAATCACAATTTCCTTTTTTGGGCCGAAGAGAGAAAAAGAAAATAAAAAATGGTTCTTGATTAAATGTACAATGAAAGCACTCACTGTACTAACTACAACTACAATGACTTCTTAACCGAAGAGGAAAAAAAGGAAATCCCCACGAGCAGCCAGCTGACAGGGAACCCAGACCCGACAGCCGCCGTCGCCCTGTGTGTATGTGTGTGTGTGCCTTTCATAGTGAATGTTGGTGTGTGTGTGTGGTGTTGCCCGTGTGGACTTTCTCTCCTTTTCTGCAGCAAGCAAAGTTGAATCATGACCAGCAGACAACACGCTTATCATTTTCACGACCCAAAAAAAGCACACCAGTGGCGGAAGACAATAAAATGGATCGGATTTGGGAATACTGACCACCAGCGTGCGCGTATTCAGACTTTCTGGTCAAATCCGCCCGCTTCCCCCCTCCTCCCCTCCAGTGCAGGATCGGAGGAGCTTTCTTTCTTCGGTTCCGACCGACTAAAGATGGACGGAAGATTACGACGGGGCGGACGGAGTATGACGGACGGTTGAGCTGGCGAAGGGAAGGGAAAGAGGGTGAGGAACCTCATGGACAGGCCAAGACACATAGATACTACTCGTACTAATCTACTTACTCACTTTCCGTGATGGAACCTGGCAAAGGCGGGCACAGACGCCTGGGCAGACAGGCCAGGCTGGTAGACAGCCGAGCGAACACTGGACAAGCAGACCAGTGTGTGAGAGCGCCGCAGCAAAGCACAGCAGCGCCAGCAACTAAGTTACTAAGTAAGTGATATGACGATGGAATCTCCATTGGTTGGGCGGGTTAATTGTGGATAATCCTACATAGTTAATCTCGTCGTCTGAAGTTGGCTGTTAGTAGTCTTAAACTTGAGGCAGAGCCGGTCGGCCCCGCGGCCATCATCGATTTTATTCTTGTCGTAATAGTCGCCCCAATCGGTCACAAGGAGGGCGTGCAGGGAGCAGGAGCAAGAGCAAACCTGAGAGGAGCGCTTATAGGTAGGTAGTCGCTACGGCTGCTGTCGCTGCTGTTAAGTTGCTGCTACTGCTACTGGCAACTGCGGCTGCTCCTGTCCGGCTGCTGAGCCCTAGCCTACAACTGACTTAGCGTAAGTATACTACTACTAAGGTACACTCAAACAACCTTCTCAACTCAACTTTCCAGGCTCAGCTTTGCCTTCGGGTTTGGCCTAGTGGTAACTAAATGGACACCCACTAAGGTGGAAAGAGAGGCACGGAGGAGTAGTCCAGTCAAGTTCTTGGGCCGTCCGCCGCCAAAAGGATTGGGTTGGGAGTCGAACCACTCCAACCTGCAGCGATTGGCCTGCCCATCAGTCGGGGTCGTCAGGTTTAGTGGCAGTGCGGTGATTGGCCTTTCACTTTCGTTTACGCCTCGCTGCTGGGTCGCTGGGGATGCAACTTCTCTGTGACCACTCATATCGGGCCATACTAGCTTACAACAGTGGCCTCGAACCAACCCCAGTGCGAGACCCAAAATACCTTACATGCCCTACATCATGTCTACCTACATGTGCGCATCACTACCACTCCTCCCACTCCCTCCGAGGTGGATAAGACCCAGGTGAAGATGTTGCCGGTAGTAAAGTTTTTTTCTCTTAGCCTCATTTGGAGCTTGAACAGCGTCGGACATTTTCAACATCATGTCTGTATGCGGTCGAATGGGGTACAAAGTTACCTCAGCCCGGAAGCTGGAGGTACTTTGTTCACTTGGATTCTGTGTCGTTTACTCCGAAGGAGTGAGTGTGTATTACTGGTACCGGGCAGAATTTGTTACCTCTTGCAGAAGGGGAGGCTTGACCGGATGCAGTTAGTGGGGAAACGATTGTCCAACCGCCAAGGTTCTTTTCATACCGCACAGCCTTTGCGAACCCGTTCCATACCTGACACCGCGCAGCCCCATATTTGACTCCAGGCTCTTTTCCCCATGACAACGAAAAGAGCGAATTAGCCCATGATCCATACCTAGAACTCACTCCTACCGACCACCGGCACCGGCAACACACACACCCTTGCCATCGCTTGTACTAAGCAGACACCACCTTGCCGACCAACAACTGTGCCAGAATCTACCAGAATTAATTATGAATAAATCATAAATCATAAATTATAATCATTTCTGGTTGGGATCCGGAGGCCCTGACTAATAGATTGGCGCCGCGATGTTCCTACATAGTACTGTACACTACGTACCAGAATAGGCTGTGTGGCCACAGGTGTTCAACTTGTCCCAGCGTTCAACCTTCCCAGTGTCCCTACTACTGCCGTCCTCATAGACTACCTCTGGACCTGGACCGACCTGACTGGAGTCATGTCCATTGATTCAGCTGCACACCGTAAACTGTAAACCAAGCCGAGAAATTTCAAGTGGATTGAGAGTAGAGTGAGTAAGTGAGTAAGTGCGTGTGAGTGGCCTCTTACAGCTTCCATACGCAGCGATCCATATTTCCATCCATGTCCCCGCCTCTCCGGTCTCTGCCTCTCTCTCTCCCTTTTTCTGCCCCGTCCCCAGCCCATTACCATAACTGGTAGGGAGTGCAGTGAGTGTTCCAGCTTAGGTGCCGATGAATGGGATGGGATGGATGGGAGGGCCCCAAGCACGCCGCAGAGGCATGATCTTGTAACAATTGTATGATGTTTACCACCTTACCACCTTACCACTTTCCATTCCTCCCCCACCAGCCCGAAAGTGCCGTACTTTCCCGTACCTGAACTTGTCCTCATTCCTTCGCCTTCCGTCTGGTTGAACTAGAACTGGCGATCAACCACATTCAGCGTGCACAACCCTCCCTTCGTCCAATTTCTCCCGTGCCTCCCGGGGCTGCTGAGCAATGCCACACACACACACACACACTTACACTCTCTCACACCTCCCTTCTCCCTTGAGGTGCGTGGGTGGGCAAGTCACTTTTGTTTCCCTTCCTTTTGTGTTCATCTGTTCTTTTCTTTTTCTCTTAAAAAGAATTGTTACATGTTCTATTAATCTCTCTTTTGGGGTTGCTTGACTCGTTGCTCGCATTTGTTTGTCTCCACAGAGGCATCTTACAGTGCTTCTCTCCCTAAAATTGTCGGTAGACTGTAGTCTAGTGAATGACCAGTTAAAAAGGTTTATTTTTTTTTTCTCTTTAAAAAAAGAAAAGGAATTACACTTGAACGGCACACCATGACGGTTGCAATGTGACGCTAAACCCAACTTATTATTGGATCTGATATGGGTCCTTCTACGGAGTTAGCAGGCACGTATTATTCCAAGACCGCGAGGCCCTTCTCTCTTCTCTCTGTCCAAACTTTCACACTTCCACCCTTCCACCCTTCCACCCCTCTTCCTTTTTCCTCCTCCCTTGCCCGAATCGGTAAAGTGACCTACAGACCGGGCCTCTGCTACTCGAGAATCAGACTCAACAACGCTGGGACTGGTCTAGGGCTGCTGACCTTGTTACCCTTCCACTACTCCGTAGCATGCATCCACTTTGTCCCCCCTCCCCTCTCTTCCACTACTCCTCCCCTCCCCCCCTCTCCCCCCGTGGCTCTGACATCAACCGGTATTTCATTCTCTTCAAGACAAAGCAGAGACAATCAAACCTGGTCAACCAAACGGGACCCGACCCAAACGAGGCCAGAAGGGAGGATCAACCCTCTGGACCTGCGTCCGGGTCAAACTTTGTCTCTCCTGTATGGACACAGCACTTTCTCCGGACGAAGAAACTAACCTACCCTGGCTCTTCTAGCGGAGTTGCTATGAAGTTGATTAGTTATTTGCCGGATGGAGGATGATGTCTTGACCTCATCCTTCCTCATTAATACTTTTCCTTCTTTTACTTTTTCATTAACCCCCCCAATTTATTTTATTTTATTTTATTTTATTTTTTTTAATTCTCCATACTGCCTTATCCAATTTATTTCAATCTCCTATATGGGTTCAATTCAATCCATTCGAGGTTTCAACCATTTTTTATAAGATTAACTCCTTTGACTTTCCTTTATCATCATCTTATTGCCGTATGTTCAAGTTTCTTGGATATAGTTCGGATCTATAACTGGTTGTGCTTGCAGGATCTAGGACCTGAGCCTCTCCTTCCCTATCTTTCAGGTCACTGCCACTTCTACTATAATCAACTTGTTGCTACTGCCTTGCCATACATACTGCCACTAATATACTATGTGATATTCGTCCGGCCTTGGTTCTGGCTTTCCAATACTTTCACCCCCTTCAGTGCCTTCATTCCATCTGGGAGCAACATTCACCGGATCCGCTACTGTTGCTATCCTACGAATTGCCCCCCTCCCCCGTGCTGTCGTTCTGATATTCGCGGTTCTCGAGCCAACCGAGCCTCCCGCGATTTTGCAGTCAACTCTTGAAGATACAGATTACCCTGGTCATCCGTCGTCTCAAGCCATTGCATGCCTTTCGTACGCATCGAACTTTTGAAGCGTTGGGTGGATTGAGCAACAAACACGACAAACATAATCCAGATCTAGTGAAGAAACCATCCCAATGAGAGTACTGTGATCACAGTGTTATAGTCCTTTCAGCGTCCTGGCTCTTCACCTCTCAATCTTGCAAGTGTTATCAGACCTCAAACGTCCTGCCATATGTCTCTCCCGGTATTTCCACCGCAGCCGTATCTCCCCACACTCCATCCGATCACACCCACCTTAGCTCCCTATCCGCGGGCAGACAGTGCGAGGAAGCGACCCCTCGAGCCGGTGCCAGATATCTCGGACAATTGGACTGCTCCCTTCCGGGACGGTCTGCCAACTCCCCCGAGTGAAATGAACGGGGTTGCTACCTACAACGTCCTCCCCTCGTCCGCCTATGGATCGAAGTTGGATGGGATCACGCTGCCGCCGTATGCCAAAGTATCCGACTATTCGCGCATGAACCTCGATGGAGCGACGGCGATGGTCCCCGCGTCAAAGCCGCAATACCAGCCTCCAGCCAAGGAGAACTCAGCCCGCGAGCCACACAACAGCCAAAAGAAGAGCAGCACCAACTCCGCCGTCTCGTATCTGCAAATCCCAGCGACGATCAACAATAGCAAGGGGAGCCTAGCCGAATTCGCTGCGCAGGTGAGTGGTCTCGTCTCCTTACGGAAACGATATCTATTTCGGCCGGGTAGGCGGGAAATAATGCTAATCGGGGAAAGTAGATGACCTGTCTCTTCTGGTTTGAAAGTGCAGCCAAGTTGACGGCGGTGGAAGATCGTTCACCTTCGGCCGGCTCCTTCGCCCCTGAGACGGTGCCGTCAGTTGGCTTCCAGAAATGGGTGACCAATATCCTCTCCACGACCCAAGTCAGTCAGAATGTGGTGTTGCTGGCCCTCATGTTCGTCTACCGCCTGAAGAAGTTCAACCCCGGAGTGCGAGGCAAGAAGGGTAGCGAGTATAGGTTGATGACCATTGCACTCATGCTGGGGAATAAATGTAGGTTGTTCTGGCAAGAGCTTCTGTTCAATAGCAGAAAGAGAGGCTGATTTTCAACCCCCCTACAGTTCTCGATGACAACACATACACCAACAAGACGTGGGCGGAAGTCTCGGGCATTACGGTGCAGGAGATTCACATCATGGAAGTCGAATTCCTGAGCAACGTTCGTTACAACTTGTTCGTATCGAAGGAGGAATGGGGTAAATGGCATGTCAAGCTGGGACTCTTCGCAGACTACTTCAACAACGCCCCCCGAGCTTTGGAAAAGAGCGACAGACCGACTGCTCCGCCCGCACTTCGAGTTTCCCCCAATCTGGGACCTGTTCCCCGGGCTGCGCTGTGCTCCCCTTCGAAATTACCGTCGCCTCCCGCAAACGACTCTCTGCGATCCCACAACTGGCCTTTGCCATTGAATGCGATGCCGTATGCTGGAGGAGTGTGTCAATTGCCGCCGAGTGACATGCCACTGGCCAACCCACGCAAACGGAGCCGTGACGAGGCGGTGGAGGAGTTGCCGTCCAAGAGAAATACTGCCATGATGTCCAATCTGCCGTCAACTTCCGCCTTGTCCAATATTCCCGCCCTGCCACCCGTCTTGTCATCGATCCCGACATCGACATCAATGTCAATGCCTTCTCACCTTCCGACGATGCCAGAGTCCGTTTCTCGTCTGCCGCGTCCCAATTTCGCCTCTCACAGCCTGCCTCCGGCCATGCCTCCAGCCGTATCAGTGCCTCAGCTGCCCTCGACCGGCCGCGTCATGGCACCAGTCTACGCCCCTCCTAGCACTTGGATCTCGCAGCAGTTGCCCACCACAACGGTTGCGCCTACCGTTCCAGCGGTTCCCCCTCTCACGAGTGCCCTCTACAATTCCTTGCCGGACCCCAGCAGACACCACAACAGTCCGTTTGCGATGTCGTCAGCCACCATCTCTCCCGCCGTCTCTGCCTACTCCGTCACTTCGCAGACTCACCTGTCGCCTTCCTTCTTCCTCGCGAACCGGAACTCGCCTTATCGGCCCGTTCGCAGTGTCAACACCCTTCTGATTCCACCTCCCTCCACCTCCCTCCAGCAGCAGCGCAGCGTCCCTTTCGATCATATGCACTACCAGCCTCTGGGAAAGACTGCCGCAGAGCGCAAGACCGGTTTGCTGCCGTACCTCCACCACGAAGCTTGGCCAACTGGGCCAATTGGCCAGCCAATGTTCCACTCAGCCAGCTTCAACTTTTCATAAATCTCCTACCCTTTCCTACACCACCTCTGAACGCAATTTTACGACTTAACACTTGACGACGATGCATACGAGAAGATCCGACCCTCGCTCTTGTTTTATTCGATTTCCACTTCACCTCCCCAATTCTGCTACCACTCTTATTGTCCCCTTTGTATTCCTGTACAGACTTCTCTTCTTACTTTTTTTTTCTCTTTCTTTTCTTTGGTCATGATCTGGCATGAAGTGGCGGCGTTAGTTTCTGTTTGGACCACTCATAGAAATCGGTTTCTGTTATCTGAAAGACGAATGTTTGCATCTACACTGGGCAACGGGAGGGTATATTTGGGAGTGATTCTTTTCTTTTTTTGCTTGTGGGTTCAGCATGGAATGGCGCTGACTGTTTCTTTCTTCATGGTTATGTACACATGTGGGAAAGCATTAGCATGATATGGGCGTTTTATTCACTAGGTAGCTTCGCTCAGAGGACAGGGTCGGGTTAGGCTAGGCCCTTATGATAAGAATTCATTGAGATACAAAATATTTTGTCTGGTTTATAGAGGAGTGTTTCGCTGTGTTTGAAAGTTCTACTTGACTGTGATGGGACTATCAAATGAGATGATGGAATTGAGTGTAGATGCCGGAGTAACTGTCCTTAGCCAATCTACCTTGAGGGAGAAATTATGCCTCAGGCCGAGTACAGATTCATAGTACAGTAATTCACCAATCAAAATCACAGGATTCCGGGTGTCCGGTCCGACCTTTTTCCGGGATCTGGATGTACTGCCTCAGGCCACGAAACCTCCGTCGGAAAGAACTTTTGATTCTTTTGTTTCCGCGCGGAGTCCCAGCACCACCACACCTCTCTCAACCTCCCTCAACCCGACGACCAACCCATACACGGAGACACACAGAGAGAGACAGCGACAGAAACCGAAAATGCCTCCCCGGCTTCAACTCCTGCCTCTCCAATGGCAGCGAGCCCTTACCTCGACGACGACGACCACTACCACCATAACCGCACCCGCACCCGGCAGCATCACCTCCAACCCGCTGGCCTTCTTCTTCGGCGTCGGCGGTGCTGGCTTCCAACAATCCCGCAACGCGCACATCCTGGCCTCGCTATCCGATACCCCGGGGGCATACCACAAGCGCATCCGCCGCGGTCGCGGTCCGGCCTCGGGGAAGGGAAAGACGTCCGGCCGCGGTCACAAGGGTCAGAAGCAGCACGGTAAGGTGCCGGCTGGGTTCAACGGAGGCACCACGCCGGATATTGTGGTGCATGGTGAGCGGGGGTTTGATAATGTGTATGTTCTCTTGGCTCCCTTGCTGGGAGGTGGTTCCAGTGAGATGGCGTGCTGTGGATGTGTCTCGCAGAGTCTGAGCTAGCTGCCTTTCCTCCAAAATACCACCCACCACCCAACCCACCCCAAAGAACAACCCACCCAAACAAAGCTAACTGGAATATAAATGAAGCCACTCAATCGACCTCGCCCCCATAAACCTCGACCGCATCCAAACCTGGATCGACCAGGGCCGCATCGACCCCAGCCGACCGATCACAATCCGCGAACTGTACCAATCCCGGTGCATCCACAAGACCAAAGAAGGCGTGAAGTTGCTCGCGCGGGGGGTCCCCAAGGACGCCAAAGGCGCGGTCCTTACCCCTTCCTCCCCTTCCCCCTCTACCTCCACCCCGGAGTCCTCTTCTACGGCAGGGACCGTGCTCAAACAACCCATCCACCTCGTCGTCTCGCGCGCCTCCACCGCCGCAATCGCAGCCGTAGAAGCAGCAGGCGGCTCCGTGACGACGCGCTTCTACACGCGGAGCGCGATCCTCCGCATCCTGAAGCGCGAGATGCACCCGTTTGTGTCGAGTGCGTGGACGGAACGGAGCGGGAGTCAGGGGTTGTTGGCTGCTGAGGGCATTGTTTCTGCTGATGGGGCTGGTGCTGCGCAAGGGCAAGGACAACTGGTCGAGAGCGAGATCATGCGCGCTATGGGGTATACCTACCGTTTGCCGGACCCCACTAAGCGTCGGGATATCGAATATTATCGTGATCCTGCTCACCGTGGGTATCTGAGTCACTTGCTGAAGCCGCTTGAGGGCCCGAGTTTGTTCTTCCGGTCGCCTGTTGAGCGGAAGTCTAGTGCTGGGGTTAAGAAGGAGAAGGTTCTGCCTGAGAATAGGCTTTGGTAGTTTTTTCTTACTGGTTGATTGGTTGGGGAATGGGAGAGGGCTGGTTTTGTTTGGTTGAGTATTTGTCTCGTGTATAAATATGTTTGTATGTATCTGGATATGCGATGTTCTTTTTCTGCTTATGAGCTGGGCTTCTGTCCTGTCGGGCCAGGGCTACTGGCGTAAGGTTGTGGCTCTAAGTCTACGGGGACATATTAGATGTGTAGTAGCCAGACATTCTACTGGCAAACATGCAATAAGTGGAGTCATTCTGGATTTCTGACAGACTGCCTTCCTCCACCATACTTTCCTCAGTAATCACGCGGCCACCCGGATATCGATACAAACACTGAGGAACCATAACGCCATGCAATCATCAACAAATTGTCTCAATGCACCAAACCAAGCATCCAGCCGAAAAACGAAAGAGGTATACCGAAATGCGCTCAAATCAAAAACGGAATATATCAGAACCCGCTGTCAACATAAAAGAGGGTATCATGGATGAAGAACTAGCACATAGCAGCGCTAGCCGTGGTCATCTAATAATCATAAGTATAGCGCCATCAACACGGCTTTTCTGCAGCCCTAGACCAAGGGACTGGCAGGTAGTGGAAAAAATTCCTCAAAGTTTCCAAAAAGACTCAGTGGGGCTGCCGTCGGCGTTCTGAGAGAACTCCCGCATCCACCGCGAGCATAGAACATCACGGATGGTCCAACGTTTATGGGGATCCATCTTCAAACATCCTTCAATCACCTCGAGTGCCTCCTCCCTTTCCTGTCGGGTTTGAGCATCCGTCCCTTCATCGCCAAGGACGGCCTGCTGGTTCCAGTTCCCATTAAGAATATTGTTTTGGATGCGGGGTGCGAACGGGTCCTGGAAGGGCCGGGAGCCAACAATAACAGTATACACGATGACTCCGAACGCCCAGAGATCAACTGAGGGGTGGATCACTCCATTGGTGGAGAGGAGCAGCTCTGGGGAAGCATACTCGAGGCTTCCCGCAACGCTTGTGCTGGATCCAGCCGGCCCGATATTCTTCGGAGGTGGACGATCCGCAACATTATCGTAAGGATCAGGCGAGGAGCCGTCGTTGTCCGTGTTCATCCACTCGGCCATGCCAAAGTCACAAAGGACCAGAGTGGCAATCGCGGTTCCATCCGGCGAGACGGTCGGATCCAGCAGACAATTCTCCAGCTTGATATCGCGGTGCACAACCCGAGCATCTTCATGCAGATATCGCAATGCACAGGCAAGCTGGTATGAATATTTCTTGGCCAGTTTGAGGTCCAAGCCGCCCCGGTTTTGGCGCACAAGGTCAAACAGAGTGCCGCCGATTGCGAGCTTCGTAAAGCAGAACGTAGCATAGTCGGTCTCGTAAACCGCGTCCAGGGTCAGGACGTTGGGGTGACTGAGATAGCGCCAGACTCGGACTTCGTGGTCGAACTCGGCTTGAACCTCATCGTTCTCCTTCTCACTCTTGCCCGAGACCTGTTTCTTGACGATTTTAACCGCAAGGTGCTTGGTCTTGCCATCCTCCTCGACCTTGTACGCTTCCTTCACGGTGCTGAACCCCCCAAAGCCGATCTGCTTCCCCAGGACATAATCAGTCCCGACCATCTGGCCTTCGTCATCGGGCTGCGGTGCAGGCTCCTCACCGCCCGTGCTCCACATCGAGAGGAACATGCTGGCAGGAGACTTGCCACTGGAAGCAGTCGATCTGCGCGATCGCTGACGGGTGGAAAGACGAAGGCCTCTTGCCTTGCTCCCGAAGGGGGTCACGGCACTGCCCGACCACGAGCTGCGGTCGTCAAGCGAGGCGAAGGCCTGGACGGGCGATGCCATGTAAATGGGCGACGAGAGCACTCTGGATCCTTCCGGCGGTGTCCGGACCTCATCGGTCACTGGAGACGCGGTCGATTGCGATGTGAGAGAGGTTGGGTGTTCGATCTCCGAGGCCATCGCGCTTTCCTCTTCTTCTGGAAAGCTACCGCGCGAAGAACCGGTGGGGATGGGCCGTTGGCGTCGCTGCCTTTCAGGACTGGAACTGAGTTCCGACTGCCGGTCGCTCTCGTCGGGCCCGTCTTCTTGACGTAGCGTGTTTCTCAAGCCAGAACTGCGCGACTGAAATTTCTGCGGGCGACCGGCGGCCAGAGGCTCTTCGAGAGGCAGGCAGCGACCCGAGTCCAGGGCCACGATAGGGTCAAAGCTTATAGAAGGGCGGCGCTCTTGCAGAAAGCTGTCCAGCGGCGATGCTTGCACGTCCTCTGGCTTGTGAGGATAGCTGACCTCTTCCTGCTGGGGCAGATCATGATGACGAGGAACGGAGATGGGGGGTGTCGCCGAGTGCAAGCCACTCAAGTCACTGCTGTCTTGATCAGTACCGCCACGGGGTGGGTGATAATCGTGAAAGATGTTTGTACGGTCGCCATCCGTCGCTCCTCCTCCGCCTTCAGCCTCACCCCGCCATCGGGGTCGAGGGGAATGTTGGAAAGACGTCTCAAGCTTTAACCCGGCCAGTGCGTTGTGGGGTCTTCCTGTCTGCGCCATGCCCTCCACGAGAGCGGGAAGTCTATATGAGCGAGAAGAGTGGAATACAAAGAGGAGGGGGGGGGAATATAGTTCTATCTCTAGATGAAAGAGAGAATAAGGTTGAAAGACGCATGAAAGATGAGGAAGAGGAAGAGAAAGAAGACGGGTAAGTATGGCGTTTAAAGGAGTTTAAAAAGTGATCTTATCGAGTGAGGAGGAGTGGGAGTAGTAGGAGTGGCCCGTGGTGGTGGTGGTGGTGTCAAAAGAGGAGAAGAGAGGAAAGTAAGAAGTACAGAGGGTACTTTATCGGAGGGTCCCGATCCGATAGGAGTGAGCTAAGCTCAAAAGGAAGAGAGAATAGAAGAAATGCCGTCTGTCCGGTCTCTTAGTAGTAACTAAAATAAGCCTACCCACGGCACTAAACGGTCGTCTAGCGTCACTGGGTGAGCTGATCTGGAAGGAAACGCAATCCTTCTGCAGGCCGGAGAGAAAATGGGGGTGGGGGTGGTGGTGAACCCAGCAGGTGTGGTGGACTTGAAAGAATGAAGAGAAAGAAAGACGGGAAAGAGACAGGAAATCGATGGGAGATCGGAAAAAGAAGGGACCAAATAGGCAAGAGAGTGGGAGTCAGAGTTCGGGTGATGACGGAGACCAAGTCCATTATGAGCATTGCCTGACAGTCAACTGGTCAGTGAGCACAGACTTTGAATGTAAGGTGACGGAAGCGATCAACCATTCACAGCCACTTCCATTCATGCTGGGCTGACGCTTGTCTGTCTTGGTCTTAGTGCCCGTTCATCGCTTTTCCCGGAGTCCTTATCACCTGAAGATATCGGCCCTGACCCTGAGCCCTGAGCCCTGTGGCTGTCGCCCCATCAGGCTAGACCTGGTCCCGCCACGGGATGGGTCATCCAGCGGTGGATAAGCGCGCGCAAGGGGCGCTTGTTTGAGGCACCTCCCCTTTTCTCTCGCATGCTCTCATCAAAGTGCCCGTCCGGGGAAACTCGTTGCGTTGCGTTGCCTTGCGCTGCGTTGGGCCTGCAACTTTGGTTTCCATCCCTCCCCTAATTTCCCTTCGTCCCAATCAACATCGGTGTTCGGGCTGTTGTTGTTTTCCCTTCCCTTCCCTTCCCTTCCCTTTCCTTGACTTTGTTTTTGCTTTGTGCTTGACCCGCTCTGGAAGTCGTTCCTTTTCGTCCTTGTTTGCCCGACGAACTCCTCCCTCCTCCCCTCCCCCTGGTACGGTACCCACCCCCGCCGTCAACGGTTGCTCCTCGTGGCCGTCGTCTTCGCTCTTTCGTGACCTGGAATAGCAATTCCATTCTTCTCTGTCATAACGCTTTCCCGGCTATCGGTCTTTCACTTTCCTTCCCTTCGAGCTGCACCGGGACGCTGCGCAGTACCAAGATACCTTCATCGCCTGGATTCAATGCCAATGTTCATGATTCCACAAGTCGTTCTTTCGCCTTAAAAATCCAACCCAATTTCCATCCCGACCAGTGGTTTCGCAACCACAAACATTCTCAAGATGACGAGACCTCGGATTGTGCGGGCCGGTATGTGCAACTAGTGGAAGTCAGATGGACTCCGCGCTGATCAGTAAATCTCCAATGATAGATACCATGGACCTTCAGGACCAGCATGCCCCTTCCGCCAAGGACCACTCCAAACAACCCATGAACTCTGCGGGCATTGCCCCCCACCAGGAACAAGCTCTCCGCCAGGCCGACCAGGACACCCAAGCTGAAATGATGCAAGGCCCGTGCACCCATGACGGCCACCCCAGTGACGATCGCGCCGATGGGATCGATATCTACGACGACGATGACGATGACGACGAGATCGAAGATATAGATCACCACCGCGACCTCGTGGGTGAATCGGAAGAAGGCGACCTGGCCGATGGAGAAAGTGACGACATGCTGGATGATGATATGATGGACAAGATCTCGAGTTCTCCATCCATTGACGATGGTATGTTGACCAGGCTGTGATGTTCGGTGCCGACCACCATTATGCAGCCCCCTGCCGTTTAGATTTCACTCGCGCGGGAGACTGACCTGAACCCCAGAGGATATCGACTTCGAATTCGTCTATGCGCTGCACAACTTCTTCGCGACCGTCGACGGACAGGCGAACGCATCCAAGGGCGATACCATGGTTCTTCTAGACGACAGCAACAGCTACTGGTGGCTCGTTCGGATTGTCAAGGACGGCAGCATTGGTAGGCCACTTGTCCGGTGTGGATATAATCGAAACTAACACTAAGCAGGGTATCTACCGGCGGAACATATTGAAACTCCGACCGAGAGACTGGCTAGATTGAACAAGCATCGGAATGTGGATGTGAGTGTCACAGTTCCCAAAGTCGTGCCACTTGCTGATAGAATGTCCACCAGCTTTCCGCAACCATGCTCGGAGACAATTCGGAAAAGTCGAAGAACCCACTGATGAGGGCGGTGCGCCGCAGAACAACCAGAAACGTCCAGTTCACCGCTCCAACATATATCGAAGCGTCTGATGTCGATTACTCCAGCGACGAGGACTTGGACGACGCGGCATCCTTCAACGATGAAGACGGCTCGCGAGCGGAGGCGGACGATTCGCACGATGGCCACAATGAAGACATCATCGTCCAGCCACTGAGAACAAAGTCGCAGCGAGACAAGGGAACCGAAGATGGCAGCGTCGATGAGACGGATGAGCCAGCTGGGAACAGTCCTGTCAAGCAACGTTCTAGCCAGGAGCTTCTTGAGCCTGACGGTGGGTGTCTCAATCTGTTCTCTGGGAGACTTGCTAACGGGATCCCAGCCGATAACAATGTGAGCCGGTCGCGAAATGGTACCGTTCGCAACACCGATTCCTTCTTCAGAGACGATACCGTGGAGACAAAGAAGATTTCCTTGACGCCCAACCTCCTCCGAGACGAAATCGGTAGTAGTGGTCTCTCTGGCGAGGCGAACGAAGTAGGTCATCTGCTGCCACCCCGCTGAATGCATATTAACCTATAACAGGGCCGCGGTAGCTTAGAGAACATCGACAAGACCCTCAGCGCGATTGATAAGAGTAGAGAGGATAAGAAGCGCAAAGACAAGAAGTCCGGAATGCTTAGTGGCCTTTTCAAAAGGAAGGACAAGAAGACCAAATCCCACGACGACGAGACGGAAGAGGCCGAGAAGAACTCGAACGAGTTTTCCCGCTCATCGCCTCAGCCGAAAACATCTCTGGAATCAGTCCCCTCGCCTGTTTCCCCTGAAGCTCGATCCCCCAAGCAGCTGGTGGCGCAGAGGCAGACCAGTAAGCTGCAGAAGCAGCCTCCGGTGGCCCTCTCTCCAATTAAGCAGGATTTCTCTCGTGAACAAGAGCCTACTAGCATCGACAAGAACATCAAGTCGGCGATGAGCACCAAACCGGACCAGACCATCCGACAAGTCACCTCTGAAGAAGCGGATGATATTCCGTCGTCACCGCCACTGGGTCCGTTTGATGATAGTCAGGAGATCATGATGTCTTCCGCTCGTGTGCCGAGCCCTGCGAAGAAGATGGTGCCGTCTCAACCTGAACCACAGGATCAAATCACATCACCCGTGGAGTCGCACGGCGACTGGCAGGATGCGTCTGAGAATGTAGCGTACTCGCAGCGTTCGGTAGCATCTCCTCCCCAGCGATTCCAACCGAGACAGCTGGATTATCAAAACCAGCGATTTGACTCTCCTGTCAGTGGCTCGATGGAAGAGCCCCCGATCTCGCCCATTGCACCCACCTTGGGGACGGATTTCTCCAATCCGGCGAGACACTCTATCGTGTCGGTCTCCCCTCCCATGTCTCCTGTCACCAGTCAGCGCGACAGTAGAGGCATCGATGTTCGTTCTTCCTCATTTAGCAATGTATCAGCGCCTACTCCTACTTGGAGTGATGCGAGCTTGCGATCATACCTGGACGATGAGAATGACATTCGCGATTTGTTCATCATCGTCCACGACAACTCTAATATTCCCCCTGCCGGTCCTGATCACCCCATCACCGGTTGTCTTTTCAAAGAAGAGAGCAAGCGGCTCCGGGAGATGAGTAGCCAGCTTGATTCCATGCTGGCTGAATGGGTCGGTCGAAGAGTGCGGGAGTCAGCTAGCAAGTAGCACCGATGCCTGGTCTCAGGCTTGATGCCTGTTGTGAGCGATTTCGGGTCTGGCTTGCAGAGACACCTAACTCACCCATAGGCCAGGAGCTTACCATGTGCTGGACGCATGGATATGGATTGTCTGGCACTGTTCTGTTGCCGCTCAATTGATTGTGCACCACGAAGGTGGTTTCGGAGCGGGCCGAGACCTAGAGGACCGCATCTTTTTGATTTCCTTTGTTTCGCATGCTGTTCGTGTCAGTCTCAGTAGTTCATGACTGACTGTTTGCTTCGTTCTTCTTTCCAGCCTACATGTATAAGGCTGCTGGGATACCCCGAACTGCAGGTGGTTTCTAACATCCTGTAGTTTCTTTTTTTGTTTAACCTTATGAAGAGATGTTCACTGGCATATTGTATTTGAATGGAAGTATTTGCATGATATCCGTATGCTTCATCAATGTGATCTGACTTGAACTCGTTGACTACCGAAGTCGAGAACTAAGCAGGCAGCGGGCAGCATCTCGTGAGGCCGGCAAGGCTGTCGCGCGGAAGGGTCAGCTGCCCTCCATGTCAGTGCCATGTCATGCCCGACCAGAGTTAATGATGCATAAGAATAAGAACCAGCACAATTCCATCGTACGCTGATCCACCTACAGCCAGCCTTACTGTCTCTCTCTTCACATTCAACTTCAACTTCAACCCGACAAGCAGACCGCTCATCATGTCCGACCCATACTCCCCACCCCCGCCGCCCCCGCTACCTGTATACGATTACAACTACGATTACAACGCCCACCCAGCATCAGCATACAACCAGCCCCCTCTACCACCAGCAACAGATCCAACCTACAGCTACCACGACATAAATCAGATCCCACGCTCCCACCCGGACAGCAACGAACCCTGGCCTGCTCCTCCAACCCAGTATCCAGATTATCCAGCTCAATACCCCGATCATGCCCCCGCACAATACCCAGATCAACCCCCCACCCCTCACAACCCAACCCCAAACCATCTAGGTCCCCCGCAATACGAACAGCTCCAGCGCCAGGGCAGTAATGCGGAGTACTAGTGAGTTTCTTCCTGCACTATCCCATCCAGCTTGCATGTCTGGATGTGTGAATTGAAGCGAAGCTAAACTGAAACTAATAATGGGACTAGCAATCAACACCCTGATGATACCCCCGAGCACCACCGTACTGCTGAGCAGGGGGCTGATGGTGATGGTGATGGCAACGACAACGAGGCTACAGACCGCGGCCTCGGCGGCGCGCTGCTCGGCGGCACGACGGGGTATCTTTTCGGTCGGAAGCAGAAGCATGGGTTCCTTGGGGCGGTGGGCGGGGCGCTATTGGGGAGTTTTGTGGAGGATCGGTTGAAGGGGAAGGGGAAGGAGAACGGTGAGGGGGAGGGGGAGGGGGAGAGTGGGAGTGGGAGTGGTTATGGTGCTGGGGGTACTGCTTATGGGGGGAGTGGATACAGTGGGAGTGGTTATGGTGCTGGGGGGAGTACTTATGGTGGTGCTGGGAGTACGTATGCTGGGAGCGGTACGCACGCAGGGGGCAGTGACGATGAGCGTGGCAGTCACTATAGTCATCGGAGTAGTAGTCATAGTCACCATAGTCACCACCATAGTCATCATCATGGGCATGAGCATGGGCATGGACATGGGCATCATCACCACCATCACCACCATCATCATCGGCATCGCCATCATCGGAGTCGGTCGAGGAGGAGCGTTTCTGGGTCTGGGTCTGCGGAGGGGTCTATGGAGGATTGAGTCTGGATGCTTATATCTCCAGTCAGAGGGTTGAGGTGCCTGGGAAGCTGAAAGAAAAGGGGGGTCCGGGGGAGAACCCCCGGAAACGCTTATTCTACTGATATAGAATTGAGGTGCTTGGGAAGCTGAAAGAAAAGGGGGGTCCGGGGGTTCTCCCCCGGGATGCTTTAGGAGAGAGGGAGGGGAATGAGGGGGATGAGGGGCAGTAGTTATTGATTGTGATTGTGTATGGGTTGAGGCCGATGACTTATACAATGATGAAGGATATGCTCATGGGTTGCGGGCGGTGCCTTGCAGCAGTTTCCATAGCGCCACTGCGACCCTGGCTCGGTGGCTGAATCAGAGCTGGGGATAGCCTCCTGTCAACCACACCAGTCAATCGCGAAAGGAGATTGTGGTAAACAATGCACACAACCCTTTTTATAAGTAGTAGAGTGGTTTACAGCTACGCATTGGGTTTAATCAATTGAGCCAGAATGACATCTCTCATCGGTGGCTTGGTCGTCTGGAGGCGCAGCTTATGTCCGGTTTCTCCACGTCTGTCAGGGCTGTTTTACTGAGTTGGTGGATTACGAGACAGCAAGCATACAGTCAGACAGTCTGAGAAGAAGCTGAGGAAAGCTCGTCTGCTGGCGGGATGACGTGGAGCTGAAGAAAGGTCCCTGTTGCCACCAGAAAGGGATAATCCATGCCATCATCGAGTACAGTACATAACCTGTCTTTATCTTGCACAGTGCACAATGCAACCGGGGCAAAGAATGAGGCAGTGAGAGTGCTTGGCGAGAACGAAAGCGTACAGTCATAGTAGGGCAGACAGTGGGTGCAGTGGGTCAAAAGATGCCGAAGAACGGGGCTCCGCATCCATGGGAATCCCCATCTTCTGCCTTGAGAAAGCCCGATCCGATCTGGGATAGAGTTGGTGAGCATGGATCATCCTGTCTGGGTCAGGTTGCTGGCAGGATGTTGGTGGATGAGAGAGGAAGGAGGGGGGAGGTTGTGGAGGAGAGAGAAAGAGATAGGAAGGGAGATACGAATAAAGAGGAGGGAAAGAGAGAGAGAGAGAATGACCCCGTCATTCATTCAATTCATTTATCCAAGATCGACAGTCAGCTGCATTATTGATTGGATTTAGTCAGGCAGGGACGGGTTCCGACTCTGGTCCGAGACACCAATCACAGGCTGACGATAGGCTCCCAAAAGGTTATCCGGACTCGTGACTCCATCCCCAATTGTGACTCTTTCCCTTCTCCGTTTGTCTCTCTCTCTATCAGCCATTGCATTCCTTCCCCATTCCCTCTTTCAGTCATTCATTCCCCTTTCCTCTCCTCCTCTTCCTCTCCTCCTCCCTCTCTCTCTCTTTTCTTTCCTTCCTTTCCCCTTCCCCTTCTCTTTCAAACTCTATCTCTTCTTTAGACAGACATCTTTGTCACTCATTCCTTGACTTAGTCTTTGCCCGCACCCCATAGAACTACAGCCCTATCTATCTCTCCTTATCACCCCATCTTATCATATCAATTCCCTCCTCCGACGGGCCCTCAACACAGCTGCCCAACCGACAGCTCCTCAAATAAAGACTCCCCCGGTCCCTTCAGTCGGTCCGGATTAGAGAACACCATCCCATTCAAACCATGCTGTCCCCCTTGATACAATATATCCAACCCGCGCTGCCCCAGCACTGCGAACCAACCTCTCCATTTCTCGCGGCCGTTTCCTCCTACCTTCACGTCTGCGTACCGACTCCGCTAGCCTTTCTATCCTCCCTCTTGGGCACTTTCAGCATAGTCTCGTGGCTATTCGCACAGCTCCCTCAGATCTATAAGAACATCCAACTCCAGTCAACCTCCGGGCTATCGCTGTTCTTTCTGGTCGAGTGGTGTCTAGGTGACGCGTGCAATCTCCTAGGCGCCTTGCTCACCCGACAGGCCGCCTGGCAAGTGATCGTAGCCGGTTACTACGTCTTTGTCGATGTCACGCTAGTCTTCCAGTACTTCTGGTACACAATCTATCGACGCGGACAAGACGGCTACGGCGTCCTGTCACACTCCCACTATGATAATGGAACCGGGGGCATTCTGGAGGGTGTCTCCTTCTCGGAGGACGACTCGATCCGCCATACACCGCATCCGGGAGGCATTCCCGTGTCGACCCCCAAAGACATGAAGGACCTCAAAGAGCCAACCATCGGCACTCCCAACGGGCAGTCCCCGTCCTACAGCAACGAGAAGTACAGCACCTCCCGCCGATCCATCATCCGCACCAGCAGCAGCGGGCCCAGTTTGCCTATCGGCTCACCGCGCACCCTCCTACTCGCATCCATGCTCTGTGCCGTCCTCGCCAATGCTGCCCCTACCGAGGTTGAAGCAGCAGCAACAACGTCAGGTCTCTCTCCGCACACCCTCGAAGTTCTCGGCCGAATCATCTCCTGGATGTCTACAGTCCTCTACCTCGGCTCGCGGCCGCCCCAGCTCTACAAGAACTACTGCCGGAAGAGCACCTCGGGCCTCTCTCCGCTGCTCTTCATGGCCGCCTTCAGCGGTAACTTCTTCTACTCAGCCTCTCTGCTCACCAACCCCAACGCCTGGTACGACTTCCCCGCGCACGGCGGCGGCGGCTGGGCAGACGCCGACGGCAACAACCGCGCCGAGTGGGTCAGCCGGGCCATCCCCTTCTTCTTCGGTGCGTTCGGCGTCCTCGCCTTCGACGGCACCATGGGCGTGCAGTTCTTGATGTACGGATCCCGTGACGACGAGTCCATCATGGAGGTCGAGGACCCTAAGGATGGTCGCAGTCACTGGACCCGCGTTCGCGGCTGGATGAGGGGCTGGATCCCCTCCGTGTCCTCCTCGGCCGTCGTCACGCCGCGCAACCCCGAGAATCAGGCTCTCCTCCATCAGCATGACTGCGAGAGATACGGGACTGTTTGAGATATAACGTTACTCAAACCTCCCTCTGCCTTGTTCGTCGTTCCATTACACAGCCCCCTCCGTATATCCCGGCAAGCTTTAGTCTCGGGACCTTCTTGCATATCAGCTGGACATGATCATCACACGATTTTATGCCTACACCATATCACACATACCCCATTTGTCAGCTTGGTTGTCGTGCCATCGGCTTTTCAGGATTAGTTCTTCGGGTTTTTATTCGGCTTATTTTTCTTTTTTTATTTTCTGGTTACCTCGCGCAACCTACCAGCCTCAGACCATATACTACGATTTCATTTTAGCGGCGTTATTTGTTTGGGATTTTTGGTTTGCGGCATATTTACACGGGGTTCATGGCATTGCGGTCTTTTACGATCTTTTGAACTGGGGTCTATTCCCTTCTTCTACTGCATAGAGGTTTTCACGATTGGCGTGTTTCACATTTTCCAGACAGATTCATCTTCTTTCGCGAACGATATTAGCCTGCTCTATACATCATACATCATACATTATACATTATACATTATACATTATACCCGCTGTGAGACAGACAGGATGGAAGAGGCAATTTATCTCCATGGTTCAAGGTATCTTAGTGGCTAGTTACCTATACTCTACTACTTAGATCTAGATCCCTCAACGAGGAATTCGAGATAAAGATAGAATGATATGACACATCATGTTCGAACAAGATCCATTATGCCTTGGGCAAGAAAGGCCATTCTTCGTACCGACCTTCATTATCTCCGTCACCCGAAAGGCTATGAAACAAATCAAATCTTTAAGATCAATCAATCATTCAATTAATAATTCACCCACCCACTCACTGTATTACATCCCACCCAGAGTTCCCTCTCCCCATCAAAAAAAAGAACAAGCACCAATCTGCGCTCCCGATTCCCCTTCGCTCATCATCATTCTCATTAGTTTTATAAAACATAGATAGGTAGGTAGGTAGGTACAGTTCACCCCACCCCCTCCCTCCCGCCCTCCCTTCCCTTCCCTGCGCTGTGATCGAATATGTAGACAGTTCGGAGGCATAGAAAAATAGAAAAGCCATCGATCACTCGCTCAGGGCCGGCGCTCTTGTCCTTGGGCTGGACGAGAGGTGGACGGAGTTAGCAAGAACAGCGTCCAACAAATCAGGAGGGAGAAAGAGGGGGCGAGGCAAGACAAGGTCAACAGGTAGAATTTGGGGAAGAGACGAATTTGTGAAAGAGACGTTGAAATCATGTACACAACCAAGGGTTCCGTGCAATAATGGAAGGGCAAAAGAAGAACACGAAGAAGAAGAAAGAGCACAAGGGAAATGCAATATATCCGGATCCATGAGCGCACGATGAAACCCCGTTCATTTCATGGAACCCTTTTTTCTTGTCTGTGCATAAGAAAGGAGCCAGATAAGGGGGAAAAGAACATAAGTGCGACATTTGTAGGTTTGGCTAATGATACACAGTTAGGGGGTTTGAAGAGACTGCCTCAGATCGACCAGCGACATGCGGCATTTAATGACCGGCAGCAAAGCAGAGGACCGGTGGTGGGAAAAAATGTACCTGAAGAACTCTGAACGTATATGCAACAGCAACCGGTTTCATATTGACTGACAGATTCGAGTTTCCAGACCAGTCAGCAGCCTAAGACAGACACGGTAGCTCCCCCAGGCAAGAGAAAGGGAATGATGATTTAAAACAGAGGCGATTTGACATCTTGTACACCCCGTCTGATAACATCCTCAATCGGCCACCTGGGAGGCACAACCCTGGGAGTCCGCTTGCGATGCCATGCCTTCTCCATCTCGGGAGGGGGAGTCAGCTCCTCATTTGCCGGCAGAGCACCACCCGCAATGCCCGTGGAAAACTTGAGTTGCAGAACATTGCCGATCTCATCACAGGCTGTCAAAATGCGATCAAGGTCTTCCTTAGTGTGCGCCGCAGACACACAGAAACGAGCACGAGACGAGACCAACGGTGTGGCTGGATAGCCCACAACAACCACCGAGATCTTCCGCTTCAACATCTCATGAGAGAAGGCAGGCATCTTGGCAGGGTTAAAGAGGAGTACAGGGATAATCGGCGAGTCGTCGTGGCCATACACTATAAAGCCAAGACGCTTCAGCCCCAGGCGCAGATACCGAGAGTTGAAGGCCAAGCGCTGTAGTCGCTCCTCGCCCTGACCAGGGACGACTTCGCCCTGGATCAGTCGCAGAGCTGACATGATCTGAGCCAGAACGGCTGGAGCGGGTGCCTCTCCATAGAAGACGCCGGAGTTCGTGGCTCGCAGCTTATCAATCATGCTCTTATCCGCAGCAATGTAGCCACCGTTGGCACCGAAGGACTTGGTGAGCGTGCCCATAAGAACATCTACCTCCTCGGTATCGATATTGAAATAATCACAGACTCCACGACCTCGGGGCCCGACGGCACCGATGGAGTGCGCCTCATCAATGAACAGATTGTACTTGTAGCGTCTCTTCAACGCAATCAAGCCAGGAAGGTTGCACATCGATCCCTCCATGGAGTAGAGACCTTCCACCACAACCAAAATCTTCTTCCATGGGCGATGGGTACGTGGCTGTCCTTGACTGATCGCCTCACGTAGTTTTGCCTCGAGATCCCGCATGTCGTTGTGCTTAAACATAGCGATGGAAGCGCCCGAGAGACGGGCACCGAAACGGATTGATGCATGGTTCAGCTCGTCCGAGATAATCAAGCAGCCCTTGTTGACGAGAGCCGGAAAGATATTCGCATTTGTTCCGAAACCCATCGAGAAAACCATGGAGGCTTCTTTACCCACAAATTTGGCGACCAAATCTTCACACTCGACATGGAGATCTTGCGTACCAGTTTCAGCGCGAGTGCTTGGCGAAACAATTCCGTACTTTCTAAGCGTATCCTCGGCGATGTCGGCACAGGGACCTTCTGATTGGGCGAAACCCAAGTAGTTGTACGAGCTCAGGTTCAGTGTGTCGGTGGTCGTTCCAGTCAGATAAAAGTGTCTGTTGTGGTCGTCTGTGGCCCGGTCAATCAGCGTAATGTACCGTCCGGGCACTCCGGTCACTGGCCGTTCAAAACAGTCGTTGATACGCAGCTTGAGGCGGCGCACGTAAAAATTGTCAAAATCGCTGTTGAGGGCTCCATAACCATTCCGGGCCTTCAGATGACGGTAATTCTCTTCGCGGAACCGTTTACCGAAGAAGTCGCGCACGTGTCCGAACGCAATGAGGATGAGATAACTGATATAGGTCGTCAGAAGATAATAATAGGGCGGCTCGTCCATTATAGGCTCCGGGAAAGGACCGCCAGGATGTCGGCTGGAATAGCGGTGACTGTGATGGCCGATTGGTCCGAATTGGGCATGCTGCTTGGCCAGCCGACGAGCCTCTTCCGGCGACGGGGGCTGGAATAACGTGGTTGGAGGCTCATCCATGTTGGGGTTTCCCGCGGTTGCCGTAGAGAGAGATATCGTAGGAAGCGACAGAGAGGCTGAGCTGATCGGTGGTGCGACCGTATTAGGGTGAGAAGTCCCACTGACCGACTGGACAGCGGCCTGCGCAGTCTGAGACTCGGCCCTGGACTTGGGAGAGGTAGAGAATAGTTGACTTAGGCGACTAGGCTTCGCAGTGGGCGCCTTGATGGCAATGCCGCCCTTGGCAGAAGCGGAGGAAGAAAAGGGAGCGTTGGAAGGATCGTTGGTAAGAGAAGGACCGGCAGCTCGACGAGGCATCGCAAGGAAGCAGCCGGACAGAAACACGGAGGATCGTGCGGTTTCAATAGGAGGAACAGCGCAGACGGCTGGAGACGGCAAGAACCACCTGGTCGACAACACTGTCAACTCTTCGACTAAAGGCAAGGACTACTCCTTCGACTTCTGTTGCCCGAACTCCTTGGTATGTTCACTTGGTACAAGTGACCAACGGCGATCGTACGACGTCCACCTAAATGGCCTTTGCGGGCTTGGTCAGTAACTTGGGCAATGAAAAGTGGCGCGAAGTGGTCAGACAAGCAGAAAGCGCGCAGCGCAAGCAAATGTACGGGGTTAGAGTAGAAGAAATTAAAAGGAGAAGCAGCCATGAGAAAAAGGAGAGTGAATCGAGAAGTGGGCTGCGGAGAATCTGAGATGATCAGTCACGTACGTACCTTTTGCACGTGGAGCGACAATGGCAGGAGGCGGAGCCCTGCAGCGAATAACTGGCTTACGAATCCCCAAAACCAGAAGAGCTTCCACGAAGACAGGACGACAGATAGGAAGGGAGTGCCGATGAAGATGAGGGGCGAAAGAGAAGACGGGGTGTAAAAAGTAGTGGGAGGTGGTGGTGGTGGTGGTGGTGGTGGTGTCAGCGGAAGAAGAGGAGAAGAGAGGAGAGGAGAGAAGGTGGGAACACACTGTAGTTAGTACTCTGTAGTGACTAGTCGAGTCGAACAACTCGGGAGGGACTCGTTCCTGAAAAAAGGTCGAGAGCTGATTGATTTGTGCAGCAGAACCCACGGTCACATCAAACCATTACCAATGATATTAATGAGGAACTAATGAGAATAAACAGAATAAGCGTTGCATCTTCCCAGCACGCCCCGATGGGTCTTTTTCGGTCCTTTTGGGTCATTGAGGGTCTTTCTTTTTTCTTCTCACCTTTTTTTTCCTTTACAAGAAGTAGTAAGCGGATGTCACGGAACGGTAACTTAAGACCCTCACTGGGGGTTTCGGTGTCTGGAAAGCGGGTAATGCTTTGGTAATGTTCTGGTCATCTAACTATCACTTTACTAGCCCTGTCTATCTTTTCTTTTTTTTTTTTCCTTTTTCTTAGTATTCTTATTTCTCTTCCCTTTTCGGCTGTGAGAGATTAAAGAAAGGGGCAACGCAAGGTGGTTGACTCGATGAACCTGAACTACATTGAAACTGCCAATCTGCACTGTTGTTGCTTGTATATTCTTCAATTCAGTGCACAGATGGATTTCACCGCTACTTGAAACTGGGAAGAAGCATTCCTCACTTGGAACCTCTTGGAGCCTTGAAACATTGACTCGAACTCACTGTAGACGATGTAGTCTAAGACTAATGCACGATTGTTTCTGCCTCAGGCCAATTTTGCATTAACTTCCACAGTCAAATGACTTTACATCCTGAACTGTCCTCCCTGATTACTTGCGCATCTCCCTAGATTGAGCTTGCATTCGCAGCCCAGCACATGCAGAGCCATTCAATGCCTGCTTAGAAAACTTGTAGTCCACCTATCCTGGTGACCGGGTCTCTCTCTGCCCTTTGTTTAAGTCTGTTTACTTCCCCGCTGTTATCCGCTCTGTTCCGCCCCCGTTCCGCCCCGGAATGCCCCGTAGACATGCTCCAGTCTATAAGTATAGACCCTGCAATTGAGGCCACGGAGAACCCTGTCAATAGTCCAGCTCAATTGTCTTCTTTTGCCGGCACTTTCTGGGTGGTGATTTGAGTTGAACTGACAGGCAGCAACCAAGTATTGACTGGCACGGAAAGCACTTCTGACCCTCGCTCGGTTCCTGACAGCCAAATTTCCCGATATTTGAGTCTCTGTTCCTGTCAAGACCAACAATACGAACGTCACACGATCTTCTGTCGACAGCAGGATACACGATAGACAACTCCATGGCCACCAACGGAGTAGGTTCTAAGGAGTTATGGAGACACTCTTCTCCTCAGACCACCCAAATCTATGACTTCATCAAGACTGTCAACAAGAAGCACGCCTTGTCTATCGAGTCCTACAATGATCTTTGGGAATGGAGCATAGCCGAGCCTGCCAAATTCTGGGAGGATGTCTGGCACTACACTTCAATCGTGGCTCATAAGCCTTACGAGCGCGTGAGTACATCAGTTAACGTGGCTTAGGTTTAAATCACGGGAATCTTCACAGACAGAACATCGCTAACCAGGTCACAGGCGCTGAGTTCAGAACAGCTTCTCTTTCCCCGGCCTAAGTTCTTCGAGGGGAGTAGACTCAACTTTGCCGAGAATCTACTCTACCCTTCCGCGTCCCCGGACGAGGATTCGGTGGCGGTCATTGCCGCCACCGAGTCGGATCGTGAATACGTGTCCTGGAAAGAGCTGCGAGACCGGGTCAGGAGATGCGCCAACTCTTTAAAAGAGGCAGGCTTGCAGACTGGGGACCGTGTCGCAGGTTTCCTGGGAAATCATACGAACACCGTCGTTGCAATGCTCGCCACTGCCTCGGTTGGCGCCTTCTGGACAGGTATTTCTCCAGACACCGGAGTGCATGCGGTGCTGGAACGCCTGAAGCAGATCGAACCGAAGATCCTGTTTGCCGACAATGCATCGCTGTATAATGGAAAAGTGCACGGAGCGGATACCAAGTTGCGTCAGATCGTTCCAGGTCTGCCCAATCTTGAGCTTCTGGTTGTGTTTGACACCGTCAAATCTTACGAATTCAAGCTGGAAGAAGTGGCGCCGCTGCAGGGCAAGGTTACTTCCTACAGCTCTTTCCTTGCGACTGCCAGAATCCCTTCAGCTCCTCTCGAGTTTGCAAGCTTGGAGCCAGATCATCCAGTCTACATCTTATACTCCTCCGGTACCACCGGAGCACCGAAGCCGATTGTACATGGTGCTCTAGGAACGCTCCTCCAACATAAGAAAGAGCACGTTCTTCACTGCGATATACGTCCTGGAGACCGAGTCTTCTATTTCACAACCACCACCTGGATGATGTGGCATTGGCTGGTTTCTGGCTTGGCCAGCGGAGCCACCATCGTTCTCTACGATGGCTCACCGTTCCGACCATTTGACTCCGAAGGCGGATGCGGGGAGATGGCCATGCCACGCTTGATAGATGAACTACAGATTGCGCACTTTGGCACATCTGCCAAGTATCTCTCCATCTTGGAGCAGGCATCACTGAGCCCGACAAAGCACCCCCATCGGCCGGTCAGCCTCGAGACTCTAAAGGCCATATACAGCACGGGCTCACCGTTGGCTCCGTCCACTTTCGAATATGTCTACTCATCTATTAAGGCAGATATTATGCTGGGGTCGATCACCGGAGGTACCGATATCCTATCACTCTTCTGTGGCAGTTGCCCGATTCTTCCCGTCCACAAAGGCGAGATCCAATGCCGGTGCTTGGGCATGGCCGTCTCGGTCTACGACTATGCCGGCAGCGACATCAGCACCTCGGGCGAACCAGGCGACCTTGTCTGCACCCGGCCTTTCCCCGCCCAGCCCGTGATGTTCTGGCCCCCGGGTCCTGTCGGGGCGGAGAAATATCGCAAAAGCTATTTTGACGTGTTCGGTCCGTCCATTTGGCATCACGGCGACTTCGTGCGCCTGAATCCTCAAACGGGGGGAGTGGTTATGCTAGGCCGCAGTGACGGTGTGCTGAAACCGGCTGGGGTCCGATTCGGCAGTGCGGAAATCTACAATGTTCTGCTTAAACATTTTGCAGACGAGGTCGAGGACTCTCTCTGCATCGGACGAAGGCGTGATGGTATTGACACCGACGAAACGGTTGTCCTGTTTGTCAAGTTGCCGCCGACATATGGGGCCATGGATGTCATACCATTGGATCTTGCGGCTCGCATCCAGGCAACCATCCGCAAGGAGCTCAGTCCTCGGCATGTACCAGCGATTGTGGCCATATGTCCCGAGATCCCGGTGACATCTAATGGTAAGAAAGTCGAGAATGCCGTGAAACAGATCTTGTGTGGGTTGAACATCAAGATCGGTGCCAGTGTTGCGAATGCCTCGTGCCTTGACTGGTACCGCACCTGGGCTACGGCGCATCCCTAGTCGCGAGGACGCATCCGTAGAGTAATATGATTTGTTGGAGGTATTTAAACTCAAAGAAAGGGTAGCGAACTAGACTTCATTATGAGTTAATTATCATATGTTTGAATCCTTGTCCATTACTACGTACGATAATATGCTCGGTAAATCCGAAGTGATATATCGCGGCTCGATCTAGATCTGGCGCATTATTAACAGCTTACGTGTTCAGGTTTTGCTTTTGCCACATATTCAACAGTCCTTCAACACGGAAGAAGCAAGTCTGTCCGCCAGACAGCTCGAAACCATATCAATCGCCAGAATTAGTTGATTCATTCTTTCTTGTTCTATTGTCGCTGATTCCACTTATCTTGGTCAATCAGCTTCTGCTTGCCGCTTAGATAAGCCATCCCGGCTCGGAGCCCAAATCCTTGCGCCGGCCGGCCGTGACGAAAGCATCTCTGGAAGAGCAGACTGCACAAAAGCCAGGCAACAAACAGGTTGACCTAAACATCACTATTGGAACATTCACATTACGCACACTCAACGATGCGTCGCTCTGTGTTGCGGGCTGTCGACTCCGCAAAGCCGCTGGCTCGCGTGCCTCAATCCGCTGCGGCGAGAAGCTTTTCTACTGCCAAAGATGGATCCAAGGTATGCCGAGCGCGCAGTTTGAGATCATGCTTCGTTGATTGCCCAAATCGCTGACTTACTGGGCATCTTGCTCAATTCACAGGATCCTGCAGAACTAGATCGAATTTCTACCTTGCCAAACGGAATCCGCGTCGCTACCGAATCCCTGCCAGGCCCTTTCGCTGGAGTTGGTGTCTATGTCGATGCTGGATCCCGCTACGAAGATGAAAGTCTGCGCGGAGTGAGCCACATCATGGATCGGTTGGCTTTCAAGTCCACCAAGTCACACTCGGCCGATGAGATGTTGGAAGCTCTTGAGAACCTTGGCGGAAACATTCAATGTGCCTCATCCCGTGAGTCGCTGATGTACCAGTCGGCCAGCTTTAACTCGGCCGTTCCCTCCACGCTCGGACTTCTGGCGGAGACTATCCGCGACCCTCTTATCACGGAGGAGGAAGTGGTCCAGCAGCTGGCTACGGCCGAGTATGAGATTGGCGAGATCTGGTCCAAGCCCGACCTCATCCTGCCGGAGCTGGTGCACACGGCGGCCTACTCCAACAACACTCTGGGAAACCCCTTGCTCTGCCCGGCGGAGAGACTAGGCGAGATCAACAAGTCCGTCGTGGACAAGTACCGACAGACGTTCTTCAATCCGGAGCGAATGGTGGTTGCCTTTGCCGGGGTGGAGCATAACGTGGCGCTTGAGCTCACGAAGCAGTACTTCGGTGATATGAAGTCAAACAGGCCGGCGCTCTCGGGAACCGGCGTCGAGACTACCTTGTCTCAGTCCGAATCGGCTTTGCAGGAAGGACAGGTGCCTACAGTCCCTCAATTCACGCCATCTTCGACGGTATCTACCACACCTCCCACCACCAAGTCGGGGATCCTTTCGAAACTCCCCTTCTTGAAGAACCTCTCCATGTCAGGCTCGCAGAACGGTTCCGCGTCGCCACTTGATCCGTCGCTGCTGCAGTCGACTACGCTAGACTTGACCCGGCCTTCGCATTACACTGGTGGCTTCCTCTCCTTGCCTCCCATCCCCCCGCCCGCCAACCCCATGTTGCCTCGACTGAGCTACATCCACCTTGCCTTCGAGGCCCTCCCTATCTCCAACCCCGACATCTATGCTCTCGCCACCCTCCAGACCCTCCTCGGCGGTGGTGGATCCTTCTCCGCCGGAGGCCCCGGAAAGGGCATGTATTCCCGTCTCTACACCAACGTGCTGAACCAACACGGATGGGTGGAGAGCTGTGTTGCATTCAACCACAGTTACACGGACAGTGGCATCTTTGGCATCTCCGCGTCCTGCAGTCCCACCCGCACGACCGAGATGCTGGAGGTGATGTGCCGTGAGCTGCAGGCTCTGACCTTGGACAACGGTTACTCCGCTCTCCAGCCCCAGGAGGTCGAGCGTGCGAAGAACCAGCTCCGTTCCTCGCTCCTCATGAACCTGGAGTCGCGTATGGTGGAGCTGGAGGATCTCGGACGCCAGGTCCAGGTCCACGGCCGGAAGGTTAGCGTCAAGGAGATGTGCCGGCACATTGAGCGCTTGACGGTGAAGGACCTGCGTCGGGTTGCCAGAAAGGTCTTTGGCGGTCTCGTGCAGAACCCGGGTAAGGGCACCGGAAAGCCCACTGTTGTCCTGCAGGAAGGCGAGCTCGAGGGTTACAAGCTCCGTCCCTTCCCTTGGGGAGAGATTCAGGACCGGATAGCCAGGTGGCAGTTGGGAAGACGGTAGATTGAAGGATGAACGACCGATTGAGGTTCCTAGTTTAGCGAACCTCAAAGAAAGAATAGCATCCTCAGGACTCCTATTGTCTGGATGTAAGTTGGGATAGAGCAGGCCTTTCACAGATTCTTCACTCTATGTAATTAGATATAGCCTTCAATCAATGTGTACTATAGACACAACTTTCTCCTTTCCCTAAACCTGCAGTAAAAGAATTGTAAAGGCTCAACGTGAAAATTGACATGGCTAATTTATAACTACTGTAACTAGTTGGCAGTGCCGGATGAATAACCTTGGCTCAGCTCCTTACCGCTTTGAGGATCGTTTCCGCCCGGGAAAAAAGTTGGAACGGAAGTTCGAAGCCGGCGGCCGCCTTCAATCTCCGTTCTGTTCCTCCATCCAACTTCCTACTACAACTTACTCACCTCACCTATCGTCTCGACCCTCGCGCCCACTCTTTCTATCGCAACCCGAATCAACACCGCCAAACCCCTCCCTACCGACACAATGGTCAAGCTCACCGAAGTCGAGGACGAGCACTTCGCCCAGGAGAAGCCCCAGCCCAGCAAGCACAACGTCCTTCTTGCCTCGGATGACGAAGAAGAGGACGATGACTACACTGACACCGGTACGTCGAGCCTTTGAGTACTGCTTCCGGGTGGTCCACACTATCATCACACGATTCCTCCCTCCAAGAGCAAGCACTGTCAATCCGTTCACCATCCATACATCTGTTCGCGACCATTCACTTCGCGGCCACGCCCTCCCCCAGCTCAACACTACCACACTCATCCATCCATCCATCCCCCAAGCAAAATACCCCCCGAAACCCGCCATCAAACCCAATCAACAAAATCCCAACAAGGAAAAAAGGAAAAACAACTAACCAGGAACCCAGAATCCGAAATCTCCACCGAGTCCTACGACGAGGTCGAGAGCGAGTCCCTGTACGACCGCATCTACGCCCTGAAGGACATGGTGCCGCCATCGGCGCGCCGCTCGCTCACCTCCACCGTCAACACCGTCACCTCCTTCACAAAGTCCAGCGTGCAGTTCAGCGGCAAGGCGCTGTGGATCCTCAGCACCAGCGCCTTCCTGCTCGGTGTGCCCTGGGCCCTGGCCTACGCCGAGGAGGAGCAGTACATCCAGATGGAGCGCGAGCAGGGCATGATCAAGGGTGCTAATGAGGTATGTACCTTTTCCCCCTCCTCGTATTCCGTGTTGTGCAGTTGTTCTGGTCTGGTTGTGTTCGGCTCGGGGAAAAGTCTTCCTCGCGCGCGCCGACCGAGCGAGATATTCTCAGATGGCCCGCGTAAAACGACAGCTGACATTCTTGCTTCCTTGCTAGATGCTCACCCCCGGCGCCGCTCCTGCCGAGCAGCAAGCCCAGCCCACTCTGTAAATGACAAACAAATCCAATCAAAAACTTTTGCTCCGTCGGGTAAAAAAAAAAAGGGTGCCGCAAAGGCGGAGAGTTGCAGCAGGTTTTGAGGACGTTCGCTAGCATTCATTGTATTATCACCACCGGAAACGCTTTCCTTCTTCCTCGGTTCACGACTTGAAGCCACCTCAAGTGATGGCGATGGTTGGGGGTTGAACTCTACAGTCCACCCCCAACCCACCCGTCTTCTGCACATTCCATCGCGGTCAACGACAATATAAACCAATTGTGTACAAAATGTTTGGGCGAAAATTCTCGTCAGACTGTGACGGGAAGGAAACGCGATGCCGGACGCTTTGATTGCGGCGTTGTGTGCGGCTTTTGGTTCCTTTGCATCTCTGCTGCGCTCGAAAGTCTTTGGGTTCTTCTTTTTTATCTACATTGTTTTTTATCCTCCCCCATCTCCCTCCTACCTCCGGCTTCCTCTTGGGCGACGTGTGTTGTATTTGTATAATCGGTTTTTTTTTTTTATTTATTTCCTTGTTCGTTTCGTTGATGTCTACTCCTATCTTCTTTTACTTCTTTTTCTTTGGGACTCATGTTTCTAGAAGTTATGAAATGTGAATGATTTCAAGACCGGTGTATTTGCGTATCTGCGAGATAAGAGTTTGACTGTAAGCTGCACTTGGTCCGGCAGTGACAGGGAGCCAGGGTGACTTGATATGGATAACTGCGAAAGAAAAGATAACAGCTGGGGTGGGTATCATGAAATGAATAAAGAAAGCCAGTGATAGGCAAATGCAATCGGCAAACATAGACGGAAAAGAAAGTCCTAGCAGAATGCCCAGGTGTGTACCATTGGCCTGCACTAAAGGGGTCGTTCAAAGCGTTAAAATGGCACCATAAGAAACGATGCGCGCGCCGGCCATGCTTCACTACCCGAGAGACTGGGACTGTTAGCAGGAGTCTAGATGTAGAAGGTGGGTGAACATACACTGGATTCTCGGGCAGCTCTCAAGTTGAGATGGAAATCCCGCCACAGTTTCTTGACCTCGCCGTCCCGGACCATGGTCTCGACCGCTTTGATGGCATACTTGGTCTGCTTCCTCTGGCTCCAGTGGCTGCGTTCGAGGATCCGCTCGTCGGAGAGGTAGCCCATGCGGCGGAGATGGTCGGCCACCCACTCGTTGAGATGGAAGCGCCAATGCGTCAAGGTATGTGCCAGAGTCGCTTTGGCCTTGCAGTGTCTGAGTGGAGTGTCAGTGGATTCTGTTCTGCCTGAAGACTATAATTTGGGGGGGAGGGGAGGGGGGGGGCGATTCTAGGTACCGTCCAAGATAGAAGCGAGTGTTCTCATCCGGTAGAACATGCCCGTCACGGTCTCTTTCCCGGCCGTCCTTTGCTTCGTTGTCGGACTGCTTATCGTCGACGTCATCATCATCATCGCTGTTCTCGTCCTCAAGAGGCTCAAGTGTGTCCAAAGTGTACGCTTTGCCGTAGAGCTTGATGTCAAATGATGCCGGGTGGCCCGACCTCTTGCAGGCGTCGCACGGGTGGTTCTCGATGGTCGGATAGGATGTCACTTCGATTTGTGGCCGAGCAAGAAGCGCCCGGCAAAAGCCTGTATTCCATACAGACGAGACCAGCTGGGACCCCGTACGGCCCCTGACTTCGTCTTCCAGCTTGCTGAAGGCCAATTCGTAGATTGGATTGGATCGAGGGAATGCCGGATTCAGTTGGTTGTGCACCATCCATTCAACTGCATCCTGGAAGTAATCCTTGAGTTGCTTGTAAGCGTGGCGGGTGAACTCGAATGGGATGTCCTCAAGGCCCGAAGGTGCCCCGAGTAGGTCGTCTTCGTCTTGCAGTACGAAGTCGTCTTCGTATCGATCCAGGTCGTCGTTACCCGCAATGGACGATTCGACATCGCTGTCGTCATTTGTATTGAGGGATCGATGCTTGATGGCAGCGGCAATTTCACTTTCCGCTTCGCTTTCGTTCTCGTCCGCGCTTTCGCCCTCGCCTTCGATTTCTTCTGGTTCGGCCTGAGATTCTTCCTCGTCGGATTCGGGCTCACCTGCTCTCCGGCGACGAAGGGCTTCCAAGTGTTGCTGTCTTTGGGCTCTGGCTGAATTCGCGAGACGCCCTCTAGTCCTGGTCTTCTTTACCACTGTAGCAGAAGTCGTCAGTAACCTACTAGTGAGATCTGAGGTGAAAGTTAGAGTGGGAGTGGTGTACCTGAGTCTTCTAAGGCTTGTAGGTCTTCCTCGATATCCAGATCATCTTGGTCCCTAGCACGGCGGTGCGGGGTCCGGGGCACATCATCATCATCCTCATCGTCATTTTCCTCAACAGGCTGAGCAACCGTGCCCCGCCTCAGCTTCCGGCGGGGTCTGCTGATGATATCGCCCTCACTCTCCTCTGATATGATTTGTAAAGACGCCTCACTGTCGGATGGTTCTTCTCTCTTTCTCTTGAGCGACATGGGCGACATTGGGGCGGCTCGTTTGCGCGCGCTGCGAGTCAAGTCGATATCACTCTCACTATCCTGCTCGGGGGTAGCTGCGCGTTTCGGCCTGGACTTCCGGGTTGACTTGGCTGTTGGAATTTAATTGATTAGCATGTGTCAAATTGCTTTAGAAAGTTCGTCTATGATTTATACCTTTGTCTTTGCCAGGAGAACGCTTGCGTGGGCGCTGCTTCACCTTCAATGTCTCCGAATCGTTGGCTTCATCTTCGGATGGCTCCTCCGCTTTGACTGCGGCGGATTTCGCGCGATCTGAACCTTTATTGCGCGTTGACTTCCGAGTGAGTTTCTGCTCCTCCTCTGATTCCTCTTCCCCCTCTTCAGACGATGTCTCAACCGTCACAACCGGAGCCGGCGACGTCGCGCGATTATGCTTCTTTATACGGACAGATCCAGAATCGCGCTTCTTTCTCTCCTCTGCCAAATCCGACTCCTCCTCATCCTCAGGTGATGTCTCAATCTTCACGACGGGTGGCGGCGACTTCGCGCGATCTTTGCGCTTCGTCCGCGAGGATTTCCGGACGGCCCTCGATCCTTCCACTTGCCCAGGCCCGGGCTTCCCACCTCGATGCGATCTTCTAGAGTTGACAAACGGCGTAGGTGAAGCGGTGTCCGTCCTTGGTCGACTCGTAAGGATGTCGGGCCTGGACGGATGCGAATAACGCAGCGTAGCTCGGCGATCCCTCTCTCCGTCCGATGTCGACTCATTCTTGGCCGGGGAGGAGCCTATTGGGGCGAAGGAGAGTCGCGTCTGTTTCTTCTTGCCATAAGTGCGGGGCATCGGGGATATCTGCAATGTAGCCGGGTGAAATCAGGAGGGGAACTTGTGGTCAGTTCGATATGGCGGAGATGAGGAGCCGGAGAAATCGGGGCGGGTTTCTTGCCTTTTGCGCTGACGCCGCGGCGGGAAGCATGTTTGGGCCCCGCGTCGAGGTGGCACGAAAGCACGTGATGTGTTGGTAATATTGCCCAATGTGAGGATGTTGGTGATTATCGAGTCTTGTTCGCGATGGAGCAGAGGAGTTTCTTAGGAATGGTGCTCCGGAGCGGTCGCTTCCTGAGTGTCTCTTGGACCATTTTTGCTCTCTGATCATTTGCCATGAGATAAATTATGACATTCTGGTGGCATTGCCAGAATGCTACCATGCGTCAATGAGAACTGCACGGAATCAGTTACCATTTTAGCTTTTGAAGCTTGAATATGATGTCAGCTTGGTATAGATGGCAAACTGGGCAGACATGTCCTACAGTCACAGCGACGGTCGTGGCTTCCCAAGCTACAGCTTCATCCGTACCTACTCACACGTGGGGGTTCCTTCGCTAACAGTATGGTAATGATCTCTCACAAACCTCATTAGCTCTTCAGTGACTGCAAAGCTTTACTTGTTACATCTTAGACTGCAGACTTGGCACCATAGGAACCTATCATACCGGCTACTTACTTATCTCCTCCATGTATTGTCAACAGCGAATCTTTGCATTTCTCCATGCACTTCTCGGCGTGATATCCAATGCCACCCAAGAGAATCTCCCTCTAACCCCGCCTCAGAAGACAGAAGCCGACAAGCCTTTGGCTGGGTGCAGTAACAGCCTGGCAAGCAGCTCGAACTACGTTGTAGTCTCCGAAGCGCATCAACCGGAGGGACCAGGGTGCACAATCACCTTGGGCCACCCCTTGCAGTGGAGACCGGCTGCTTCGGTCGAGAAGGATGTAGAGAACATATCACCGGTCGAGAATGGGGCTGACCCGGTTGTGAAGCTCACTCTGACAATAGCGAACATAGAGGGAGAATCAGTGAACTTGGAGAAATGCCACAGCCTTCTTGAAGAACTGATTCTCGAGGGACCACGCAATCTATTGCAGCAGCAGCCGCAAGCGCAGAACCGTCCACTGTCTGCTTCGCAAAGAGGAGACCATTTAACACAAATCAACTCCACGGCTGCGGGCCTCAGACCAAGACATTCGCATGAAGAATCTCCAAAGGAAATACCTAAGAAAAAGCCCTCTAACGATCCACACTCCCTGGGATACCATGGGATTCTGGAATACCTGCTTGAGAAGGAGAAAGGGAAGAGGACCTGCAAAAGGACGATTGAGTATCTGAATGTCGTCGCGATGGCTCGCATCAATCACAGAGAGTCATCTGTCCGTCGGAACCCTCACGGCCTTGACCCAAACTGTGAAGACATATGTGAGAGGCATAAGTGGACTGATGCCTTTTGGCAGACAAATTACTGAGTCCCGAGAAAGAGCAATGCATGACGTGCCATCCCGAGACAAATGTCGTCTATGTTAATGAAAGCCGTCGACTGCAGAAGGCCAAGGAGCTCGACGTCTTCTACAAGATATGCGCAGTTCTAGGGGTGGCGGTCATGGTCGCAACACTCCTCTACATCTCACGCGAGATTTATAGACGGCTTCGGCTGCGATACTCGCTGCTCCAAGGCTTGAGCGATCGCAATCAGCCTGCACGAGGCATGGCCATGAAGAAATGTTGTTCCATTCCAGCTGATGGGATGACAACCTTGATGCCCGAGGCTTCGCGAGTTTGGGGAAAGCCGAGTCAAGCATGCGATGTGGTGGCTGAGGATATCAATGTGCCCTCCATTGCCGGTTCGGCCACCCAGCAGCGATATAGGCGGCTGCCGCCCTTTCAACGAAACACTCGCAGAAAGGCTCAGGACATATTCGATCTTGGACCGTCTCAAGCGTGCACGTGTGGCCCCAGGTCAGAGGAGAGGATCCCTGTACTTCCGCCGGCCCCTAACGCGAGTGTACGAAGCCAGACTGGCATTTGGCAGGCTCAGAAAGGGCGTCGGAGTATCGGAAACGTGGAGGCAGAGGGCAATCCGCATAGTAAAGCTGTTCTCTTTTAGAATCAACGCTCTCAAGGACCAGAGAGTTCAATACGATGTCTCATGTTCAGAGGTGTCCGAGCCGTTGGAGTCATGGTAGTCTCAAGCTTTGGGGATTTCCGACTGCAATGTGACTAGCCAGACCGGCAAAAGGCAAGGCCTCGGTTAATATACGGATATTTGGACAGACCGGCCTCGACTGTATGCATTAGGAATAGTATCGCTTCTGTGGCTGTTTGTGTGGCCTCACTTATTTGCCCTCAGTAGACTAGACTAGCCCTGTAGATCCGGTTCAGTCGAGCGACAGAGAATCAGTCCGTATCCTAGGAATCTCCCGGATTTCGACCTGCATCAACCTCGTGGCAGTTAATACGAACCTGAATGACAGTAGGGATGAAAGACGGTGGAATCTCATTCGGGGGGAAATCGGGGGATGAGGGGAGGGGTCTCGTGACCGGCGTACACTCTTCAGCTTTCAACTTCTCCATCTTCCTTCCTCCATCTTCTCTTCTTCCTCGCCTCGTCCCCGCCCAATCGCCTCCTCATCTGATCTCTCTTCGAATCCTTTCTCCCCTCCATGTGAAAGTGCGACAAGTCTTAAAATAATCTAATTAGCATCTTCTATTGGTGGATCCAGATTAGCCTCCGGTTGGCTCTCTTACCGCGGCTGATTCGTGGGAAATGTGATGACTTGGGCCGTGTGTGGCCGGGAATTTCCTCGAATCTCGACCCCGGATTTCTCCACGATACGACTTGCCCGACAATGGATCCGGTCTGGGGAATTGCTCCATCCATTTCCATCTCTCGTTCGCGCTCATCCCCGGAATCCCCACTCACCCCGACTCAAAATCCTGGAGATGACTGTCGGGGAAGCCCTGTCACGGCCGGTCGTGCATGCAAAGGTCTGGGGGAGCTCTGGCCTTCCCCGCCTTTCCTCCATTCTCGCCTCCCCCCAGGATTGTGTCCAGTTTAGCGTCCACCCTAAATGCTGCATGGGATGATGCTAGGGCGTAGGATGGCTTGATATAGCGCTTGCCACCTGGTTGCTGGCACGCGGCATGGTAGCTTATCTGCTAATGGTCACCCTGGTTCCAGTTCGGCCGGTTCGAATATTTATACCCATAGCCCGCGTCTTCTACTGCATCTTTTCTTTTCTCTTCTGTCTGTGTCTTCAAAGCTTCCCACCATCCGTTCATTGCAGCCCCATTTGGCTCGAAGAGGTGGCTCTTAGAGACGGTCGACCACCTGGTGGATATCACCTTTCCGTTCTTGTTCTGTTCTCCTCCCCTCAGACCTTCTCAGACACACTATCTTCAAGATGATTGAAAAATTCATGTCAAAGCGAGCCTATAACTGGTGAGTCTGTTCTACGGAGCTGGCTTAGTGATTTTCTCACCTAATTTATCCTCTAGGTTCATCTCCTTAGTAGCAGCAGCATGCATGGTGCTCTATGGTTATGATGCCTCGGTCTACAACTCCGTCCAGGGCTCGAAGAACTGGACGGCCTACTTCAACCACCCCGATGACAACATGATCGGAGCCGTCAACACAGCCTACACTGTCGGTGCTATCTTCGGTGGTTTCTTCCTCGGTGGCCCCATTGCCGACTACCTTGGTCGCAAGATTGGAATGGCGTTCGGTTGTATCTTGGTAATTGCTGCCACCTTCATGCAGTGCTGGTCGCCGCGTGGCAGCATTGCTTGCTTCCTTGCCGGCCGATGCATCATCGGTATTGGCCAGGGTGTTGCCTTGAGTAAGTCGCATGCAGGGCGTTTCAGCTCATCTAAGGATTGGAACTAACACTGCATCTTAAACAGCTGCGGGCCCCATTTACATTGGTGAACTTGCACCGTCAGAGATTCGAGGAAAGATCATGACCTTCTGGCAAATGTTCTACTCTGTTGGTTCGTTCATCTGCTTCTGGATCAACTATGGCTGCACGAAGCATTCGACGAATCTGGGAGAGTGGGACTGGAAGTTGGTCGTCATCTTTCAACTTCTCGTTCCCTGCATCATTCTGGCCATTCTGCCTACCATTCCCGGCTCGCCTCGCTGGTTTGTCTATTACCTTCCTCCAGATCGGTTGACTAGTGCTGACTCAATCTTAGGTTCGTTCAGCGCAAGGATGACATCGAGAAGGCCCGCTTGGCTCTTCGTAGAGTCCGCGAGACAGACGAAGAGGTCGAGGAAGAACTGCTCAAGATCCGCGAAGCCATCGAGTACGAGAAGGAGGCCATCTCCAGCAATTACAGTGCCCTCTGGAAGGATAAGTCCCTTCGCAAGCGTATGGCATTGGCCCTAGTCATCAACGCCGGTCAGCAGATTACTGGACAAGGCACTCTCAACACCTACTCCACCAAGATCTACGAGAAGGTTTTCAAGAGCGCCAGCAAGATCGCCCTCATCAACGCCCTTAACGCCACCTTCGGTATTCTGTTTACTTTGAACGCCGTCTGGGTCATTGACCGTTTCGGACGCAAGTTCCTCCTGATTGTCGGTGGTATCGGCATGGGTATCTGCATGATCATCGTTGCCGCCGTTGAAACCGAAACTCCGTCGCCGGGTGGCGCGAAGACGGAATCGGTGGGCATATCGATCGTGTTTTTACTTTTCCTATTCATCTTCTTCTGTAAGTGCAGCCCTGGCCATCGGCTCATCGCTTAGCATCAGCCACTAACTTATTTCCTCCCAGACAAACCATCTTGGGGAGCCACGGTGTGGATTTGGACATCCGAAGTCTTCTCCATGAATGTCCGCGCCCAAGCGGTGGGCATGGCCTCGCAGACCCAGAACGTCGCCAACGCCATCGTGCAGCAGTTCTTCCCCACCTTCCTGAACAACTGCGGCTTCTACGCGTTCTACATGTTCGCAGGCATCAACTTCCTGCTGTCTGTGTTCGTCTTCTTCTTCATCCCCGAGACGAAGCAGGTCCCTCTCGAGGAGATCGATGCTCTCTTCGGCGGTGCCAACCACGTCACCCAGGGTGAGGACCTGTTTTCCAACGAGAAGACAATGCACGTTACGCACCATTCCGCCAATACGGAGAAGCCCTATGCCACGACGGTGGAGGATGCGCGGGTCTAGTGTTGTGTCTGACTTGATGATGTTAAATGTATAGCCTGAGCTTTGACTAGCTACGCACTAAGCCGGTAGCTAGTATAATAGTATTGATGATACCAATTCTCTTATAAAATCTTACAGCGTGTAGAGTTGGTAAATCGAGGCCCTCTCTTCCACGCGCTTGACCAAGGTCGGTCATGGTCACCCGTTCCACTTCCACTTTCATCCTATATCAGCGCACATAAACCGTCTCTGTGATCCTACCACCACCCCCTGAACCACAGTCCAACCCTTCCTCACGCAACACACACTCCCACCGCACAACAGACACCCCTTCGAGATAGAATCTATATTCCCACTTTTGCGAGGGATGCTCACCACCCCTCCCGCTCGCACAAACCACATACATTTCCGAACCCATGTCCTTCTCCATCTTAGCCGTATCATCATCATAACCCGCAATCACCCTCGCCGGCCGGACCTCCATTCCATGAGAAAATCTCCCCACGGAAGACACGGGTACAGGCCTGCCGTCCCTACCGTCACCACCACTGCCGTCATCATATCCTCCACTATCGTATTCACCACCCGCATTCCACACACGGATCTGGCCGTTGAGTTCATCCGAGCTAGATCCCAGATAACACTCAGAGCCAGACCCAGACCCAGAGTAAAACCCGCACCCATCACCGAGAAGCCTATACACAGCTCTCCTGCTCTCAATGTACTTCTTACATGATTCCCTTAAATCGAGATCGGACGTCTGGGGCCGAGGGCAGGTCTCAGTATAGAGATACTCCTTCTCATATCCCGGGGCTGTAGTGTACCGGGGATAGAAGGTTGCATAGCCTCTCCTTCGTCCTGCAGTAGTAGGAGCTGTAAGTCTTGTAGACCACTCAGATCGCGGTTCCTGTTCCGGTGATGGTGCTAAAGCCAAAGAAGACCCCGCACGCACCGTCCGCGAGAAAACCCAGGAACCATGCAGAGCTCTGAAGATCGCGGTCGCGGTGCTGAGGTCTCCTGTGGTGCGGGGTGGGGAGAGCGTCTTGCGGAGGGAGGTTAGGGTTTTGGTTACTTGCTCGGTGGTGAGGGTGATATCGTGGTCTATTTTGCTGGGTGCTGGCGTTGTATTCCTGGGTGTGTGAGGTTGAGGGTGGGGTTGGTATCTTGCTGGGATTATTGGGTTGAGGGGTTGCTTGTTTTCTTTGCTGGGGGGGGTTTGTGCGCTGGGAGGTTCTTGTTTCAATGGGAAGAGCGGCGTGCGCGGGATGTCGAGCTCGCGCGCGAAAGACTCCATTAGGCCTACGTAGTCGCCCATTGGGAATTGGCTGCGTTGGGCCGGTGCCCCTGCTGTAACTGCTGCTATGTCTGGATTAGCTTTGCTGGGCCTGCGGATTTGGCGCAGTTTCGCCCTTTCACTTTCTCTTGCGAGAGCTAGGGATGAAGGTGGGTGGTCGTCAGCGGAAGCAGTGGCGTGCGCGGTCCATCGCGCGGCCAGACTGCGGGCTTGCATTTCCATGACGCCCCAGTAAGGGCCGCGGTAGAAGCCGACGAAGCCCAGATCGGGCATCTCGGCGCGTGTGGTTCCTTTGTTGTCGAGGATCAGCGGGATGAAGGGGTCGTGCGGTGAGTATTCGAGGGTGGAGAGGACGGCGGGCGGGAGGTAGGCGAGTGATTCGGAAGGCGTAAAGCCTGTTGCGAGGATGATTGCGGCGACGTCGTCGAGCACCATACTTTCGCCTGTTGGAAGCTTGATCTCTACGCTTGCATGAGCGCTCGAAGAATGGGCATGACTAATGGCCGCTACCCGGCCGATGGTGGTATTGATGGTCCCAGCACGCACGTACTCGGCGTAGTCGTTCCCAATGGCTATCCATGACGGCTGAGGACTCGTCTGGTTGTTCTCGCTCGTAACCCCCACGCTTCCTGTCCGCGTATAATCACTGCCAAGTAGCTCGCTGAAGTATGTGTTTGTCTTGGAGATTTGCTCGCGGGTCAGAAGGCCGAGCCCGTACTCGACTTGCCCTGGTGGGCGGCGGGCGAGGTCGTAGAAGACGAGATCAAGAGGCAGGAAAGGCACAGTGGTTTCTTGATTAGAACCTAGCACAGACTTGCGGGGCAGATAAGTCGGAACCGTCCAGAACGGCCGCGAACAAACGTGGTGTAGCTCGAATTGCTCTTTCGGTAGTGTTGAAGACGCCCCAAGGGCACAATCCATCGAAGAGAGATGCAAAGCCAACTTCGACGCAGCCTCTACACCAGACATACTGCCCCCAACAACCAGCAGCTTTCCACCTGATCCTCTCACCCGCCCAAATAACCGCTGCACATCCGCCGCACTCTGCAGCGCAGAGCTGTGGACAGTCGTATCCGCAGGAACACCGAGCCCGAGCCCAGGGATATCGGGGATATAGGGGCGGGAGAAGTACCCCGACGAGACGACCAGGTAATCGAAGTACTCGGAGCGAGCCTGCCTACACTTAATCAGCACCCTCTTCTTCCTTCTTCACACCGGAGGGAAAACAATATACTAACCCGCGCTCAACCCACCGCACAACCCACCCCTTCCCCTCCGCCCCTTTCACCACCCGCTCAACCTCACAACCCAACCTCAAAACCCCGGGAGGAAGATACAGCTCCGCATACTTGCTCAGATAAGTCCCGACCTGCCACGCACGAGGGAACATCGGCAGACTCTCACTCTCACCCCCACCCTCACCATCTCCCCCGCCATCAAGAACAGTAGCCTCCCAATCAAGATCCGAAAACGCAACCGTAAACCGACTAAGATTCGTGCGCATGAGACCGGGCACCAAACCCTCAGCCTCAACTCCAGCCTCAGGTTCACGTTGAGGAAGATCTATACCCCAAAGCCCACCGACTCTCTCGCGCTTTTCGAAAACAGTAGGCTGGAAGGTTCCCGGTGGGGCATTGTGGACCAGGGTCTTGGCGGTTACGAGGCCTGAGGAGCCGGCGCCTGATATCACTCTTTTAAATTGCTGTTTGGGAGGTAGGGATGGGGAGTGGGCTTACCGATTATGGCTACCTTTTGGGGGGGTGGCATTGTTGTTTACTATTCAAAAATTGTGGTGTAGGGGATGTTGTGGGGGAGAAAGGAAGAGTTGGGGAGGGGCGGAATTTACCCCGCTCTGTCTCCGCATCTACTTAGCTTGCTTTGGTTGTTTGATTGTGAGGTTGGTAGTTCTGTGGGTATTGTAGGGTGCAGTGGCTACACTTTATGGCTTAAAGTGGATGATGTGGATGATAGAAACAACGGTATGCTCGTTTTGTATTCTTTATTTACATCTCTATAGTGAACTCTAACTGCATGGGTCCACTTATATGGGACATTCATACCAAGTACAGTACAACACAACATGCTAATAGGCAGCGGGAGGATGCGTTCAAATAGACAGCCGTGTCAAGGCTGATACAAGTGTGGCTCTGGGAGGCACACTAGAGCTGAAAGCCGGGGTATATTCGTTCAATCATCGTGTCTCTTCCATGTAGGAAAGACACAAGTTGTGTTCGGTGGGCCTCTAGACTGGGTCGCTGTCATGAAAGGTTGTACACCCTCATGGAGCGGCGAGGCGAGATAGGTTCAGGGTCAAGCTGCAAGCAACTCGCTGCAAGCTCACAGACGGTGCTGCAAAGGCGAGGCAGGAGCCGGGGTCTCGACGGTCTCGGCGAGGGGCGTAAACGACGCGGGAGGCGATGCGCTCAGGTTCAACCGCGTGACCAGCTTCTTCCACGACTCCAGACCGCGCAGGGCGTGCTGCTTGGGGGTATCCAGGTTGGGGTCGGCGAGGGTGCGGGAGAAGAGCTCTAGCGAGACCCAGCCCTCGAAGCCGGTGTCGAAGAAGGCCTGGGCGACCTCCTGCACGGGAAGGTAGCCGCCGCGGTCCTCCTCGAAGGCGAACAGACGGGCGTTGCGGGACCAGTTCATGCGGGTCGGCTGGCCGGGGACGTGGAAGGGGTGGGATTCGTCGAGGGGCGCGCTCAGGCGCTCGCCGTCGACGATCTGGATGTAGAAGACCTTCTTGACGTCGACGCACTGGCGCAGCTTGGCCAGCGAGGCCGCCAGGTCGGCCTCGGCGTTGGGTGTCTTACCCGTGGGGCAGGCTGGGTCGGCGTAGACGCGCCCGGCCAGGTTGAACGTGTCGAGGCACAGCCCGAAGTTGGGCCGGTCGACTTGCTCGACGATCTCCCACGAGGCGTCCCATGTGTCAACGTGATTGCCCCAGCAGAGGGCCTCGTACACAAACCGGAAGGGCGGCGACTGCTGCAGACCCAGGTCGGCCACACGCTGCAGGTCGGAGACAATCACCGCGCGGTCTCCGGTCGTGCGAAGCTTGCCGGTCTCGGGATCGGCCAGGAGAAAGTTGGATGGGATCTGGATGAGGTCGGTGTCGAGGATGCGAGCAAGCTCGAACCACTTAGGTAGCTTCTCGGTAACCATGCGTTCGGATTCTTCACGATCGAGCAGACCCTCGTAAAAGGAAAAGGGCTGCAGGCAGATGATGGTCAGCCCCAGCGAGTCGCACAGCCGGCGCACTTGCTTGGCAGCAGCAATGTGGCAGCCTTGGAAAAGGGATTTGGCGAAGTGGTCGAGGTCGTCGAAAAACAGCTCAATGCCTTCGTAGCCATGCAGAGCAGCCTGGTGCAGCTTTCCAGAAAGACTGTGGATGCCCGGTCGACCCAGCGACATCGAGGCAATTCCCAAGCGGTTCGGCATGTTGTGTGTTATGAAGGAGATCGGTTAGATCGGGGGGGGGAAGGGGGTTGGTATAGAAGATTGCAAGAAAGGAGAAAAAGACTTTTGAGGAAGACGCAGATGAAATCAGCAGCGGTCGAGACTGAGCGGACGTATATTATGACCTGTCGAAAGTATGATGTGATAGCTGCGACGATACTGGGATGTTATCGTGACGGATGGACGAATGACAGGGCCGCGTCACCTATTTCTAATCGTTTCGAATTCAGGGGGAGCGCCAAAAGCAAATAATGGATTAATCTCCAATGGCCGAGGAGAGGTTCATGTACTGGGCCGGTGCCTTATACTCTTTCCCACGGCAGGGAAACCGTTCAGGTGGGCGAGATCCATCTTTGCAGACCCAGGGGGGAAGATTAGGGCTGTTTGGGGGAAGGGAAGAAGAGACTTGCGGGAATCTGGAAGAAGTGACGGGCGGGCGGGCGGCAAAGCGCTTTGCCCAACAAGTACGGAGAGTACTTCCCTTCTGCATTTATCCGTCCGTCACACAATAGTGCGGCAGTGGCCTCGGGACACTGCGGGTTGTTATCCCCTCTCACGTCCTGGTTCCTGCTTTTGTCTTCCTCGCGGTGATAGACAGACACATTATGTTGATTCGTAGAGATTGAGTGAGAAAGTCACATGAAGGAATCAAGATATTGCCTCCTGGGAAGATGCAATCCGAGGCTTTGTCTGGCACGTATTATCAGGAGTATATATGACAAAGATATAGATTGCCTTTCAACAAATCAGCCCGGCTAGCTCAATCGGCAGAGCGTGAGACTCTTAATCTCAAGGTTGCGGGTTCAACCCCCGCGTTGGGCTTTCATTTTCTTTTTTGGCACATTGTTTTTTTTTGTCCATCTCGATGTCGAGATTGAGAAAGCTACAATGCACCAGTGAATAGGTCCTATGAAACAATCAACTTGGTATCACTGACTACTTGTTAAACAGCCCTATTCACTATCCTAACTCTTTTAGAAGAGTATCGCAGAGGATTCTAGCTCGCTTGCCCACCTATACATCAGTCACTCTGTCTATATCTTGTTACCCAACATCACCCAGCCTTCTGCTTTCCAGTTCAAGTTCTTTGCTTCCACACTTAGCTTTGATCGGCAGCGTAAGGAACATCCCACGTAGACCCCCGCAATAGAACTATCTGAACAGATAATACGCTTCCTGCGATATAGCCACGATATTATGACTCGCAAGGCATACCCACGCGGTTGCAAGCCTACCCCGCATCGTCTAAGCAGATCATCAACACAAGTGTTGATTAACATCCTCAATATCCGAAGGTAGTAATATTACTACGCGCCTTTTTTTCCTCGCCTTGAAACACCTTGGAGTACGCGAACGATATGCTAAATTCGCCGCCGACTTTGATCGGTCGGGAACGATTCGAGACCGTCGTCCACCCGCCGATCCAACCGTACTCTACGCGGCACACGTGAAACTCTGGTTTCCAGTGTACAAGGGGTTTTACGTGCTTTGCGGTTGGACTGTTGCCAAACGCTGGAAGCTTTAGCGCCTGAGTAGCCAACGTGACACAAAACAAGACAAAACATTTTCATTTAGTAGATATATTACTGGATAGTTCACTTCCCCTGGCCTAAAGACCAGCCCCCTCCAGCCTAAAAATATAGTGAATCGACGCCCATCAAAGATATAGACATCAACAACGCAGCAGACCCAATGGCCACGTCCTACACCCTACCCCAATCATCCCAGCAAGCCATGACCGACCGCTACCCCCCGAAGACCTACCGCACAACCGAAGGCTGCCTCGCAGATATCGCCGCACTGAGCGAACGTCTGCAGCAGCACCGAGACGACGGGGGTGGTTAGTACCTCGCCTACAAACAATTCTCACCCTGAGCTTATGATGTATTCATCAGACGCCGTGACGGGCTTCGTATCCACCCGTGAGTGACTTATTACCCGGACATCGAGACGATGATAGTCAAGGTTCCCGGCTGCTATAAACCTGGACTTGCCTTCGGAATGATCTCCGATGGGACCTTCGCCGAGCTCAGGGCGATGGGAGTCGGCCGCGCCGAGATAGAACCCACCGAGCATACCACCTACACCGCGCCCCTTTCCGGGTCCAGGAAGGAAGGCGGCTGCGGGCGCAAGAATGCCCTCCTGCGGTCTTTGGATAATGGCTGTCCCCATTTTGTCATTGAGGCGGGGCTTTCGGAGTCGCTCCCCGGGCTTCGGCAGGATGTGAATTGGTGGTTCGCTAATAGTGGTGAGACAGGAGCCCTGCTTGCCTTGCTCATCAGTATTTCACGTGCCAATCGCACGACTACTATTGAAAAATACCACCCAATCCCCCGTCAGACACAAGCGACCGGAGGGGGCGTGGTCTATGTGAAGCATCTTGTATCGACGACTATCGTGAACATGGGCATTTCGGCTGCCGCCGTCGAGGGACAACCCTTGGTTCTGGGATTTCATCGCATCGTGGGTCGGCAGCCTGTTGGGCTAGAACATGATCTGACATTTACGGGCATTACCTTGCTGGAAATCGGAAGAGCCGTGTTTCGAAATTGACCACAAGGATTGGGCACCGGACTCGAAGGAAGGGAGCGTCCTTACCATTCTTCAACTCTATAAAGAACGCAGAGATGCTATCAATTACTTAGCTGATAATTGGCTGATAGCTTCGCTCTTCCTTTAGCTACTATCATTGATGTTCAGTTTTCTATATATCAAAATAGTTGTTGGTTTACTTATCAGTATAATCATAATATAAATTAGATGAATTACCTACTCCAATAATTTAGTAGAACATAATCCCAATATTGTAGCTGTATATACACTTATGGACCGAACGAATTAGAAGGAAACAACATTATCAACAATTCTTTAATAAGGCTACAGGTGAACTCATCAGTAGGCGATTATAAGCCTTGAAGGCTAATACAACAAAACCAAACCACGAAACCAAAAAAAATTTCAAACGCATCAGACCTTGTTCGCCGTGTCTTCCACCTGGTGAATCTCAGTCTTGGTGAAGCCGGACTCCTCCAGGTCCCGACGGAATTGCTGTTCGTCCTCGCGCATCTGTTCCAGGACGGCGGCGTGCGCCTTCCACACCGGCTTGATCTCGAAGAGGGGATCCATGTTTTCCAACGGAACACCCTTCGTCTCGGGAATCAAGAAGTACACAAAGATGAACGAAAGGATCATCAGCGACGCGAAGAAGAAGTACACGCCATAGCCCATCTTGGCAAACATCTGGGGGGTGAACCGCGAGATGAGGAAGTTCCACAGCCAGTTGGAGCCGGCGGCACAGGCTTGAGCCAGTGATCGCACATTGGGGTCAAACATTTCCTACAGGGGCATGCTGTTAGCTCTTCAGTCGTTCGCAAAAACTCGCAACGGAACAGGTAAGGAGCTTACCGAGTTGATGACCCAGGGAGTACCGTTCCAGGTGGGCGTGTAAAACGCAGTCCACAGGTAAAAGAAGAAAATGGCCGCAATGCCACCGCTGTTGAGCGACTGGGCGTTGTGTGAAACGGGATCAGCGATCTTGATGTACGCTCCCAGGATCCACATGCACACTGAGCCACCAATAGCACCGATCAGCAGGAGGTTTCTTCTTCCCACCCGATCGATCAGCCAGAGGAGCCAGACGAAAGTCACTACGGTCTTGACAACGCCAAAGATACCTGTGGTAAGCAGGCTGGAGTTCGTGCCCTTGAGGCCAATGCTCTTGAACACGGTGGGAGAATAGTAGTTGATGGCGTTGATCCCCGAGCCGTTCTGCCAGAAGAAGAGCATGCTACCGAGGAACAGCCGGTACATAATCTTCTTGTTCGACCAGACGGCCTTGAAGGGCTTCCAGAAGCCCAGTCCGATAGAGTTCCTCTGGGCTTCAATGGACTGGTCGATGGCACCAATTTCCTCAATCATGTAGATGTGGTCCTCCGGGATCTGGCGAATCCAGCAGAGATTCATGATCGCCTCCTCGCGTCTTCCACGTAGGAACAGCCAACGCGGGGATTCGCGGACGAACACGATACCGATGAGCAGCATGCCAGCGGGAATCAGCTGGACAGCAAAGGGAATGATCCATTGCTTGTGGCTCGGAGCCAGTGTCTCACTGACACCGTACTATTGTTGCATGATTAGCCAGAGCCCAAAAGAAAATAGACGTAGAGGATGCTTACGTTGATCCAAAAGCCGACCAAGCCTCCAACTTGCCAGCCCAGCTCGTAGACACCCACCAAGCGGCCTCTGATTGCAGGTGGAGCCAATTCGGAGATGTAGATAGGCGTGATGTTGGAACCCGCTCCTACGCCGATCCCAGCCAGGACACGGCCAACATAGAGCAGGCCCAGACCACGATCGCCGTTGACACCGAGCATCAGACCCGCACCCAGAATGAAGACCAGCGCAGCCGACATCAAGCCCCACTTCCTACCCCAAAAATGCCCGATCGGGTACGCGAAAAACGCTCCGAAGAAGGCTCCCGCCTGGTAGCAGGAAACAATGTTGGCACTGACAAGGTCCTGCGTCGCCTTCGACATGGACTCCCAGTCGAATTCGTTCTTGAACGAGTCCAGGGACAGAGTCGTGCCGATGAAGGCACTGTCATAACCGATCATGCATGATGTGAAGGAGGCGACCGCAGCCAGGAGATAGATTCTCCAGTTGTAGACCTCCTTAGGCGTTGGCCGATCTTCGACCATCGATAGGATACCCATGATGGATGATAGTCACCCGCTGGGGTGAGATATTTGCTTAATTTGTGTCTTCTTGGATGAGAAGCAAAGACAAGGAGGTAGGGGAGTGGAAGGAGTCAAAGCGCAAGAGAAGGAAGAGTAATTTGGACACGGGGGGAATGAGGAGATTGTCGGATCTTCTTGACTTGACAGGGATGATGTTGATGATAGTGCAAAGGAAACAAGTCTACGTCCTCGAGGAAGTGGGTTTATATAGCTATGACTCCTTCCCCGGACTAAGCAAAATCTGGGGTGCGGTGGGAGGCAAAACTCAGGCAAATCAAAATCCCAGATATCAAAGACTACACCAGAGAAAGTATCGTGGGAAAACAATAAGCGGGAAAACGATCCACGCAAGGTAAACACGCCCAGGAGTGCAGCAAAATAGCCAAGGGGAATGAGTAGGAGGAAGCAAAGTCTATCACCACGTTTGCTGGAGGACGATTGGACTTAGACCAGCTTGGCCTCTGCCAGACCGTAAAAGTCGAGTGATCTCGCACCACGGGCAAGAAAAGCATATCATGTGCCCAGCACTGCGCCTATTGGAGCAAGCCATGATACCCCATGGGACCTGAGTCCGATGTTCGGCCCTGCGATCCACTTGGGAGGAACAGAATCAGCAGATTATGCGAGGAGGAGTGGCAGTTTGTGGGGAGGGGCGCGGACTGGAGGACCGTCGCCCACAGAAACCGACGGGCTCAACCCGTGGGAAATGGACATGCAAGCCCCAAGGCTTCGCATTCAGCGGACTATGGGCCAAACCCTAAGTGGGAGGTGATACGAAGATCGCACATTACGCGGTCCAATGAGCAGAAGACGATAGAGACGGTGGCTGGGGAAAGTCCTTCGCCGGAACAGTGGAAAAGTCTCCCCACGGGGAAGAAGGAAGAAATCTGAAGAAGGGAGGGGAAGACTAAGAGAGAGATAAGCGAGTGACGGGAAAATGGTTCTGCCCGTTGGGTGAGTGAGTTCATGTCAGTCTCCAGGCTCCAGGCTGTCAGGATTTAATGTCACTGGGAGACAATCCCAAGTGGATCCATGCAATCGAGCATGATCCACTGACAATGAACCTGTTTAAATTCAGGAACCAGATGAGGGGGATAAAGAACGAAGACGTAGTCTAAGGAGGGGCAGAAAAAGAAAGAGCCGGGACCACCCAAAAGGCAAAAGGCAAAGCCGAAAGATTTCTCCGCCCGCAAATACTGGCCTGGACAGCCTCGACACCTTAAAGAGCGTACCCCTCGTGGGAGATTCTTTTATTCCCTCGCTTTCCCCCCCTCTCTCTTCCCCCCCTTCTATTTTAACTATAAGGACTCAATTGCAGGCAATTCACTTCTCCTTCTTCTACATCTTCCTCTTCTCACTCTCACAACTACCACCAAATCCACAAGCACAATGGCCTCCACGAACCAACCCGAAGAACCCATCACCATCCCCGCGGACCGGGATGGAGTGGCCTACCTGTACGGCCACCCTCTCCTCAACTCGCTGTCGCCCCCGCTCCACAAGACAGTATACGAGAAGCTGGGTCTGAACTGGATTCAGATCCCGCTGTCAAGCGTGACAGGCACATCGGAGACGTACCCGCCGCCGTACACCCGGTCGCCGCCGATCGACAAGTTCCTTGCCTCGATCCGCTCGAACCCGAAATTCGTGGGCTCATCGGTGACGATGCCATGGAAGGTAGGCATCATGCCACATCTGGACGACCTGACGGAGGACGCGCGACAAGCGGGGGCATGCAACACGATCTTCATCCGGACGGACGCGGCGACGGGGAAGCGAGAGTACGTGGGCACGAACACGGACTGCAACGGGATCCGCGAGGCGCTGGTGCAGAACACGGCGGACCCGGAGTCGTTCCGCGGCAAGCCGGCGCTGGTAGTGGGCGGCGGCGGCACGGCGCGCACGGCCGTCTACGTCTTCCGCAAGTGGCTCGGGGCCAGCCAGATCTACATCGTCAACCGCGACGCCGCTGAGGTCGCCGCCATCCTGGAGGAGGATCGCCAGCGGAACGCCGGCGTCGAGAACCTGCCCCCGCTCATCCCCGTCACGGACCCCGCCGTCGCCGCCTCCCTCGAGGCCCCCGCCGCCATCGTCTCCGGCATCCCCAATTACCCGCCCAAGACCCCCGAGGAGATCAACGCCCGCAACGTCCTCCAGGCCCTGCTCGGCCGCAAGGACGACGGCAAGCCCAAGGGCGTCATCCTCGAGATGTGCTACCACCCTGTCCCCTGGACTGAGATCGCCGAGCTCGCCGACGCCGCTGGCTGGAAGGTCATCCAGGGCTCCGAGGCCCTGATCTGGCAGGGTCTGGAGCAGGCCCGTCTCTGGACTGGTCGCGATATCATCGGCACGCCTGGCGTCGTGGATGCCGTCAAGGACCTCGTCGCGAAGACGATCGCCGAGAGAACGCAGGCCAAGTCGGCTTAATTCTTCCTCAGGATTTTGTCGGTTTGGATCTCATGTTTTATGGTTCTTGTATAGGATTCTAGCATACCCGGAGCATTACTTGTGTTATAGAAGATACAAAAAGGAATGGATGAGCTGTATATATTTCCATCTGACATTATCCGTTCTTTGCTCGTAGACGAATAGCTCTATACATGTCTAAGGTATCACTTTACGGTTGTTTATATATGTAGACGAAAGACCTCAGGCCCCCGGCCGGGAAAAGTCCAGCTGTCGCACACGCTTCCATACTTCGCGCACCGTGCGCTCTTGCGACTGGCGCCCGGTCTCAGTCTCCGACGGCCCGGCGGGTCTACCACAATCAGTCACATGCCTTTTTGAGTGCCTGGAAAGTACAACATACCTGATACCGAGATACAAGCGACTTCCCAACTTGACATCCTCGATAGGAGCCGTATCAGGGTTCTCCGGGGGATTGGCCGTCGTAACCAGTCCACCAGCCTCGAGGAGAATGGCGATACCCGCCGCCACATCCCTAGTGCATAGTTAGTATTGGGACATACAGACATACATATTGAGACCGAAGGACAGAAAGGAACGTACCACTCCCAACAACCACCCTCCCACCAGATATCAAACGACCCCATCGCCGTATAGGCCAGGTCCAAGGTGGCACTGCCCAGACTGCGCACACCGTGCACCATGCCGCCCTTGCCGCCACGGCTGCCAGTCTCAGCGGCCAGGTTCAGGAAGCTCTCGATCTTGCGGTACATGTTGCCGTCGGGGATGTCGCGGCGGTCCTTGCCCCATTCGCAGGACAGGATGCATTTGCCGGGGGCGTTGGGCGGCATCGGCGGGATGGACGGTTTGTGGATGAGGGGGAGGCGGCGCTTCTCGTTCAGCCAGGCGCCACGGTTGAGGCACGAGGAGAAGAGCTGGTCTTGGAAGGGGGCGTAGATGACGCCGATGACGGGGCGGTGGTTGACGATGAAGCCGATCGAGACGCAGAACATGGGGAAGATGTGGGTGAAGTTGACCGTTCCTGAGATCCGTAAGTCTTCTGTTAATGATGAGAGGATGAGCAGGTTGCGCACCATCGAGAGGGTCGATGCACCACGTCGGGTGCTCATCGATCAGATACGCGCGGGACTGTCCTTTGGCGTATGACTCTTCTCCGAGGAATCTGCGGTCGTCAGCCAATGGTCTGCAGGACGAAGAGTGAGCGGAACGCACTTGTGTGAGGGGTATTTGTCCTGAATGGACGTTTTAATGAAGACTTCGACATCTAGATACAATTAGCTGGGATATGATGTGCTGTGGAAGAGAAGCCGCACCTTCGTCCGTCTGAGTCACGATGTCCACGGCGCTGTCTTTCTCCTCAATTTCCTGGCTTCCACCATCGAGGCGCTTCTCTACGCTCTCCAGCAGAAGCTGGCCAGCCTTGCGACCAAGGTCCACGGCAAAGGCATAGATCTCATCCAGTTGCTCCTGGCTGAATTCCGGGGGCGCCATGGTCACTGGGAGCTGCGGGGTAGTGGGATTTCGTCAATGGCTTGGAGTCGTTGTCTTTCGAGAATTGGTGTGACTTTGCGAGTTTTATATCTATGCTATGGTCTAAAAAGTATGCAACACAAGAAAGAGACGGGGAAGAGAATGATCGAAAAGCAAGACGATGAGATGAAGAGGAGCAGGCTCGGAGCGGCGATAGGGAGGAGGTTTCCCGCTTCTTTCACCGCTGATAACCGACTTATCAGTGGGGCTGGGGCCTGGGGCTCACGTGGGTCGCCCGAGGGTCGTTGATAAGCAGTCTATCTATCAATTCGATGCAGTTGATAGTCATGAGCACATTCAAATATTATAGAGCCGTAGATCTGGCTGTCATTGCACTTCACCCTCGCCAATGCTTTTCGCAATGTCCCGCAAGAGTTCTCAAGTGAGGGGATCAACACGGCATACTCTTGAACATTGGATTCTCCTAAGCTGCACATACCAGACCAACTCGAGCACCGGCAGTCCAAGTCAGATATAGCATGTAGCATGGGTCTCATATCGATACGAGAGCTTGCAAGAGTCAGCGATCCTGCATTGATCCAAGAAATCAATGGTTCATCATCACCATCTTGTAATACTTACCCTTCTCGGCCATTTGATGCATGCAAGTGTCATATACCAATATCAAATGAAACCAAGCTGAATTAGAGATCACTATATATTGCTTGTTGGAAGCACGATAGGATGTTATGGCTCGTGCATTGCAATAAAGCACCCTCCATTGCCCTACCCCAACCCCGCCACCGGCGCCCAGAACAGGGAGTATGGGGACTCCAATGTCTTGATTCCATCATTTCACTCATCCCACTCACTCCGCTTGAAAAGATTAATAATGCAACGGTTTATAAGCCAGTGTAGTGGAGCCGGCATTCACACGAGATCGAGGGGATCTGGTGCTGTGGATGGATGCCTCCCACAACTACCGAGAGTCCGAAACCAACACATTCACAATCCAGCCAAAATGGTCATTAGACGCAGCACAAGCTAACAGCGCAGCAGCAAGCTTGAATACCCCAGCACTCCAATTGACTTCACCAGAAGCATATCCCACGATCTAGTCTTGTAATGAACCCCAACCAGCTATGGTTACTAGATAGTCGCCACCACCACGAATACATCAACCGTATAGCCCCAATTAACAATTAGCTGCCGAGCAGAGCCTGTCTAGCAGAGCCTGTCAAGCAGAGCCAGCTATGTTCTACTCTACTCCGCTGTACAGTAGTTACAGTAAGCGTAAGCCATGTATGGTAAAAAAGAACTCGCCTCGGCACTCTCGGCACCCCGCAACCGCTGCCCACCGGCAAAGCGCTTTCCCTTCGCCCCACTCGGGGAATCCTTTTACCTCCGTGCGTCTACAGACTACAGACTACACACAGGACATGCAGTCCCGCGTGTATGCAACGCATTACACCTACAACCAGGTAGCGAATCCAATGAAGCCGAGTGAGAATAATGCATGCGCAAAGCAAATGACACTAAGCAAAGTCGCGTACAGATACCACGGGCAGTAATTGTACATCCAGTGCCTTGCAGAGCAAGAAACCGGAAAAGACAAGGCAGGATAAGTAATAAGCCTTGAACCTCCCTCCGTTCCCCTCCCCTCCCCTCCCCGCATCCGCAAATTTCCATAGCCCGCAGGCAGGCATACAAGAATCGGCGATAACCTCAACCCACCTGCAACCATCGCCCTAACTTACAACCTACAAACCCAACCTTCCTCCTCAACCACCATAACTAAAAACCAACTATCACTACCACCCCACCCCACCCCACCACACCACCCAGAACAACCCACCAACCAGCAAAACAAAAATGCCTAAAAAAATCCTCCTCATCAACGGCCCCAACCTCAACCTCCTCGGAACCCGCGAACCGCACATCTACGGCAGCACGACGCTATCGGACGTGGAAGCGAGCTGCAAGGCCCGCGCGACGGAGCTCGGCGCAACGCTGGAGGCGTTCCAGTCGAACCACGAGGGCGCGCTGGTGGACCGGATCCAGCAGGCGCGCACCGAAAATGTCGACGCCGTGATCATCAACCCGGGGGCGTACACGCACACCTCGGTGGCGATCCGTGACGCGCTGCTGGGGGTGAGCATCCCGTTCATCGAGCTGCACGTCAGCAACGTGCATGCGCGCGAGCCGTGGCGGCACCACAGCTATTTCTCGGACAAGGCGAGCGGGATTATTGTCGGATTGGGAGTTTATGGGTATACGGTTGCTGTGGAGCATGTTGTTAGGAATTTATAATCTTCCTATTCTATGGTTCGTGGGATGGGGTATAATTCATGGGGAAAGCGATTGGGTGGGGGTTACGATCGATAAAATAGGATATGTATGTATATGAGTGAATTTATGTATATTTACATTGATGGTGCTATTCTTCCCAGTGCTGCTCTGGTTGGGCAGATGGCTGATAGACCTATTTCTCGGTGGCTTGGTAACTGAGGGTTGGAGGTCTTCCCCATAACGGCAACTCTCCGGATCTAGACTGAGTAAATTCGGGGAGGCTGAAAGAAAGGGGGGGTATGGGGGGTTCTCCCCCCATGGCGCCAATTATTTGGTTTGGATTGAGGTTTAGCTGTAGGCTTACCAGCCGAGAATGCATCGCAAAGCCTCTCGGCTCGGACACTGCCATGAAGCAGCGGAGCGTAGACCAGAGTCTTATCATCATCGTTTGGAAGCCTCAACCGCTTGCGACTCCCGTCGTACGACCCCCGGCTCCGAACATGGCACTTGCTGCTGCGTCTGGGCCAGGAGGAACGGCTCCACCTGTGTCGAGTACGAGTATATCTCCGGGACCCCCGCATCGGGGACGAACCCCAGGTTCTGCATGAATTCGGGCTGATTGTCGGTTCTACAACTCTGTTAGTAACCCTTCTGGAAGAACGGAAATACAAACTTACTTTTCAGTCCCATCCAGCGACGCCAGTTCGTCAAATAATGCGTCCAGATCAGGCGCGATCTTCTGTCGTCGCGGTCCGTATCCTTCAATATCCACAAAGGAACCGAATGCAAGATTGGGGTCGCTGTAAGGTTGCTGGTACTGGGGACCGGTGGGGTGGAATGGAGAGGTCAGGTCGGGTATCATGGGAGTGCTGTTCATCGGCTTGGAAGTAGAGATGGAGGAGCGCGGATTGTGTGACATTGGCTCTTTGAGCTGAGAGCGCGGAAGGGGTTGCTCCGTGCTATGAGTGGTGATGTTCAGAGACGGTGCGGGAGTTGGTATCGATAATGCAACATTCTCCTCGAGATTGGGAGTTCTCATCCAGGCATGGGAGAAGAAAGCGTCGGGCGTGGCGAAGTTGGAGCGAGATTCGTCCATCGAGCTTACTCGGCGAGCGGACTCAGTGGGTGTCTGCAGGCTCGACATGGGAAAACCGGAAGCGTTGTGAGTTACCGACTCTCGGTTCGACAGACTCCGCTGCCGGTTTGCGGCGGCGTCTACAGGCGTAGGCGCATCGGGTGCTCTATCGGCCGGGATAGTCCCGACGGGATCCCTTCCATTCACATTCCAGACGGTTGCAAGATGTGCGGAGAAGGACTGAAGCTTATGTTTCAGACCCGGGTCGAGTTCGAAGGGAAGCGGTGCGGTTTCACTCTCCGATGCGGGAAAAGCGGCAAACGTCAGAATCATGCCGAAGGTTGGACACGTAGCCGAGAGGCTGTAGGTCTCCATATAGGTCTGAAGCAGCGATAACAATCGTTTGGAACTTTCCATAGCACGCTTCTTCAAAGGCATGTCAGGAACCATGCGATCGTCTCGCTGGGACGCAATCTGCAAACTGAGGTTTGTGGCGACGCTCTCGTATACCATCTCAAGAGCGAAGATATGCGGGGAAGCAACCTTTGTCTGGCTCCCCTGAACACCAACACGATACGTCTTTGGGAGTGCCGACACCCAGAGCTGCAGCTGACGCTCCAACGCCTCCAGCTGCGATGTCGGACCCGCCGACGTCTGCTTCAAGCAGCACAGATCATTCAGGATGCACATCAGCGAGGTCAGGCGATTAAACGTACTCAGTCCGTGCAGCGGTCCGCGGTGAAAAGATGCTCGAGTCGATTCGACCGGACGAAGCCCGGTTTGATCTTCCCATGGATGCCATTCCTCTAAGCCATCTTCATTGACCGGGCCAATTTTCAAAAGATCGTCTTTGCGAAGCGACGGCACCTGGCCTGTCTGCATAGCAACGAGCGTTTCCAAGATGAAGCAGCCCAAGAAGATATGCTTGGATCGACCCGCGCTTTTACCGTCCTCATTGGCTTTCAATTGCCCTGTAGATGGTTGGCTCAATCCCAGACTCTGCGCAACCCGGACAGCCTGTCCTACCAGCAGCCACGCGGCTTTCCAGTCCTGCTGTCCGATTTTGACCAGAGACAAGATCATCAGAGCCTGGACATGGCCCAACTCATGGGTCCCATCAGCTCCGGGGATGAGACTTTTTGCGGTCGCATACAGTTGGTTGGGGTCGGGTCGATCGGCGGAAAACTCTGTCAGCTGACGGGTTGCGGATATCGATGCTCCTTGGATGGAAGCGAGTGTCAACACCGCCCACAAGGCGGCGTGGTCTCCGGAGCCCGGAGTAGCAGGTGAAACAAGAACATCATCATCGTCATTGTGTCGGAAGGCCGTTCGAAGAATATCGTGTTTTTCAAGAATCGGAAACCAGCAGTGTGTATAAGAGAAGTATATGTCGAAGAGAGGCCATGCATTCGAGGGAAGCCGGAGGGGCTTCTGCATGACTGAGTCGGAGTTGGGGTCTAGATGGGAGGGCAAGCGAGCGAGCGAAGGGTTGGACAGCTCAACTAGAGCATCGGCCGGGGAAGTGGTCTGGGTGGACGTGTCTCTAGTGACACGGAGGGCGGTGTTCCTCGCCATCGCTGATGCGGCTGTCGGAGTTTTGACCGGGGAGACCACAGTCAATGAGCCTTCTCGCGCATCTCCCAGCACGTCCGAAAGATTCCATTCCAGCGTATCGGATGAGATGACAATACTGCCTTCGGCATCTTGCGGCGAGTAGGTCTCCCCGGCGATCCGGTTCCCTCCCGGATCATCCTCCGGTTGCTCCAGATAGGTCAAAAGCCGCTCGATCTCCTTGAGAACGATACTGTTCTTCCAGGACGAGAGCAAGGTGTCGGACCCTTCGGCTTCCTTGCCCATGGTCGCGAGGTGGCTTGGGATATTGGCGGCCCTTAACAGCGCGCGCACCACCTCCTCGCTGCCCTGGATCTTGTTGAAGACGAGCCCCCATAGCAGCTCAAGGGTCCGAATGTAACCGGTCGGGAGGCCGCGTTTCTTGGGATTGGCCTTGTAGGTACATGGCCGCGAGAGCGAGGCGCAGGTCGAACAAACGGGTTGCACGCCGTCACATTTGTCCTTCTTGGAGCGACAGCTGTCGCAAGCGCGTGAGACCCGTTGGCGTTTGGGATTGGAGGCGAGATCGTCTGCCGCCGGGGTCTGTTTGGGCTCCTCGTCGGCCTCTGTTAGACGTCGCTTGGATTTACTGGCGCCCCCGGAGGCTTGGCGCGTGTCGTTGTTCATGATCGTCTATCCCACGGTCCACTAAGTTGTTCCGGACGCATGTTCATCTTCAGGATGTGTCGTAGCCGGGGGAGATGAATCCTTTGCCGGTGGCTGTTTATGCCATGAATTTTGGCGCTGTCCGACTCCGACCCACTATCAATGCGATTGAGAACTAGGAGGAGGACTGAGCACGTTAGGGGGGAACCAGTAAGCGCAAAACCCGACCAGGATCAATATCGGAGTAATCGGCGAGGAGCGACAGGGATGTGGATGGTGGGATTTTGTTTTAGTGTGTGGGTGTAGTGTGGTGTAGTGTAGTGTGGTGGATGTGGGTGCGGGTGTGGGAGTGGAAGAGAGGAGGTGAGTGAGAGAGTGTGTTCACTGTTTCAACAATCAATAGGTAGAGTCACGCTGGGAAGAGAGATCGCAAAGGCGGAGAAAGGCAAAATGGAGAGAGGGGGAGATGACGGGCTGGAGGAAAAGTTGGGGAAAAGACCGGCTCTAACTGCTTACCCGCGGGCTGAACTTGGCAGAGAGGCAGAAAACCATGGGAATCTTTGGGAGTAGCAAAGAGTGGGAACTCAGTCTCAGTCTCCGGTCCTCTGAGAGTGAGCGGATTGGAAAACGCTAAGAGTCCCCCGGTAAACAGGATCGAGTAAGGTGTGGTCACGCTCTCGCTTGGGTGGCGGACTCTGCTGCAATTGTCATTATTCAATGTTATTCACTAGTATGCATTATAGACGACAGATACAATTAATTGTTCGAGAGATGTTGGGGAAGCTGATCACAGTGCATGCAAATTGCGACTTGATAATCCCCATGCGCCATGCGTTAACCCCGAAGCTAAAAGATGGCACAGCCTCCTCCATTCGATTTTTCGCTTCATCCCCGCGGGGTAAGAAGAACATGGGAAGAATTGCACTCGATTAGTTATTTCTTGGGCTGCCAAATCTTGCGTCTCGGAAGACGGAATCCCTCCGGACTGGAGAAAACCCTCGGGTGTGTCGGAGGGCGGAATCCAGTCGGCCAGCTGTAATTTACCGCTACATTACCAAATCATCCCCGGCAGAGCCTTTCTCCGCAGTTGCCGGCTTCCATTGACTCCATTGGGGGAGGGGTCCTTGGACCTTGGACCTGACAGAAGGGAACTCATCCATACTAAGCCTAGTGGCCTTGACCAAGTACGTTTGTACTGTGCATCGTGCTTCCTGCACAAGGCACACGACACAATGTCTACACAGGAGCTATGTCTGCGATAGGCCTGTATAAGGGTTCGAAGCTCACAGAAACAGATACCGAAGCAAGCAGCGCTGACAGGAATAATAAGCCTCTCATTAACTATTAATAAGTCGTGTGGTCAACTAACAATAGCCGATCAAAGACTATCCAGGAACAGCACCACTCCGCCATCGCCCACGAACGTACACCCGATACATATATCGCGAACACTAACATCTGCTCTATCAATTGGCCATTTCGAAATTTCCACATGTCAAACGGGTGTTGTCGGCCGCGTGCACCACCACGGACAAGTTTCCGAAGAATGCGGGTGAGCCCTCAACGTTGGACAGGAACCAGTCGGGGTACGAGATTGCGACGGACTCGCCAGGGGGCGCCCAGATGGGGCCATGTTTTCCGCTGAGATCGCCGACCTCGCAAGTCTGAGGCGCCTTGATGTCGCAGGGAGGTTGATCGGTGCGGCCATAGGGGTCAAGGTGACCGCTGGTGCTGTAGCAGTTGCCGTCTTCGGGGACACGCTGCTTGTGGACGTGGTATACTAGTTGAAGGAAACCAGTCAGTACGACAGGGTCGAGCTAAGCGAGATGAGAAACTCGCTGCGATGGGCAACACATACGCAGAGGGAGTCCCTCCTCGGGAATGCCCCAGAACTTAGCATAAATAGTCACGCCCACATGGTTGGGCCCAGGAGTCGCCTTGAGATAACCCTGCACCGTGGTGTTGTCCTTGTGCAGAAGCTGAACTTGCCAAATGGAATCGTTGTTGCCCCGCACCACGGGCGCATCAGTGGCTGCTGCCGTTGCTCGGAGGCAGAGGAGGCCCAGCGAGGCCCAAGAGAGAGTCTGAGACCACATGGTTGGAAGAACTCGAATGAAATAAATAGATGGGAGGGAGGCGGAGTCTATCCGATGTCGTGAACCGCGGCTCGTTGTGCGAGGGTGCTGCTTTTTATGTTTCGCTTTTGCAATGGTTGTTGACGAGAACGAAGCAAGGGGACCCTTGATTGTACGGCGCAGAGTAATCACGGATTGAAGGAAAGTGCGACCTTGGCAACGGCGGGTTTTATATCAGGCCCAGGGTAGTTTCGAGGCCATCAGTCCCAAAGAAGAGCTTCAGTTGGGTTACTGAGCTAAGCACATCCAACGTCAATCAGGGCTGGTGTTGCTGTTGGCCGGTTGCGGTAGAAATGCACTGGGCAGACCGTCACCATCCCTTGTTACACCGACCTCAATAGCGGTGGGCAATGTCACCGTGGCTTGGAGCTTGCCGGTTCGTATCCCTTTTTAGTGACAAATTGTGACAAATTGGAAGTCGACAACCACCTACTATGCATCGCCCACCTTGGGGCTGACTTCATCAATACTTCATCGTCGACCCACGTAGTCAGGGAGGGTCTGTTCCTGTTCCTGAGTCTGCTGCAGCCTGGCGATTTGCTCATCCCCCGCATTCAGAAATAGTAACGCTTATCGACTGGCAAAGCCATGCTGGCTATACGAGGGTCGATCGAAGAGAGCGATGCAACACACGATTTGGGACACGATGAGGATTGTTGGATAGATCATAAAGGTTGTTTTGGACGAGTAGGTTGGTGGTAACAGCAAATGCGATCGCAATCACAATCACAACAACGATGACGGGCTATGGCTGAGTCTCGTGACGAGGCCGGAAAGCTTCCTTTCTATCTCACTCCGCCTCTGCATCGCTTTTTATGCATCTCGGTCGGATGGCTTCGGTTTCTTGTCTGAGTTCTCGGGCAGAGAGACGCCGAGCGAGACCCAGCAGGATCGAATGGACGAAAGGGTCTGTTGCTGGAAGGGGGGAGGATCGACTTAATGTCGGGCTGCTTCCCCGCAGTCTGGACTCCACTCGCTCATTCCCAACTGATGCCTCATATCGCGGACTCCGGACTTCTCTGCGGTTGACCTTCGGCAGCTCGGAGAATGTCCTACCTACAGATTTGGATCCACTCATTCTTCGATCACAAAGCTGTTGATAAGCTGTGATGTACAATGGAAAATGTCACTTATTTATTCGACTGGAAGGTCAGCCTCTTGCTGGCTGACGCTCAGAAAGACGACTCCGACGAAACGACCCGCGGCCTCTCTGTATCTTTTCTCGCTGGATTCGATCCTAGATCACGATGTCTCTTGCCCAGTCACATTATATAATCCAACTGCCCAAGACACCATCGGTCATCGGCGCGCTGGATCCCCGAGGCATCGTTCAGCGATGGCTTACCAACTTGGAGGTAGTCCTGACCACGGGCTCTTTCCACCAACTCTCAAGTCTATTCCACGAAGAATCTTGGTGGAGAGATATGCTGGCGATGAATTGGGATCTGCGCACGATACAGAATCGTGATCGGATACAGGATTTTCTGGCTCAGAATCAGGCCCGGGCTGGCCTGTCTGCCCTTCGTATACAACACGAGGGCAAATTTCAGCCCAAGCTGGAATCTCCAATAGAAGGGTTGAGATGGATCACCTCCATGTTCTTTTTCGAGACGTGTGTGGGTCATGGAACTGGCGTGGTTCGACTGGCACAGAATGAAGCCGGCGAATGGAAGGCATATTCAATGTGTACGACGCTGCAGGAACTGAAGTCTTTCGAAGAGCCCCTGGGTCTACGCAGAGCACAGGGCACCATCGAAACTATGCCTGGTGGTCTCAGCCAGGGAAACTGGCTGGAACGACGCCAGAGATTAAGCAAGTTCGAGGATGAGGAACCTAGAGCCTTGATAATTGGCGCTGGTGAGCACTATAGTCTACATAAACACTGGTATCAGCTAACAGCCAGCCAGGACAATCCGGTCTCAACATTGCCGCTCGACTTCAGTCTCTGGGCGTGTCTAACCTTATAGTCGACCGGAACGAAAGGATAGGTGACAACTGGAGGAAGCGTTACAGGGTGAGCTTTCATACGATTCCATCACTGGTCAACAGTCCTTAACATCCTCGCAGACTCTCGTCACCCACGACCCTGTCGAGTTCACTCACATGGCTTATCTCCCGTTTCCTAAGAACTGGCCACAATACACGCCGAAGGACAAGCTTGCCGACTGGTTCGAAGCATACGCCAGCATCATGGAGCTCAACGTTTGGCTGCAAACCTCGATCAAGTCCGCTACCTACGATAACACCAAGCACGAATGGACCGTGGTCGTGAGTCGCGGTAGCGGGGAGGAGCGAACCCTTCACCCACGCCATCTGATATGGTGCACCGGCCACTCAGGGGAGCCTTTGGTGCCGACCTTCTCAGGCCAAGGGCACTTCAAGGGCACCATCTACCACGCAAGCCAGCACGACGATGCATCCTCCCACGACGTCCAAGGGAAGCGGGTAGTCGTTGTAGGCACAGGCAACAGCGGCCACGACATCGCCCAGAATTATCACGAAAACGGCGCAGAGGTGACCATGCTCCAACGCCGCGGCACCTACGTTATCACTGCCGAAAAGGGGGTTCTGATGATGCACGAAGGGCTCCACGAAGAGAACGGGTAATCCCTCTCTTTCCATTTCCTAGACATCCCACCCACCTATACAATCCACAATCCACTAACACTATCTCAACAACCAAGTCCCCCCACCGAAGAAGCAGACCTCATAGCCGAAAGCCTCCCCTACCCCCTTCGCTTCGCCCTCGACGTCCACTTCACCAGACGAGTCCAAGCCGCCGAACACGACCTCCTCACAGGCCTCGAACGCGCCGGCTTTGCTCTCGACCTCGGCGTCGACGGCGCCGGCATCCCGCGCGCCTACATGACCCGCGGCGGCGGATACTACATCGATGTGGGCTGCAGCCCCCTCATCGCGGCCGGCCAGATCGCCGTCAAGCGCAGCCCAGAGGGTATCTCCCACTTCACGGAGCGAGGCATCACGCTCAAGGACGGCTCGACGCTCGACGCGGAAATCGTTGTGCTCGCGACGGGGTATGACAACATGCGGACGACGGTCCGGAAGGTCCTGGGAGATCGGGTGGCCGATCGACTCAAGGATGTGTGGGACTTAGACGAGGAGGGCGAGATCAATGCTGTAAGTTTGATGGTTTTTACCACTTGTCCCTTGTTTCAACCCCGATCTTGGCCTTGTGGTACCTCATAATCTGGTTTTGGGGCCATGGTCAGGGTTAGCCTCTAATTTCCTGTATACGTATGCTGATATTAGTTATCCCAGATGTGGCGCCCCAGCGGCCACCCCGGGTTCTGGTATATGGGCGGTAACCTGGCGCTGTGTCGCATCTACTCGAAGTTTTTGGCGTTGCAGATCAAGGCTGTAGAGGCGGGGTTGGTGCAGGCGAAGCTGTGAGCTCTTCTGTACTAGAACCAGAAGAAGATGCTTGGATATTTGTAGACAAACTTAGAAATCATAGATTCAGGGATACAGTAGTGGGTTGTTTTCCATATAGCTCCAGTTCTAGACTGCTGGTGAAAGAGAAAAGACTGCCTAAACTTGATGATCTTGGCATCCACGACTACCTTCTCTCATCTTTCGCTGTGTTTTATTCTGCTAATGCTTAGAGTGAGAGAATGGGTAGTAGCAACCAACTAAAGGCAAGGAAGCAAACAACACCTCTACCCATCTAAACATCTACCCCCCTCTAAGGCACCCATCTCTAGGAGACTTGTCACAGTGAAAAGTAAGAGTAGATCGGGCACACAGCCACACCCGCATAGTACGAGTCGATGTGTTCCTGAACACCAAGGAAGGTTCTCAACATGTGTTGTGAACTAGACCACTCCACATCTTACACGACGACAATTACCAGGCACATACTCGTAGGTACTTGACCATATTCGTCACTAAGAGTCCACCTTAGCTGAACAGAACAGCAAATAGACAGCTTCGTGCCGCCGTCGAGCGACAGTGGGGCATATCGGGAGGCTTGAAATGGATGGATTCAATTTTAGAGCCGTCGAGAGCTGCAGTCAATGGGAGGAAGCGTCGTGTTAGGCGATGATGATTGAAGCGAGTGCCCGCGTCGAATTGGTAGAAGTCCGGTAAGAATTGTATCTCTCTCTCTCTCTCTCTCTGCGCGACCAGGATCCCATCTCTGGTGACTGCACTCCACTGTATCTTCTGCATTCAGCTCTGCCAGCAGGGCCCACTGCAGGAACCGCCGTTGAACATCGACCGAAAGTGACCGGAGTCATGAACGCCTGTCGAAACAGCTCTGCCACAGAAAGAAGAAAATGTAACCTCGTCTGGCTTCAGTTGTCACTAAGCTGCGTGACAGCTGCAGTTGGAGCATAAGCCACTCACTTTCCACACGAGACATTCAGTCATGAATTAGCCACATCAACTGGACCAGAGGGAAAGAAATATCACTTTTTACCCGCAGCGGCAGTTACAATATAAGAGGCAATAGCTCACGCAGTCTGAACCACAGTGAGGAAGGTTTTCGCCCGTATCATGACAAATCATATTGCAATCACCTACGAGTGATTGAAGGTCGATGAGACATACGTAGACACTAGACCGATCTTACAAGCAAGTAAAATCTCAAAAGAGAGATCTGAACCGGCATTTCCAGACCACGCACAGTGACAGAGTAAAGTGATGATAGTCATATACATCCCGCGGGGACGACACTTAAATTCTACTATATACCAACGGCCCCATTCGCCAAAATCATACATCACATAATATGCACATTAAACATGAGTGTCGCTGGAAACAAATAAGGGAAACATGAATCATAAAGCCAGGAGTGCCGTAAATTAGACCCCCGCTTTTCTTCAACTTCTCATTTCTGATTTCAGTCTCTTGCTTGCTCGCCATCATCGATAATCATCTCCACATCCTTGATCGGATGGAGAAGCATCGGAGGAAGACACATCCGGCCCTCACCCGCCAATTCCTCCTGCTCACCTCCATCGTTATCGACCTTGAAGCCCAGCCAGCGGCGCCAGAGATTTGGCGAGAAGCCCGCCGAGTAGAACCAGGTCGTGCCGCGGAAGTTGTGCTCGCGGTCGCCAAAGACGGAGGTGCGGGCGCCGCCCGAGGCACCGTTTCGGCCGGCGTTGAACACGGATTCTAGGTATTTGGTGGGCCAGCGGCGGTCCAGGTAGATGGAATGCGGGACCGACACGGCCTTGAAGCCGTGGTGGAGGGCTGTGGAAGCCGGCCACATCTCCGAGAACATGGTATGGCGCTTGAGGACGGTTTCCTTGTGCATGGTGTGCAGGAGCTTGTGGGACATGCGAGAGGCGGTGATGATGGCCGTGCGGCGCGGGGGCATGCTGAGCTTGTCGTAGCCGGTCACGTCGTCACGGAGCGCCCAGGTCGTGCCCTCAGGGTCGAAGAGAGGGTTGAGCACTATGAGGTCCGCTTCCTCGCCGACGCCCCACTCGTATCGGTCCTTTTCCATCGTGGTGGGCGGGATGCCTTCGCCCTCGACTTCGAGGACATCTTGCTCAGCGGGACGTTCGGGGCCCCAGACAGATTGGTCGCCCTGTTGATGCAGGGCGTTCTTCTCGGCTGCCGACTTATTTTGGCCGGGCTTGGGTGCGCTCCACATGTTGTTGGGGCTGTTGGTGCCAATCTCGGTTTGTACGCGTACCATCTGCCGGAAGTCCTCCCACGTTCCTTGCACTGACGGTACGTAAAAGCGCGCATTGCGTTCCCATAGGCCTTTGCGGGGCTGCTCTCGCGCCCAGCTGACTACCTTGTCGAAAAGGTGATACCAGTGGCCGGTGTATCGGGCATCCATTTCCCAGTTCCAGTAGTAATCGTATTCGGGATGCTGGTACGCGAAGTACTGCATGGGCATATGGGTGCTTCGATACACCCCATGTACAGAGAGTCCACTAGCCCATGTCTCCTCCAGACCGGGGTACATAAGCGCCATTTGTCGCTCAGACCAAAGCGTGGCCATACCACGGAACTCGGCCGGCAAGGCTTCTGCGAGCACACGCTCGTATGTTTCGTCATCGGCCCAGATTTGGAGATTCTCATCTTTGACGTGCACCAAAAAGTGGATGGTGTACTCACCGCCGGACTGCAGAGACAATTCCGAGATCAGCGAACGCAAATACAGAATGTCATCAGGACTATAGCGGTAGTCGTGCCAAGTGCGAAGAACAAACGCGGTCCGAGGAAGATGTTCCTTTTCGGGGCTCCCCGTTTGCCCCTGGTCTGGAGAGCTTGACAGAGTCGCATCATCCAATGCCGGAACGCCGACCGACATGGAAACGAACCGATTAAGACGCGGTGTAGGTAGCTCTTGGAAGCGGTGACTGTTTGTGGCCATGCATCGATTCTGGGCTGCAGCCCAATCAACCTTCCGAAAGTCGATTGGCGGGAAGTCCTCCCAGACATGTTCGGCACCCTCACGATCTCCTTCTAAGCCTGCGCCAATTCCCCCTTTTCGGACACTGTAGCCCATACCATACGGTCCGAGTCGACCAAAGCGGTCGAAGCAAACGTCGTCCTTGATGCCAAGAACTTCATTTGAACCAATAACTGCGTCAGGGAACCCGCGAGGCACGCCAGGGTAGTAGTGAACTAGAGGGATCCGCAGAGTCCCGTCCTCGTCCAGAAAGCATTCTCGTTTCTCGCCATACTTTGCAATGTATTCCGGAGACGCATAGTCAGGATAGGGATTGAAAGCCAAGCTTGAAAAAGGCACTGTTTGATCGCGCTTCGAAGTATTGGTGATGTTTTTAGGAGCAGTGCTGCCAAGTCCCATTGCTTCCAAGCTATCATTGGGATATTCGGGAACGTTTGCCGCACGTGTGACCAAGGTTCGTATACCGCCATGGTACCGCTCCAGAAAGGGGAAGCTCTCCCAAGTAGGAGGTTTCGAACTAGGTTTGGGCAGTGGAGCATTGACTCGACTGACGCTTGAGAGAAATGTAAACCGAAATAAAACAATGATGAATACTACGAGGAACGAAAGCAGTCCCATGCAGAGCCATCGCATCACGCGGTGGGGAACACGATAGCCCATTGCAATGCGAGGGGGCCGGCGCACCGGCGCATCGTTCAGCATAGGGCGATGTGAAGCCGCGGATGAAGAGCTGTTGGAGTCATCCTCACTATCCTCATTGTCCGTGTCAAAGGAGCTTTGGCTGTACTGGCGATAGTGATGTTGAGGACGTGCGGGTTGTTTTTCTATATCCACGACCACATTGCGACTCTTCTTAGAGAACCGTGCATGCGAGGCCGGATGCCTTTTGGCTCGAATGGGCATGGTGGACACAGCATGAACAGGTGGGCGTTGTCGACGTCAGAGGAATGCGCGCCGGGCAGGGCGATCGATGGAACGGCACAAGCGATCCGAGGAATGGGAGGGATAAGATCCGCAGCTATCGTGTGTCAGGTCAGTGAGGAATTTGAACCATAGATATGCGACGAGAGAAAACGCACAGGTCAATTCGTTCCTGAGCAGTGTCAGAATGGTTCGCCCGAAAGCGGGTGTCTGACTATTGCCCACCGATCTATAGACACGGTTCCACAGAGGAAACGAGGGCACAATAAAAACAATGATAATCGAGAAAGCTCGACTTGCCGGAGCCCAAGGAAAGCCGAGCAATGGCAATAAGGTCCGGAAGCGAAGGCAGAGACAATTCAATGTTCTCGGACTAATCATCGACAAAACACGAGGCTGGCCTGCGAGAGTGTATACGGCGTAGTGTTTGGTAGATCGGCGCCAGGCGGTTGCCCAAGGGACAGCCAGCGTTACTGCACTAGACTAGGCAGGACTTGACCGTCTTGGCAGGTCCAGTCTTAGAACCAGGATTCCATAGTATCGAGGAGAGTCTAGCTCCGAAGGGCATCTCAAAATCGCCTCCATTCTTGTAAGTAAGAATGAGAGAATCGAATAGCGATAGGAACAACGCTGCAAACCCGCTAGATGTACTTGGGAGCTGGAGAACGGTACCTCGGTTCCAGAGTTGTCGAGAACTTCATTGGAACTCAACCTGTTAGTCCATAATAGGATTAGTGCCTTCAGTTTCAAGGCTAAACTGGTTAGGGATATTGAATGCCTGAGGCCTGAAGGCATCAGTGCCCGGGCCATCAGCAATAAGGTCTACATTACATACTCCACCCAACTCAAAAGACAAGTCACACGATAGTCAAAGACTTACGGAGTAGGTAAGTAGAGTCAGCTGCTCTATGTACTACCGATATGTCCTTGCCCAGAAATAGACAGTGCTCTTCACACGAATTGGTCTCAATTGATTCCTTGGTGCGAGCACCAGGCATTTTCGGGGAAGCAAGCGAGGAATCCGTTACCTGCAGCCATCAGCGCGGTGATGTCACTGATATTCCAACCTCAGTTCCCAGCAGCCCGTTAAACGCATTTGTTCCCACGAGCCTATATTGTGTCATTATGGCATGACCTCCACCGGCACCTGGGAATGAGCACCACCGTGCTCAGGGCCCACAATTACCCCGGCATCTTGGTGAATTGGACTCCACTACCCATTGCTGGGGATTGACTCCTCACTATGCCTAGCAATGGAGAGTTATCCAAGACACAAAGGACATGGTCCTCGCTGCACGGCTGACATCCACACACCTCGTATTGCATTCAAAACCTGCGACAAGGGGGAAATTATCTGGACGAAACAGCTCATGCGCTGACAGCTTCGGCATACCGTGGCTGACCCCGACTTTCCCGCCGTCTTATTCTCCGAGCCCCATTTTTTTTCATGAAGTTACTTTGACTTTTGTCATAGCTGCTTCATCTCTTACTCCCTTAGCTGCTTTTCGCCGGCATACATCACCGTGACGACTGTACCTAGTACTTCCACGAACAATACCGCCCACGCGCAGTAGCCGAGCCGTTGAGGAAGGACGAGCGTCTTCTGAAGGAGAGAGTGCGCCTCCCTTTCTCCGTATAGATCACATTCTGGGCTGCGGATGATTAGTTGCGGTGTGATGTAACTGTGACCCTGATTGGCCCGCCTTGCTGCACATACAGGCTGTGTACTCGACGCAAAGGGCAGAAACCTATCGTGGCAGCATGAGACCTGCCTGCCGGTACCTACTGACTGCCCTTGACTGTCTTGACCCAGCAACCGCCTTGATTCTGGCCATTCCTGGGGAGGCTTTCCTTTGTTGTGGTACGAAGAGCCGGGTCACGATATGACACCCACCTTACTCACAGCCCAAGCAGTGTGTATAAGAGCGAGCTCACAGACCCTCCGCGCACATCGAATGGCGCTGTCCTCTCGTCCGTCGCATTGAGGCGATCGAGCTGAACTATATCCTTTCAATCGCCATCCCCAGAATACCACCCCAGCCTTCGATTTGTATCAAGCCCAATCAACAAAGAATCAAGCCAAACAGACATCATGGTACGCACTGCTCCAGACCCATTACTCCACATACACACAATCTTGAACCCACACACACAATGCCCTAGCAGAACAATCATTGACATAGATCACCGAATATAGACATCCTCGACCCTCGCACCCGGCCACACCCACCACTACCACCATAACCACCACCTCACCTTCACGCTCGACCCAACAACAACAACAACAACATGCCTCCTCCTCATCCTCCTCCCAACCCTATACCTCATGCACACCATCCGCAAAGATTACCAAGCCTTCCTGGCCCTGGGACCAGGAGGCACCCCCTCAACACCAGCAGGCTACCTGCGTATCTGCATCCTGCGCCTCTTCATCCTACGCAACCCATTAGCAGCACCGACGATCCCACCCTGCGTCCAACCACAACAAGGCCTCCTCACGCCCTCGCACCTACCACCTCGGCCGGGACCCCGGCCCACCGTCGCAGGGATCGCGCCGCAGCGCCAAACGACCCAGAAGAGCGACGCAGAGATGTACGAGACGCTCTCGACAGAGATCCACCGGCTGGTGGCCCAGCACCCGGATACGCTCTACACGGGCACCTCGTGTTTCGAGAAGTATAGCACGGGGATGTTCTGCGCAGGGAACGGGAGCGGGAACTCAGCGTGTGATAACACAACTACCACCACCTCCTCTTCCTCCTCCACAACAACCACAAATACAATCACCAATCCCCAAAAGCAACCCCCAGCAAAAGACATCTCCCCCGCCCTCAAATCATCATTACTACCATCATCAGGATCCCCACAAACCCCACAAAACAGCCACAGCCACAGCCACCAAAACCACCAACGCCGCCACCGCCTCACCTGCAACGGCGAGGTATGCCATGCCCACCCCAGCGACGGCAGTTTGCACCTGACGCTGCACCCAGCAGACGTGAAGCTCGTGGTAGAGCGCGGCTGGGGTCAGCGCCACCCGCTGGCGCGCGACAGCTGGTGGTGGTGGCTGCGGATCGTGCCGCCGGGGTTTGTCATGGTGTATGCGCCGCGCGATGCCGAGGAGCTGGAGTGCGTGCTGGAGATTATTCGGGCGGCGGCTTGGTGGGTTAGTGGGACGGAGTTGCGGAGATGAATGTTCTCTCCCTGAGGAAGGGGGGGAAATGGTGTGGTGTAGCGGTGGTGAGAAGCGGGGGTTGAAGTCAGTTTTATGACCCTGGGTTTTTTATACGGTTATGATTCCATCTTCTGTGGGACGTTCGGTATATTCCAGCAGAGGAATAAGAAAGGACGGCTCGATAAGCCAATGTACGGAGACAAGGAGGGAGATTCACAGATCAAGCCCACAATGGCTATCATCACACCCGGATATGGCAGGGCTGGTGGTGGGCGGCCCGAATATCACGCTGCATAAATAAGACTATAGATAAGCATGAAACGGGCGGGCAAGAGTTCATTCTATATCTCCCTTGTGTTGTAACTCACATGCCACGATTCTACTGGTTGCGTTTTTACCTTCTCACTTGAGTGATGGTGAAATATCGAGTAGGCTCCCCCAGTCACCCCATGCGACCAGACATCCATCCGATAGCATTGCGGACGGGAGTGAAGATAGAGATCATCGTTGCTATCAACACCGAGATATAGATATCATCGAGAGAGAACACAAAAAAAAAGTAAAAAAGCTAATAGCATAGAGGAATGAAGAGCCGTAAGAGAACATACAAGAACCACCAAAGTAGCATTTCCCTTCCACACTACAACACGAGGTGTCTTTGCCGGCCCCGGTTTCTCCCCCCTGTGTTTCCCATCATATCATCTGCAACTGTCCCCGTCACACGCTTCCAGGTATACCTCCAATCATTATATCCATTTAGTCGCGGTTGGTTTTCCGCAGCGTCTCGGCGAGCCACTCCAGACCCTCGTACAGACCATCACCAGTCGTGGCGCAGGTGGATTGAATGAACTACAGACGAAAGAAAAGACCAGGTCAGTTTGAGCCTTATTTATACCTGAGGCACCAAGGTGATATCAAAACTTACCCAGGGGCGGCGAGTGAGACTTTGCAGACCGAGCTGCTGGGTGATTTCGGCAGGGCTCATAGCGTTCTGTGATACAACCATCAGTATTCGTCTTCTTCATCCATTTATTAATTGCAAGCGTTGAAGCACATACGGGCAAATCTTGCTTGTTAGCGAAGACCAGGAGAAGGGCGTCACGGAGTTCATCCTCGTTCAACATGCGCTGCAACTCTTCGCGGGCCTCGACGACACGATCCCGATCGTTGCTGTCGACGACGAAAATGATACCCTGAGTGTTCTGGAAGTAGTGTCTCCAGAGAGGACGGATCTTGTCCTGACCACCGACGTCCCAGACGGTGAACTGAATGTTCTTGTATTCGACGGTTTCGACGTTGAAGCCTGCATGATTCCCCGGGAATTGTCAGCGTCCGCAGTTCACATGTATAACCCAGAAGTTGGATGCAGAAAGAGAACCGATGGCTCGACGAGACTACAGTTGGCAAGGGTGACTGACCGATGGTGGGGATGGTGGTGACGATTTCACCGAGCTTGAGCTTGTACAGGATGGTGGTCTTTCCGGCGGCGTCGAGACCAACCATCAGAATTCGCATCTCCTTCCGTCCCCATAGACGGTCGAAGATTTTGGAGAAAGTGAGACCCATGATGGCGGTGGCGAGTCTTCAAGGTTCTAGATGGAGAGCGCGGAGGATGTCAGATGCGACCGCACAGGACAGAGTGTAAGAATGCAAGCACGAGCGCGAGGATGTCTTGCTATGGAGCACGGATCGGGAGGAGGGGCTGAAGAGGTATATATGAGAGCGAAGAGGACAGTGGTATGACGAAGGGGAATGGAGGTGGACGACGAGGGGTGGAAGTCGTCAGGTTAAGGTAGTCACGCCGGGGAAACACGGCGGGCAAGACAAATCAGGGGGAGTGGTGGATGGGATCAGGGAGGCAAAGGGAAAAAAGACACAGAGACCAGACAGAGCCAGCCTAGCCAGAGAGATATGATGCTTGGTGGAGGAGACACGAAAACAGTCCACTAGACATTAACATAGACAGCAGATAGAGACGTACTTACCGATGTGATTTGAAGATGGGAGGGAGAGAGGGAGGCGTGGATACAGAGAGGGGGGGGGGAATGAATGGGTGTGGGAACGAGACCAGAACAGAGAGAGACAGAAACAGAAACAGAAACAGCAAAACTGCCAGGTCGAGAAATTCAGCCGCCGGCGTAGCTTCCGTCACTAACTGAAACCAGCCAAAAACAATCAATACCGACTATAAACGGGGGGCACTAGAAGCATGCACCACCATGAATGACGCCAAATATCTTGTTCATGAAGGATGAATCATATCCAGAATATTCAAAGAATCATTCTTGGGATCTCTATAACCATCCACCTGGAGAGCCGCTACAGCTGGCACTATTGAGACACACTCAGTTCTGCCTGGCCACCAGAAGAGGACACGGTGTTTCCCGTCCATGGAACTGTTACCATCTTACGCGGTAATCTTACCACACTTCCGCTATGGCAAGTCCCGCCCCTCGTCCCGTCAATACGGCAGGCACTATCACGATTCACAACCTCTAAGACAAAACTATCAAGCATCTAGATTAGGGTAGTAAGTAGACTAGGTAGCCAGATTCTGACCATCACTCTATTTCGATCCTTCTACCTAGTAACCAACCCAGCTTCCCTTCCTTTTGCCTCTCTCCCAGGCACCAAAAACAAATTATCCCCGACCACCGTACACCTTGTCCCAATGGATCGCCATCGGTGGCACTATGGGGGTAATGCGCAAGGTAATCATCGGGAAGGGAAGGGGGCTTCAACCACCTACTGCACTGCAGGCTGCCCTCGTGCCTCGTGCTGCATAGCCAAACAGCCACAACACGCGCTCGAGAGATTACTAATAAGGGCAATGATCTTGGATATTCCATAACATATACCTAAACAGAATTATACACCGCATCATCATCTATGCATTCGAAGTTCCAATCCCCATGATTTGATATCAATGAGTGCTTGCTCGGCAAATTAAGTTCCATTGGGCCGTTGCCATATTTAATCTTCGGAACCCACAGGGACCACTTCCGCAGGCCTTAAACACCGTGGGACCTATACGCGTCATGCGGGTTATTCATGCTTGCATACCTACGATCCCTTCTCTGTTCCATGTTTGAGGGGTACCTCGAAAAACGGGTCATCACTTGATCATGTTTGACTCAGAAAAAAAACAACATGCTGCGATTCGTGTTGGTATTCTGACCCAGGCTTATGCGGGAACAAAGATTATGGATCTACCACTGTTGACGGTACACCGTTTGCCATGTGGCAGAATTGCATACAAAAATCTGGGACCCTGGTTTGGATCCCCCTCCCCTCAACTCAGGTCAGATCAGGGTTACATTTTTCCGGAGTGTACTCGCCAGATCTCCTTCCCTTTTAACTGTAGTGTCTAAGGTAGGTGTTGAATCAACCATACTTCAGCTTATTGTTTATAGCTTTAGATGACTCCTGCAACATTCTATTCTTCGCTAAGAATTCGTGTATAGTACATATTAATTCCTCGTCAGTCAAAGTCACCTGAATTCCATCGCACCCCTCAAGACGGACAGGGTCAACTGCTCGGTGCATCCCTGCGACTGTGCGAAATCTTGCTCCGAGACAACCGGAAGAACTTCTGGAACAACGACTCGTAGATCGGTTTACCCTCCACCGTGTCACTCACATAACCGAAGAAAACCAGCGACACGAAGGACAAGAACATGATCACGCCGAAGCTGGCCCAGTACTGCGTGATCGTGTACGTTCCTTTGACATTCTGAAGCTCTGTCGAAAAGTACCCCGTCATCAGACTGACCGGTAGAAAGAGGATCGTCACCTTCGCCAACAAGATAGTGATCCGGGTTAGTTTTTCCACAGCTTGTGAATCTTTAAGCGCGATCAAGTTGAAGTTCTGTGCACGAAGAGTCAGTCTCAAGCGGGGATATTCCAAGAAGAGAAAGGAGCCGCACCAAGAAGGTCAGATTCTCTTTCTCCGTCAAGCAAGTGTCAATTTCAGAAAGGCAATACAGCTTGATGCGGTCGATCAACCTCTCGAATCGAGCCACGGCCGTGGAGCTTAGGTATACGCCGACTGAATCGGCCGGGGCACTCGCGAGACTGAAGCTGCTTTGCATAGATTGCTGTTGAGCATCGACGGAGTCGTCGTCATCGAATGTCTGTCCGAGCGCCAACTGAGGGCGGTTGTGGCGTGCTTTGTCCTGGAGCGACCGCTGTCGTTGCAGAATGCGCATCATGATGAGCTCGTAGCTCTGGTAGAGACGCTTGAGGACCGCCAGTCGCCTTCCCAGCCAGTGTAACTCGTCTATCAAGTCTACGACCGGCTTAGCCAGCATATCTCTCCTCTACCTCAAGGGATTAGTGGCAGAGAACAAGATGCAATAGGGGAGCCACAGAATGGCGTACCAACCGATCCAAAGCCACACCGTATTTATGCTCACGCTTCGCAACAAGAGCATAAGATGCCACCCAGTCATCGAAGATATAGTAAAAAAGTAGACTCGGGCCATCCTCTTGCCTAATGCTCGTCTGTTCGGGACCCGCCTCCGGGGATGGTCGTACCCGGATAGTCACCAGGGAGTCGCTTTCTGAAGAAGTGGGATGATACTTGGATACCCCGGCGAAGATAAGCTGCATGTTCCGCCGCACCACGCCGAGAACAGCCTTGATTTCTTTCTCCGATGGACCAGATAAGCCAGGAAACGGGTTCTCTTGCATATATATGACAGTTCCTGTGCACATCAGTATTGGACTTGGGCAAATGGAGGGAAGATTCGTACCATCATCACACAAAATCAACCAGGACCACAACCGCCTGCCATTGGGTAGGTCTTTCCCGTTGTCCATTTCGAAACCTGGGATCACGTAGATCGAGTTATACCCAACGCAGGTATCTGCCCTATCGTGAGAATCCTGCCTCTGACAATTGAGAAAAGTCGGGCATACATCTTGGTCCATAATCCACAGAGCAAAAGTGCCAGATCTGATCGATAACATGGGCGAAGGTGAGCCCCCTGAAAGATGCCAGTGCGCTAATTTCCTCGGGATCTGTCAGACTCCTCAGAGCGTTGCCTTCTTCGAGGTCGTCCAAGCGGGGCGAATGTAGTCTATCGAGCTGTCTTGCATGGAAGCTAATCCTTGGAGGCTCAGCAGGAGCTGGAGGCTTTGATGGACGCTCGACCGGGTCTGTGCACATCATGCCCTGTAGCCGTTCGGACACACCATAGTGACTAGTGATGGTCTAAGGATGTCAGTAGAAGCCATAACGGCCAGTTCAACATCTGTCTGACCTTGATCAGATCCTTCTGCTGCTCGGGAGCCCATATGTTGCTGGTAGACAATGTTCAGTAAGGTGTCGCCATTCGTGTTGGATGATGCGTGTACTACTTACATCCACCGGGTCCCGAAGCATTTCGGCTTCTAAGCAATACCCAGCGTTAGCATCATTCGCGGATATCAGGGTATAGGCTTATCTCACGTACTGGCTTGTGTAAGAGCAGCGCGATGTCTTCCTGGTCCAAGTTTACTGCACACCACGCATCTTCATTGCCAAAGTCGAGGACAAAGTTCCTCGTCTGCGGATCTTGTAGGACAGCTCGGTACTGCTTCAGGTTGGCGGAATCATCGATGTCGCGGAACTTGTGTCCAAGCTCCGGCCTTTGAGTAAAACTGGAATAATAATCTTGGGGTGTGTGAGTGCTGTCGACTGTCGCAGGCTCGGACATCTCTCGGTTTGCTTGTAGGTGTGGGCAGCCGCCAGAGAGTACATACAATGACGGAGTATGGGAGTGGAAGAAAGGGGAGAAGAAAAACCAGGCGCTGGCGCTATTTTGAAGTAAGCAGCAGTCTGCTGTACTCGATCAAAATATGTCTCGCATTTCCAGCCTCGCGCAGCTCCAGGCGACCTTTTAAGAGCTGAGACAATGTAGCTTGCCGCCCAGCGCGGGCGCCAGTGCCTGCAGCCAGCTGACTCGTCCGCAACACGAGGGGTATGTTAACAACTTCCTGCCAAGGGGGGCTGGAAGCGGGCGCGTATCGCTGATGGTGGGCGCGGAAAGTTATCATCTGGTTGATTCAATTGCATTAATGATCTGCGAGCTAGGACCAGGTGAAAGGCTTGAGAAAGATGAATGTGAGATTGTTGTTCAATCAGTTGATATATAACTCCTTTGCGGCACGACTATATGAACCGTGCGCACTGGTCAATATTGCGACACGGACTAGCAGTAGACTTAGATACGAGCTTTGACTGCATTCGAGCATATCCATGGACCCTCGTATTATAAGGCTAATACTTTAATAGCATTCATCCTGAAGGACCCCTATCAGGCACAGACAACAGCATACCCCATAGTTACCCAAATGAGTTAGTTCCACCGGCCCGTCACGCGGTCCGCAGGAATTCCTTCCAGTTCCCACTGAGTGCACGCAACGAAAGCATCGTCAGATCTACCGGTCACAAGTACAGGATTCACTTACTCTCGCAGACGGATCATCAGTTGACTCTCGAAGAGACAGTCATCTTATCCAGCCGACATCTGGCGAGAAAGACATGATTCTCGTCTCTAGTGATCCAAATTTGAGGTCTTCAGCGGGCAGAAGATAAGCTTAACTGATTAACAAAAATGGTCAAGCAAGCAGCCACGGGGAAACCCGTTCGCTTGGCTACGTCATGCACCGAGTGTCAGCGACGAAAGCAGAAGGCAAGCAGTATCAATCTGCCTAATGAAATATTGTCTTCTCCGCTGAGCATAGCTTCTGACTGCTTTTTGTACAGTGTAGTCGGGATTGGCCATGCAATCACTGTCAAGCACGACGAGTAGCCCATCTATGCAAATTTCCCACGAAGGCGCTCAAAGGGGCCAGGTCTGTGGCCAACCCTGCAAGGTCAGCTACGAGCGACACCTGCACTATCACATAGACCACTGATTCTTAACTCCTGCTTCAGCATAGATGATCCGCCAGCGGCTCCTGTAGAATTGGCCTTGGAAACCTCAGGTTCCGGTAGAATTACGGAAGTTACCAACGACAATGCTTTCCGTATACTCGGGTACCTTCCAGATAACGAGGCAACAGCGCCTCCGGGTGCTGAACGATATGTGAGGCTACTCCATCGCGCAATCTGTTAACTAGTCACTGATCCCCCATACCGAAGCAATCAGCGGCAATATCCCAGGTTTCCCCGAGTGTAATTCAACCCGAAATGGAAAAGGCGCTTCGTACAGTGCCCCCCAAACCATACACAGGTAGAAGCGCTGACTTATGTGCATCGACCACAACTACTTACACAAAGTTCAGACATCTTGGTACACCACTTTCTTAGTGAGATCAATGGGCAATACTATTGTCTCTATCCGCCAACGTTCTCGCACGACTATGCTACTTGGTGGTCTGGTAAAGCAAGTGGCCAGGCGCTGACGCCAGAATTCACCTGCCTTTTGTTACGTATCTGTGCCTGCGCTGCGTTATATCTCGACTCCGGTGTCCGCCAGAAGCTGGAAACAGAACTGGGAGAGAACGCTCAAAATCTTGCTGAACGATATCACCATACTGCCAAGCAACTCAGCAGCACCATTGCTCCGGGTAAAGGGGGACTGACCAATGTGCAACAACTGTTCCTCAACGCAGTGTTCTTCAAAAGTGAGGCACTGTTTGTCGAGTCATGGCACGCTTTGGGCGCCGCGATTCACCAAGCGCAAGAGCTGGGTATGCTCATTCCTTCGAAGTTCCGTTGGGTTGGATCTGATCGATAATTTGTGATCAAAGGCATGCATAAAAATTCCTCCAAGGCAGTGACATCTGAATTCGAACGTGAGATGAGAAGGCGTATTTGGTGCATTCTGTATACTTGGGATTGGTGAGACGTGTTGAAGCTATTCATCAAGAGTCAACGTACTGATAGGAAGACAGGCAAATGTCCTTACTACTGGCACGACCCTTTATCATAAATAGCAGTTACTGTTCTTTCGAGCTGCCAACTCTGCGGCTGGAGAGCCCCGAGTCCGATGAGTTCGGGCTTTCACCAATCGCACACATCACCTTCCAATGTCAACTCGGGCAGACCATCTCCAAGATACCCGGCGTGATGGGTGGCATACTGTCTCCGGCACAGGCCATCACGATACAACAGGAGACTGAGAAGTGGTTGAACACTCTTCCCGCGGCATACAGACTCGAAAACCCCGATACGCGTTGGGATCAGTCTTATCATTACGTGGCTATGCATCGACATCAGTTACATGCCATTGGTTATATGGTAATGTTCCTGCCCCTGAAGCCATGCCTCACAACTACCATCGATCACGACAAACCCAGCATTGAGCGCAGTCTTCGACCGACTGCCGTCGACTGCGCATTGAAGCTACTGGAGTCATCGCAGCGGATGTTATCTTTTATGCTACCCGCGAACGCCAAATTTCACTATGCCCCTTTCATTATATTCGATACAGCAGCCTTCCTATGCTCTGCAATCATCCACGATGCCAGCGAAACCCTCCCTGACCGAGAAAAGGTTATCAAGGCTATTGGAGCCGCTCTCGATGCGCTGGAACAAATATCTCAGAGCACAAAGACGGGTGCTATTTGCTTTGCAGTACTCAATAGGCTTGCTGATACCATGAGCCTATCTCTGGAGGAAAAGGCGACCATCGTCTCCAGATCGGCCGAGAGGTCTCTTGAAGGCCCCAAGACACCTGCGTCGGATCGACTGGGCTATGGCTCCTATAATGACACCACTTCCGCTTCCACGGTTCTGGATATGCCGTGGAACTCATTCGAGGCAGGCATGGATTCTACCTTGTCATCTGGACTCAGTTTTTCGGGAGCAGGAGCCGATCTATTCACCGGGCTGGATGATCTTGCCAACATCGATATGTGCGAGCTGAGTCAGATCTGGGACTGGGATAATCTTGATCTGCACCTTCAATGTCCTCCCGCTGCTTGACTTGCGGCTTCTACAAGGCGCATGGCGCCGTGCCTCCAAAATGCGGAGATGGCGGAGTGCGAAGATCAAACATGATCAACTTACGTGAAGACAAATTAATTAGATAGCAAATTGCTTTCCCAATAGAGACAGGTATCTGATCTGCCCACAACACAATAAACTATTCTCATGAACGGTGTTAAAGCTGGACATTGGATTGTCACTATCGGAGGGAAGTACTAAATGAAAGCTGCCTCGTTGGCTGCAGCGAAGCGAGAGCGGCTGAGTAGCTGAGATCACGTGCTGATGATTCAGCCTCAAGAGCATTAGGGCAGCACTAAGCCGTAGCCGGCTAGCGCCATCCACACAAGCGGAGAACGGGAATTTCTCTACGGCCGACGGGGCGAAGCACTTGAGATTTTTCCCTTTGCTTGTCCTTGCACCAACATTCAGCGCAGAGCCACACCATAGGAATTTGAAAGGATTCTTTTGGAAGACTGTCCAGCAAGATGTCTAAGATCACAGTCGGTATGTGATACCACCCTCAAACCCACGCGTCTATGACAACGACCACGACGCAATGAATAAGAGCCCTCTCTTGGCACCGCCGCTGACCTGCGATTTCTGTCACCTACAGCCGGAGTGCGCCAGAACGTTGAGCAGCTGCTCAACTACTCTCAGAATGAGAAGAAGAGAAACTTCCTCGAGACCGTCGAGCTTCAGATCGGTCTGAAGAACTACGACCCCCAGCGTGACAAGCGTTTCTCCGGCACCATCAAGCTGCCCACCATCCCCCGCCCCAACATGAGCATCTGGTATGTGGCAACCACCGATCCGATCAGACTTGGAAGTAGGGGAGGAGTGTTGGGAGGAAAAGAAGCGCGCAACACGACAGCACGCGCAGAAGAAAGGAACCATTAACCGGGAAACGAAACAAGACTAACGACGATCTGTGTGCAGTGTTCTCGGTGACCAGCACGATCTCGACCGTGCCAAGCACTTCGGTGTCGACGCCATGTCCGCTGATGACCTCAAGAAGCTGAACAAGAACAAGAAGCTCATCAAGAAGCTTGCTCGCAAGTACGATGCCTTCATCGCTTCCGACTCCCTCATCAAGCAGATCCCCCGTCTCTTGGGTCCTGGTCTCTCCAAGGGTATGTTCCCACCCCTCACGCAAAGGACTCTTCTGTCTTGCAGATCTAACTCTCCCAACAGCCGGAAAGTTCCCCACCCCCGTCTCCCACGCTGAGGACTTGGCCAACAAGATCAACGAGATCAAGGCCACCATCAAGTTCCAGCTGAAGAAGGTTCTGTGCTTGGGTGTTGCCGTCGGCAACGTTGGCATGACCGAGGACGAGCTCGTCGCCAACACCATGTTGGCCATCAACTACCTCGTCTCCCTGCTCAAGAAGGGCTGGCAGAACGTTGGTAGCCTTGTCCTCAAGGCTACCATGTCTCCTCCCAAGCGTCTCTACTAAGAGGCTCTTACGCTTTGTTGCGCTGGAGGAAACTTTTTTTTGAGAGGGATTAGGTGGTGTGGGGTTGTATAGGCCTTTAGTTAACTCTACCGGAAATGCTACCCATGACTTTATGTCTCTCAAAACTTGCCTTCTCATTTCGTAGACTCGTACTTTTGTTTAAGCATGATATCAGTATGGAAGCGAAGCGCTGTAGGTGGGGTAATATGTCGTTTCCTTTGGTACATTGAATTTCGATTCATAAGCCGCAGCAGGTCTTAGTCGGCCACCAACTATTGCATACCCTCCATCAACTCCGTCCGGTCCAAGATCATCCCTCTCATGCCGATGAACTCGCGCAGTTGCTCCCATTCCTCGCCTTCTTCTTCACCTCTCAGGTAGATATCCTTGAAACCCCACGCGAGCGCGACCTTATCGAACGCCGCGCGCTCCTCTTCGCGGAGCCACCGCTGCCGCAGGGGGATGCCAGGAAGCCAAGTGACGCGCTCCATCTGGTCGTTAGCCGTGGTGATGGCCACCAACCCAACCGAGGTGAGTCCGCCAACGTATGCGAGCCCCGCCGCGAAGGCGATGCCCGTCGCCGTGCTGGGATCCATCGTGTTCTGGAGGCTGCCGGCCCATGTGGCGAGGATGTAGCAGGCAGCCGGGGCGGCCGTCAAGCCACCCAGCGGCAGAGCAGCCTTCTTGTAGGCTTTGGCGCGGCGGAAGGCCGGGGCGGAGAAGGTAGTGTCGATGATCGCCAGCACGAGAGAGAGGTTGCGCTGGGCGATGGCCACGTCCAGCGCCGCGTTGGCGAGCTCCAGCGGGATGGCGCTGTTGATACTCTTTGGATCGGGCTTGCTGAAGCGCACGGGCGAGCTATTCTCCACCGGGATCGGCTTGTTGGCATACAGGTGGAAGATCTCGGGGAAGTGGTTCGGCTGTTGGAGCAGCACATGAATCTTGGTGTACGAGGCGAGGGCTTCGGGCGAGATGAAGACCTTCTCGTCCGTCAGCAGATCGTGCACCGCCCGGCAGAGCTGCTTGGATAGTTGCTCTGGGGTTTGCTTGGGCCGTTGTGGTTGTTGCTGCCGCTGTTTTTTCGTGGCGCTCGTCTGCTCGTCGAGGTCGAACAGGGACGAGAATTCGCCCGACTTTTGTTTGGGTTGCGCGGTTGTGGGTTGGGCGATCATCTCTGCTATGCTCTCGCTTTTTTGTAGCAGTTGCACAACTGCGTCGTTGGAGGGCACGCCTTCTGCCTTGCAGAGGTGGGAACACGCTCGAGCGACCTGGGCGATGGCATTGTCCAATTGAGGTGTTGTGGGTTGTTCTGCTTGGCTCGAGTAGAATCGTCTGGGGATCCGGTTTGTATATGTCCACGAATACTGTCTTGGCTGGAATTGCTCGCGATGCACGTTCCGAATTGATGGGGAGGAATAGGTCCGAACAAATAGCGAGCGAGGCACAGGGCTAGGGGACCCAGTTCGCTGGCATATTTGACAAACCAGAGCCTGGGGCCTGCCTTTCTGGGCTCTCATGGCCATTCTGTTCGTGGTAATCATGTTTGCTGTGTGTGTCTCTCTCTCCAAGGACTGTTAGAAATGGTGCCGGGGGGCTGCTTGGACAGAAAAGAGGGAGATGCGACGGATATGCGATAAGGCGGCGAGCGGTACTGCCGCACCAGGCGGGCGGTCGTTCCTGGCGGCTTGTCACGACGTGCAGCCCCCCAACTCCGTCACTTCCCTGACACCTTCGCTCTGTTCCCACCATCTTCCTCAGCAGGCATCAACTTTCTTTTGTTTGTCCCTCTATTTTCCTGATTGTGGGAGGCCTCCGATGGTCCTTCTTACGTTAACCGCCTGGTCTTCTTGAGATCGCTCTACGTATCAACTACACCCCTCCGATCATCAGTGTCATCCCCTCCTCGATTCTACAGCCAACATGCCTCCCCCTCCGCCTCCTCCGCCGCCGCCCCCGCCGGGAGGGATGGGAGGCCCTCCTCCCCCACCTCCTCCAGGTAATCTGCCAGGTCGACCCTCTGGTTCCGAAGCGAAGGGCCGAGTATGTGCTTGCATCTCTTGTTTTGGACTAATCCGTTGGCTAATGCCCGACTTAGAGCGCACTCCTTTCCGATATCAGCAAAGGTGCAAGATTGAAGAAGGCCGTCACAAATGATAGATCAGCTCCTTTACTTGCCGGCGGAGGCGTCAAGTCTTCAGGCCCGTCGGTTCCAAGCGCACCGCCGGTTCCAGGCATGGCAAAGCCTCCGGCTGGACTTGCACCTCCAGTTCCCACGGCACAGGCCGCAAACCGACTACGAAGCAACAGCGATATTGGGTCAGGGGTGGAATCAGCGGCGGGTGCTCCAGCAGCTCCCCAGCTCGGAGGGCTGTTTGCTGGACTGGGAGGAATGCCTAAGCTACGCAGTCGAGGAGGCGTCGATACCGGCGCTACTCGGGAATCCCCATACATGTCTGACTCGGAGAACTCTAGGGGAGCTCCCCCACCACCCGTTGGATCGGCTCCAAGACCCCCAGGAGCCCGTCCTCCGCCACCACCTCCTGGTACAGACTCACCGCCAGCTCCTCCAGTCAATCCGCTAGTCGCCAATCTTCGCAAGCCGCCCCCGCGGCCGGCTTCCCGCCCGTCGTCCACAGCATCAAGTGCATCGATCAAGTCCGCTCCTGACGCGCCTCCTCGCGCACCTCCACCATTGCCTGGCGCCCCTAAACACGCTCCTCCTCCCCCAATTGCCTCGCGAAAGCCCTCCACCCCCGCTCCTCCTCCGCCTCCTTCAGCAAGTCCGGCTGCACCTCCTCCCCCACCTCCGCCGGCAGCATCAGCCCCCCGGCCACCTCCAGCACCGGCACGCTCGACCCCTCCCCCGCCGCCTCCGCCAACAAATGGCGCTGCGGCCACTTCTGCAGCTGTGCAAGCGGCCAGAAATGCTCTCGGGCACACACCCTCCACGCCACCACCACCACCACCGCCACCTGCGGCCTCCGCCCCTTCAGCACCCCCACCACCGCCTCCCTCATCTGCTCCTCCAGTGATGCCTCCGACAGCAGCACCTCCACGACCAATCTCATATGAATCGATAGCCAGTCCACCTCCGGATCGTTCCACCCTGGACCCGAGCGCTTATACCCTCAACGGCGGGCCGTCGGCGGGATCTAGCCCTCGGAATGCCGGCACGCACGGTGCAATTCGGATTGATGATCACAGGTTTAAGTTCCAAAGTGAAGGGCTACTGCCCAAGCCTCGACCGTTTGTTGGGGGTGCACGGCGGTACCGGGCAGGGCGTGGGAGCAGTGTGCCATTGGATCTTAGCGCACTGAGTGGCTAAGAGAAGAGTCTGCTTCCCAGCAAACAGATTATCTGTATCAATTGAATACCATTTAAGCGCATTAGATCCTGTGGAAGCGCCTTGTACTTCATATTATTCGTAAGAGGTCAAATAGAAGCAGTGTCGTGTTCGCGATTTCAATCCTCATCCTTCTGTTGCCGGGGTCGGCAGGCGAATGTCTCGCTGTGTTTTCAGAAAAAAAAAGAAAAGACAAAAACGATGAGGTCGTTGAGTAGGGTCTAGAATCAATCTAGCTTGGCTTCGACGATGCATCATCCCAGCTTGCGACTGCAGATCACTGTGTGACGAGTCGGAATTGGTCGATCTTCGGAATCTGATAATCAGCGCACGGGACAGCTTCACGTGACACGACGCCATAGCTAACGGAGCAGCAGGCCGGGATCAACAATCGCTACCATCTTTCTCCAAACAGTTGAATCTGCATTGATCGCCGAAACCCGGACTGACACCATTCTTGACAGCACCTCGCGCGATACCACTGGGTGTCTGGGATCAATCTTCTGTTTATACTCCATCAAAACAAATTCGCGAAGCAATTGCCCAGGAAGCACGCTCATCCACTTGCGACTTGCGACACAACCACTCCACTCGTTTCGTTTTCATCTATCAGTACCTTGGTGGCGCTGTAGCTGTGCAGCTCACCGACCAGAGATTGCTGTGTGGACCCGGAGCTTCTAAGATCTTGCTCCTCACTCTGGAATAAGTGAAGCTCCGAGAGCTTGGGCACTTTTCGTCTTCTTCTCACTGCGGTTCCGCCAGCCTTCGGGCCAGTCATTTCTCGCCATGTCTTTACAATCATACATCAACAGTAAGTTTCCCAGTTCTTATGGTGGTGCGCATTGTTGTTCCTATGAACCTTGTCCGTATCCCGGTCAAATGTCAGATGGCAAACCCGACTGACCATACCCGTGCGAACACAGAGAAGATTCTCGTCTTGACCGTCGACGGCCGGACATTGCTGGGCACCCTTCTCTCGACCGATCAGCTGACCAACCTGGTCCTCCTTGACACGATTGAGCGGATCATTCGGACGCCAGATGACCCCGAGCCCAGCTCCCAGATCGAACACGGACTGTATCTGATTCGCGGCGACAATGTGGTCGTATGCGGGGAGGTCGACGAGGCTATTGACCGTGACATTGACTGGACCAAGGTCAAGGGTGAGGTAGTTAAGGGCACGAAGAATGCTTGAGAGAGAGGGGGAGAAGAGAACACCCTACCCGGACGCAACTCTTTCTTTTTCTAAAAACAAAATGCATTCGACCAAAACAAAAAAAAAAATCTATAAAAGGTTCCGATGGCGATCTACTAGCTGGATTGAAGTTCGCGGCAAGCAAGGAATGGAGACGCGTTTCGTTTTGATGTGGTGAGAAATTGACGTGGACGACCTCGGCGTGACGTGGTCGCGGACGGATCCTTTCCCCCTTTCGCCCTCTTTTCTATTTACTGCTCTTTCCTTCCGTCTGCCCGGTCTGTCTCTTTCTTACATGGTGTCGGTCGCTTCATGGGCGAGGTCCAAGCCCTCGGTGCCTCGGGGTTGCTGCGCTTGTGAAGCTCAGTCCCAGTACCTGGTACTTGCGCGCGACGGGAGGGGATTGGTGGGCCATCATGCTTATGCAATGCTTTTCGATTCGGCCCGCGTTGGGATCTTGGGCGATCGGTCTCGAGGGGTTTCATGATGATGGGATTTGAGTGGCTACGAGACTAAGAAAAGGCAGGAACACTGGACGATCGGGATCTCCAATTTGAAGGGGATTTCGGGCATCCAAGTTTCGTGGTCAACGAACTTCTGTGGGATCCTCGGGGCTCGGGATTATACGAAGCAGAAGGGAGCAACATCCCAAACTCGGAATGATTCGCATGGGATAGCGGGAAGGGGCGGGGAGGGTGTTTGAGAAAGACCGTGGTCCCCTTGTCAGCCATGGTCAGGGGAGGGTTGAATGGGATACCATTTATGAATATGGGTGTCCACCTGGTCCGTCTGGTCTCTTGGATGCAATGAGATCGGGGGGCCTCTTTTCCACCTGAAAAGCTTTCTTTCTTACAAAGACGTGGGCCACGAGCGGGCGAAAGTGGATTTTTTGATGTAGATGATCAATTAACATAATACCATTGTATATGACTTGATGAATTAACCCTGTCCCATTGTTCCATGGGGTGACTAACCGTGATTTATCATGGCATGATGATTAGGAGAGAAGAGAGAGAGACAAACATGAAAGAGAACGAGAGAGACATTCATCTCCTTGTCGAGTATGGCTGTGCAAGACAAAACCTCTTTATTTATCAGACTGCCTAGACCTGAATCCCTCACTTTGACGGACGCTGGGCCTAAAAGGGGATAAAAATTGTCAGGTAAGTTTCCGATGGAGGGAGTTTTTTTTCCCCCTGGCGATAGGGAAGTAAAGTTAAGAAGTTAAGCAGTTAAGAAGAAGAAGTGATCAGTTCCATTCGATCATGCAAAAGATCTGTAACCTTATTCTTTTTTCTGCCCCCTGATGGAAGGAGATAATCATTATCATACTTCATTCTTTCACTCTCTCTATCTTCTCAATCTTCAGATTCAATCTCCAATCTCCCAATTCCTTCCCTCCTACTAAGTACTAATTAATGCCGCTGGCCCCGCCCTTGCCAAGTGCGGCCCAACGCTGGTTCGTTTTGTTTCAATCAATTTCCCCTGACGGGAAGCGTTCCATCCGCCATCCGCCCTCCGCCTGTCCTGTCCTGTTCTGTTCTGTCCTGTCCCGTCCTTGTCCTCCTTCTCCTTCTCTTCCTCCGTCTTCTCTCACTCTTTCCCCTGCTCACTCACTACTTACTCAATTCAACTCTCTCTCCTCCCACCCCCTCCCCCCCTCCCCTTCTCCTCATACTTCCTCCTACTTGGACTTCACCTATTTCCCTTCCCTTCCCAATTATCTCTCCCCCGATCTTCTTCTTCCTAGTCGAATCCCAGCCACCTCCGTCCCCTTTACCGATCAAGTCCGGATCCGCTCACAATCCTCTTTTCTCGGTCGCTGGGCGACCGCCACCTCTGCCTATTCCGGTCCGCCGCCGTGAGATATCGCCGTCCGCTCTTCCTCCTTGATCAACTCAGGCGCCCTTCATGTTGTTGCGACCGTGCCAGCACTCCTCGGGTTCGACTTGTCTTTACCCGCCATCCCATTGGTCTACTTGAGTGCTAGTTTGCAGCATAATTTCCCGCCCACAGCCTCGTTCCGTGACCGACAGCACCGTCTCTCCGCCACCTCACATCCTCTACCTCTTCTCGACTTCTCCCTCGCTCCCTATTCATCTCGTCGCCCTCCTCACCCAGCCTTTGTCGATCGCGAGCCGGTGCTCAGTACAGAATGTGGTTGTATCGGGGCGCTCAGTCGGCCGTTTTCTACTATGCCACCTGCACCCCCTGCGCCGAGTCCTCATACCGTCGGAATCGAATGAAAGAAGCCGCCCGGTCGAAGCGCGAACAGGAGAAAAGCGATGCCATCGTCACCGATCAACCGAAACCCTTTGCACAACCGACCCCTTTCAGTACCAACCCAGCATGGGCGGAGGAAATCGCTCTAGGCCCCGGCCCGCCAGCACGCAGAGGTGGTCACCGAACGCATCGTCGAATGGAATCATGGAACACAGACGGAGCATCGGTGAATTCACAGCATGGATCGGCGAACACAACGTCTAGAAAAGACAAACTGAAGAACCCGCTGGGCGAACGCTGGAGTCGCATGCGGTATCAACGCGAAGACGAGCCGTTATGGGGCCAGGAAATGGAAGTGAAGGGCTCGTCTGTGGGCTTGTCCGGCGGAGGCCGCGCGGACGAAGTCTCGAACAGCAAGTATTATATCGCTCGAGTGCCTCCGGTAAACGATCTACATCCCCCGATCGTTAGTGGGCCCAAGAGCCGGGCGGAGACGCGGTGGATGTTACAGCCCCCACCCAGTGCCAGGGTTATGGCCGGCAAGGAACGCATCGCCGATTCCACGTCCAAGAACACCAAATCGTCTGACATCAGCGCCAATGCAAAGCCATCGGTAGAAGCAGTACAGGCGCAACCCCCGGTTAAAACACAATCGATTGAGAGGAGTGCGTCTCGAGCTAAGGCGCCAGCAATGGCTCCCGATGGATGGTACGACCCGAGAGCCGATGGTTTGGAGGAAGATGGCGACGACGAGTCACCCCGGTATGGGCGTGACGAGTCTCACTTGGTTATCGCACCCTCGCTGCACTCTCGCTTCGAATCATGTTCCTCGCTTTCGTCCGACGCAGATTCCGAGGCGGAGTCCCCGCGGGTCTCGCTGCATTCGCCGCAAACGCCGACCTCCCGGCCTGGCTCCAAGGCGACCCAAGATAGCGGTAAACACTTCCCAACGATCTCCAAGACCATGTCCACCTTCCAGCACCAGCACCAACCAGGCAACAACAATAAAGTTGAGATGTTGCATTTGGAAATCAATGACTCGCCTGACGATATCGCCTTAGGTCAGCTTGAACGCCTGCGGCCTTGGCGTTGGAGTATGGACATCTGATTTCTCCATCTCCAATGCTACCGGACTTGAAGCTTAAGTCCATGGCTTTGGGTGCCCCTATCCACCTCGTCATCATGTTCTTTGTCATGCAAGCCTATTCTCGCGATGTTCTTTTCTGTTCTTTTACTCCTTGGGTAGCGGAATACCCCCTTTCGCTGTTGGATTTTGTTTTTTTTTTTCTTGTGTCAGTCATGTTTTCTGGCGTTGGCAGCAGCGAAAAAGCGTTCCGTTCTTTGCGTCTTTCTTTTTCCCCTGCATCCTCTAACTTTCTTTGCATGTCACTTGTTTTTTCTCCTTGTGATGCATCATCAGCGAAACTGCAACCGAGTCCCCCACCCAGCGCCGTACCCCGCGTTGGATCAGTTACAGATTGTGTTCTTGTCTGGATGGCTGGGCCAGTAGGCATTAAGAACACACATACACATATCTCATGGGCACGAGTACATAGATGAAATACCCATGTTCATCAACGTTGTCAATTGCAACCAACCAAACCACAATCTTTTGCGTCATCATCCTTGTCCTGCACAGAGTACTATCATTATTTATGCTTTTTCTTCTCTCGCTTATCTGCCCGCATGTCCTCTCTTTGCTTTTTTGACCACTGCCTCTCATTGATCCTCTTTTCTTTTTCTGTCGATTGCGTTCCTTTTCTTTCTTGTCTTATGACTTACCCTTCTTGTATACTACTTCCTTCTAATACATATCTCACCCAACTCTTACATAAATGTAGCTAGCAGTATTCGCGATGGAGTAATACGCTTTGCTTAGCTACTAGCGAGGGAGGGGATAACTGCGTCTATCACACCGAGCAAAAACCATCCGAACCCCACCTTCCTTGAGAAGAAGAAGAATAACACCAGAACACCTAAAACATATCAATCTTCGAGATCATCATTACCAGATTCACCCCTCAGACAAATTTCCATGGCTCCCACCCAACCCCATCATCCCGAAGCCACTAATCCCCAAGAGAATCACATCACACCACACGAACATAGATGGTACAGTACCAACCACCCCAACAAATCAAATTAGTCTCGACGAAGAGAAAAAGTATTCAAGCTTCAGTGGCTACAGTGGGTAGTTCACTCCATCCATGTACATCATTCCCATCCCCACCCCCCACCTTCCCAGTCCAGCGCTAGTAGAGTCCATTATACATACACACATTTTATATGTATATATAAATCCACAGCACAGCTTCTACCCAAATACATGATATACACATACATGATCAATTCCCAGTAATAACCACCTCCGACGATCCAATGATCCCAATAATACAATGATACATAAATACATCTACCATCGGAATCCATCCCCATCCGGAGAAATCTTGTCTGCCGAGCGTGGTTATACTATACTCCCTATAACCTAGATCGTAATTTGTGATGACTATATACGAGATGGTATACTATAGCTTATGCCTCCGCTTTTTGCCACGCGCAATCACTTATCAGAATGTAAGCTGGTTTGTATATCTATCGACTTCACCTTCATCTTCAACCAACTCAACGGCAGAGGTAGAGGTAGAGGTGGGGTGAGTAAGTAGTATTGTTTGATTCCAGACTGGACTGAGGGGTAGATGATTCTATCGAGTTTGATTACTGAGTATCGTTGTGTCTGTGGGCGTTGGCTGGACTAGAGTCATTTTAACAGTGCATTTATGTGCTGATTCGGATTGTGGATAGGGGTCCTAGAGGAGGTACGGTAGTAATAGATGGTTACAGGATGTGGAGTTCGATTTGTGTAGATGAGAATAAAGTAGATCATGGACAAGGGAAGTACTAGCTTAATGCATCATTGTCTATAAGCAAGGAAGGACTGTTCAACTGAAAGGTAATTGGTGGGTTCTAGTCGCTTGTGGAGTAGCTCGCTATTGTACTTTTCGTCTGCGAAGTACGGAGTACGCTGGAATATATCCATTCCGTCCTCTCTCCCTGCGCGATGCGGTTTAATTTACTCCCAGAGTCTGGTATGCAGATATGCAGAGCATCCCGACGGTAAGGTAGAAGAGAACTAGAGGAACAAATAAATGCAATAGACATTGTCATGCACACGTAGCTAATCGAGCTCATGGACACAGAATCCGGGTTCTTCCTTTTTGATATTTGATTTTGAGGTTATGTTTATCCGTTGACCGGGGAGGTGATAGTAGTGGTATCCATGGGTGGGAGTCAAGAGTAGTAGGTAAGTTAGAGAAGCTGATGTGTTTCTTTTCCAAGAACTATCAAGGAAAAAAAAGTGGAAGAGAGAAGAGAAAACAGTTCGTATAGATAAGGGTCGTCTCCAGAGCCTGGGAGAGTTCCCGCGTCATACACGCGCACACATGGCCGTATTCGAACGGCAGCCGAGTCGTCGACGTCGTCGGGCTTGATCGTCCGTCGTTTAGTAGACCTTCTTCTTCTCGTCCATGCTCAGCTGACCGGGACCCATATTGACCAGAAGCAAGAGTCCTCCACTATGGAATCATAAACATTAGCTTGCGCCAGGCAAGAATGGCAAGCACGGGTTCTTACACAATAGACAGGATCTGGAAGAAGTCGTACTTGGCGAAGTCCTTGTGAGGGTGGTGGGGGTGAAGCTAGCGATCCGTCAGTGGCTGGAGAAGATGCAAGAACGAGCAAAACATACCGTCCAGAAGTTGTTGACCAGCACGTTGAAGACGCTCAGCAGAACGACCAGAATAATAGCGCTCCACTTGGCCTTGAATCCAACAATGACCATGACACATGCGACAAAGCCAAACAAGCTGACCAATACGCGCCACATGCTCCACTGGCCGGAGAAGACGAATCCAACGAAGAGGAAGATCAGCAGCACGCGACCAGCGAACTGGACGTACATCTTGCGATCCTTCTCATCGAGCTGGGGCAGACCGGCCGGAACGAACTTCTTGCGCACCCACGAGTCGGAGAGCACCATGAGCAGACCACCGATCACGCTCAGATTGCGAAGGAAGAAGTTGAGGTCGAAAATCAATCCGTATCCGAGACCCTGCGTGACGACCACGACCAGCAAACCGGCGACCGCAAACTCGGTGTGCTTGCGGGCGATGACCAGAACGGAGCAGACGGACATGGCGATCATGTTGACGAGAAGGAAGGTATGCGTAATTCCCCATGGTACTGGAGCGGAATCAACCAAGTCAGTGGTGTTCTGGGCTTCACCGTCTCCCTTGGGGGCGCCACCGGGCAGCCAGCGAGAGCGGAACGGAGTCGAGGTGCAAGCTTACTTTTCCGATAATCACGCAGGTACAGAAGTTGATCGTTCCATTGAGTGATCATACGAAGGCTGTCCTCGAGGAAGGTCACGACAATCAAGAACCGACCAATGGCGGGAAGATACCTGGGGAGCGAAAAGCCACGGTGTCAGTCGAGATAGGTCTCATTTGGATGCGCGGATCGGCAGATGTCATCTTTCGCTGCCACGAAGCGCGCGAAAACAAGGCATTGGAGCAAGGAACACGAAGGAGAATCACATACGGCTTCACGGGATCGGCCATTGTGTCGAGCCAGTCCTCAATCTTGCTGGTTTGCTCCCGGATAGCGTCCAAGGGACTCGGGTCGCTTGTTGCTTCGGCTCGACCGGGACCACCAAAGGGGTTCTGGTGGCCGAGATTGTAGCCGGCAGTGCCACGAATTTGCGCCATGGCGAAGAGAATAGGCTAGGGAGGAGTGGTGTGTGGTGATGGACAATGAACAATGAATAAGGAAGAAAGATGAGGTGAAGTTGACCCCTCGGTGGTTTAAGATCGGGGGGGAAAACAAACAAGGGAACCCGGGGAAAGGGATCGGAGTAGTTCAGCCAGGCGCACTAGGCGGGAGGAATAGAAATAGATGGATGAGGTGGGTTGAGTAACAGGGAAAGAAAAGAAGAAGCGGAGGGAGAGAGAAAGGAAGAAGTGAAGAAGGTGAAGAAGTGGAAGAAGAAGAGGAAGAGGATGATGATGGATCGAATAATACTACTAATAATAATGGAACGAATGAATAGTTCTCTCTCTGTCTCTCTCACTCTCTCACTCTCTCTCTATTGAGGATGAAGAGCGACAAGCAAGAGAGAAAGAAACAGGCCACGATAACCGGAACTCGCCCCTAGTCCGCTTTGGGATTAGAGGAGCCGTCGGAGTTGCGGGCGTGACGCCATGATCGCTGCTTTTGGGCTTCTCCAATTCTTCAATTCATCCCTCCCTTCTCTTTGTCTCTTTTCCCTCCCTGGTTTGCTACTACTCACCAGGGCCCGCATTCTAGAAGCTATGCTATGTACTATGTATCTTTATTTCCTACTGGAATCTACTGGGGAAAAAAAAAGAAAAGAAAAGAATAACACAGCTCCAACAGCAGCTGTAGTACCTCTTCCATTGTTCCCACTCCTCCCTCCCCCTTATTGTTCGTCGACACAGACAGACTCCATCTATCTTGAGACAAACCGCCCCCCTCATAGGGGCAAAGGCCCTCTCTTGAACTGAACAGATATCGTTCCTCCTGCTCCCCACCCCACACACACCGAAAACAGGGACCGCCAAATCTTTTAGTTCGGCCGCGGAAGATCCGTCGTCTGAGATTCGAGACGCGAAACAAGAACCTGACAAAAATAGGTCTCCTTCGTTCCCCACGTCCACTCCATGCTCCGCGGAAGAAAAATCCTGTTGCGTAAATAAATAGAAAAAAAAAGGACACCTCAGAGGCACTACCATAAAATAAAAATCTCGCGGCTCTAGGAACAGGAATAACGCGGTCGCCAGGGTCCAACTCCCAATGTAGCGATCCCAGACCCTGAAACCCATGCTAGGTGTCTGCAGAGGCCAAGTGTTCCTTCCACACCGTGCATTGATTAGTGAGTCGTCCTGTTCTGGGAAGAACACCTCTATCGTTGTTCTCGTCTTCCAATATCCTGTAGAACACGCAAAAGAGGATTCACGGTCCAAGTGGCGAACATAGCTGTTGAAGGCGTCACAAGAGGCATTGGCGCTAAACTCATTCGTGGCTCCAAGCAGAGTAATACAAGAGATCGTCTCATTTCGATCAATTATCAATGGAAAATACAAGGTATTCTAAGGAAATTGGTAGACAGAAAGAATAAAGAAATTGCGTACATCAGAGGGTAAACCGAGCATAACAGGAGAAGATGAACAGGAAAAGGTACATGGCTTTTTAGGGAGAACGGGGGGTTTTCTGAATGTTCTGCCAATTATGGTGTCTCAGTCGTTGCAGCCATGGTTTTGTGGCGGAAGCAGAGCAGCCGGTCAGATACATGCTGAAAGTTTTGGTAGAGAATAAAATGTCCCAAACGCCAAAAGCCATGAGTATAAATACAGCCCACGGAATGGTTAGAACCGGCTCGTGTCCGAAGGGCATCTTGCACAAAACCAGCTATTCGTCTTGCGCGCAGAAAAAAATAGAACATCCTTAGGCAGCCCAGTCGGAGTCAAGAGGGTGGCCCTTCTGGTTCGAACGGAGGATATCGGGAAGATAGGTGGGTGTCACCTTCACCTTGGGCTCAACGGGAGCAGGAGAAGGAGCAGCAGGTGTAGGCTGGCTCTCAGAAGCACTGACTTCGCTCTCATCCGTCTTTCCGCTCTTCTTCTTGATCTTCTTGCTGGAGACGGTGGTCCACTGGTCCTGACCGTTCTCTGCACCAAGCAGGCGCATCTGCTCCTCCTCGGAGGGGAGACCCTGGTCCCATTCCTTGGCAGGCTTGGAGGAGGCGGCAACAGGCTCGAACGTATCCAACAGCTCGACCTTGGGGGCCTCGGTGGGCTTGGGGGTCCCGTTGGTGGCGCTGGGGGCGGCCTTAGTCTGCCAAGCGTTGGTCTGGGGGGCGATGGGAGTCGACTTGGCCGCCTCACGGCGCTCAGCCTCGCGGGCCATGTGGAGCTGCTTCTCGAGCAACTTGCGTCTCTGCTCCTCGGCTGCCTGGACTTCCTGCTTGCGAGCTTCATTCTTCAGACGCTGCTGACGCTGCTTCTTCGTCTCGACCTGCTTGAAAGACTGGGCCTTCTGCTTCTTCGGGGCCTCAGACGGAGCGGTACCGGTAACCCGGAGGACAGATGCACCCGGAGCAGGAGCCTCAAGCATATCAGAGATGTAACCAGCGGAAGAAACGGTGGCGTTCACAAGGGGGGAACCAGCGGGGGACAGATCGTCATCGGCGTCAGCGCCAGTGGTGGACGAGGTGCGGGTAGAAACGCGAGAAGCCGAGCGCTCTTCGCTCTCGAGCTGAGGGAGAGCGCCCTTGCTCTTCTTCTTCTTCGCAGACTTGCTGCTCGGGGCACTGGGCTGAGCAGGGACACCGCTCTTCACAGCGTTAAAGCGCTTAGCTAGCTCCTTTCGGTCAATCTCCTCATCCTGCTCATCAGCTTGTGATCCAGTAGCCTGGGCCACGGGCTTTTCCTCGACGGATTTGCTGGGCACAGGGGAGGGTTCTGAGGACTTCTTTGTCTTCCGCTTCTGTTTTTTCACGGCCGGCGCGCTCTCGACTTTCTCTGCGATAGACTTGACCGGGGTCTTGATCTTGGGGGTGGGGCCATTGTAGTACCATCCGAGGCCACCTGCCACTACAAGCAGGAGAGCCCAGCTGATATAGGGGTTCATCATCGTTAAAACTATGCTCAAAATAATCGTCAGTTTTGGTACGAGCGTGAGAGTGAGGTTAAATGGCAGGACATACAGTCACTGAGTTGTATTCTTGATGTACGTCGCAAAGTCGTGGGCAATAATGACAAAGAAAAAGACCAGCCTCAAACCAACGTGTGGATTGATGTGCTGGAGGTCGTCAAATTCTCCGTACGCGTGTCCGAGATCGGCGGGAAGAGAAGGTGAAAAGACCAGGCAAACTGAAATTCAATTGAGAAAAGGGTCAATCGCGCTATATCGGCTCAGATTTTAAGCACCGGATTGCGAGAAATGCGCGAGATGAAGGGTGATCGAGTGACGAAGGGGAAGGTTGAAGCAGTTGCGCTGAAAGGCCAGATTTCCACGTCGAGCTCGAACAGCGATTTACACCACTTGTGATGGACAATAACAGACGGCGAAGACGAAGGACTCCGAGACTTCCAAGTGATGTCCTAAAGCTATATAGAGCTGATAACCTTGGGCCAGGTCACTAGAAGCTAATGTGGTTGGATGTTTCGGTTGGCGCTTCGCGGCTCGAGGTAGGTCGCGAAATGACAGAGGGTGGAGAGGTAAAGAAGCAACGGGATGGTATCACCGAACGACCATTGAAGCACCCGTCAGCCGAAGACTGAAGGGTGGGCGACAATGGTAGGCAAGGAATACAAGCAAAGTGTTTTGTAGGAGAGCGGAAAGGTAGAATTTGGGAAGAGAGGAAGGGCAAAGAAGACAGGGTGTTGAGAAGAGGAGGAGTAAAGAGGACACGGTCTGGAGAGAGATGAAGGGGTGCTTGTCGACTCGGCAGTGGTGAAGAATAAATTACCAAAGCACCCAAGATGGATGACACTCGTATCGGTATCGAACAGCGGTCCTTGCGCACGCGCTGGACGAGAGCTCCACTGTCAAGACCTTGATGGTAAGATAGCTAAGAAGAAGGGAATTATTCTCGTCTGATCATCATCTGGACCGTGATTAAGGAGATATTGGGGAAAGATCTCTTATAAATCCAGTAGAAGTCACCACACGGGCTGACATGCCTGTGGCGCATTGATGAAAGCATTACCCCATGTTTCTTCTTCTTCTTTCTTTCAGTCGGCCTGTATCTTGCTGGTAACAGGCGTCAAGACTCAGGAGAGGGAGTAATGTCTCTACCACTACCCTGGGGACGAGCAAATTAAAGTCTAGGGAAAACACCATCGAATCAGGCTTGATCCTTCCCTGTCGCCGGACCAGAGTCCGTGACGTCTGGTGAAAGACCGAGTAGTCTCACTGCATCCCCTGGTGTGGAGGACAATGTTCGACAGGGGAGTCGGCGCGGGGGAGACAATTGGTCTGACCACACCAAGCTGCAATGTCGCGTTGCATCTCCATCAGACGGGCGTGTCATGCTAGTCAGGAGGTAGTCTCCGATTGTTTGTAGATAGATCTGGAATAGACCGCGATATACCTCGATAGTTCCTCAGTCTGGTTGACTCCATGAAGATGCTAGGAGATACCGATCTACTTTAGGCCCTGGTATCTGGGTTACCAACTGGCGGAGACAAAATACAGGGGTAATACCGCATCATTCCGCCTTCCGAACAGGCCACGTCTCAGAATTCAATGTCCAGACCCCCGGGCGGAACCTCCGTCGGCGTGGAAGACCCGAGACAGTAAGTACAGTTGCTGGCATTCGGTCAAAATTACCAGGTTAAGGTTGACCCTAGATAGCAGCCAGTCATTCTGAAGTTCACTGTCCCATTCATTAGACATTTCAGATCAATCTCGTGAATCTGATGATCTATCTCTTTCGAATCTTGAAACACAATTGGGAAGATGATAACCGTCGTTTCATGGATGATCCTTCGGAGCATCACAGAAGCAATGACCGTTGTGCACTGACTATGCTCCGCCAACATTATTGGTATCAATTGAGGAGCTCAGGGGCTCTGGCCATCCATCTTCTCATCTTGTCTACAGCATCTCGAATGTTCGGACTGTGTCAGCTATAGACAAGTGCGGACGAGATTGCCGCATGAGTGCGGGCATGAAAACTAAATGCTAGCATGCGATATCTCAGCCCATTTGAGCATCATAATTCACCTGACTCTCGTCAACCTACATTCCGTTGCAGATACTTGAGACAGTCAGTCTATAATATGGTCTGTCAGGTTGACGGTTTGCAGCTCCTGATATATGTGCTCGGTGTGGTAGTGATAGCAAGTAATGAAATACCACAGGATAATCAGACTTGATCACCCGTATTACTGTTATTATAGATTCTAAAGATAAAGGAGGTTGAATCAGTTTTTCTGTGGGGAATGAAAGGAAGAGTTAACTGTAGAGAGGATATAACACACATCTTCCACCAACAATGACAGATAAGGTATTGCCGCTCAGCAGTCACTTCTTTACTTGTTCACTGTCAGGAGTAAGACCCTGCTGATATTCTTGGATAAAGTAGGTAGTGATATTGGGCTGCTTGGTAACCTCCGTCTTTAGCCATCATTCTATACACTGATTACAAAAGGCTATTATCCTATTCCAGTCCTTGACGCGCCAGAAGTGGGCCGCAAAGGTAAAAGCAACACGGATTGCCCAGACTTCGTGGTTAAAGGGGCCCAGGGTTGCGAGGGCGGACTGCTGCTGGGCGACCGCATGGTGCTAGGTCTGGGTTTTTATTATGCTGAAACTCTTGTTGAAGGCAAACTCTCCCATCAAGTCAAACGCGAACCACAGCATAAGGCCGTTAAGCACCACTGGCCAGCCCTGGGCACCGGCGATGATTATATCTAGTCAGTCAATCTGGGTCAGGATCTGAGACACGTACGCACGGATAGCTGTACCAGATCCGGATATTTATATCAGTCTTTTGTTTTATACTGCTCTTCGGCAAGAAAAAAAGTGATAGGATGATAGGGCAGCTCCTTCATATATTTACTTAACAGCGCACCACTCCAAACCTTACATCAGCTAAGGTAGTCTACCTTCTTTAAATGAAGATTAGAGAGGTCATAAGATGGACAATATTGTACTATTTAGACTAAATATTGCGATTATTGGGCCCATCTAGTATTTCTTATGTAGTAGGATGGAAGATATTGATTTCAACAGGATCTTTATCCTTATACAAGATCTATCAGATTTTCCTCTTGATAACAGATTAGGCAGGTAAGAGATAAACTAGTCCATATAAATATCCTATACTTCTGGTACAGAGTATCAAGAAGAAGGTAATTGCGGGAGTTATGGTATTTATAAATATCCTATTGCTTGCTCACTGCGGCGAGGCGTGGACCAGGGAAGAATCGAAGACAGTAGAAGTATAGACAATAAATCACTATACTGGTAAACAACTCCAAAAATTGGCAGACAAAGCACACTAGCACATTATTATTTAAAGCTGGATTTAAGAAATTATCCGTTAGAGGTCAATATTCGTGAGGTGTCGCCGACCCATACCGCCAGGTGTGGGTTGGTAGAACGACGAGTACTAAGATAATGGTAATGGCTCCTAACCATGCTTGGTCAATCCTTGAGCAGCTGGTGGGGGCGATGGGGAATCTGGGGGCTGTAAACTTGCGGGTGCCAGCTCAAGCGTGGGCATGTTCTTCCACATCTGGAACGGGCCGACACTTCTATCCTCCAGTCCGACTACTCCTGCTCCTTCTTGCACATGCATAGTACTTAATTTACTACTCCGTGTAAATACACCAGCCAAATAAGGTATAGCCAAATGACTACTCAACCAGATACATTACACAATCGATCTTATCTCCAGGATTCAACTCTACTTCCAAGCTGCAATCCCCATCTTCCTTCTGACTCCGAAGCATGGGCTACAATTTCTACGCCCTGCTCTCTTCTCTTATCCACCTGCAGGAATAACCGCATCGTCAATGAAGCTTAGCTGAGGCATACAACGCCACCAACCAACAATTATAGATTTGGAAGGTTACACGGTCCTCCGCTTCTGATCGCAAGGTAAATGAACGAACCACCACCCACAGCCCCAAAACCACCGGCGCCAGGTAGCCCACGGCACCCGAAGCCCAATAGAGTGGGCAGAAGAAAGACCAAGTCATGATCACGACGGCGGTGCACAGACGAGTCACGCTGTCCCCTACAATTAGCGGCAGTGTTCGTCGGCCGGCGGCGGCATCGCCCTTTTGGTCGTACATGTCCTGCACCTGGACGGTAGTTGCGACGACGCATGCAATCAACCCGATTCATTACCGCAGGTGCATGTTTGTGTGATCCAACTGCGAAGAAAGAGATAGTAGCGGCACCTGGAGAGCAAGCTCTAACGTCCCCGCGGCAATGCTCGTGAACCCCTCCCCAGTCAACATATTGCGGACCGCCCAGTTGCCGTTCCCCTGGCCCAGGTCGTTATAGATCCATCTCAGTAGCGCCAGCAACGCGCTCCCGGTCCCACCGCTTCCACCAAAAGCAACATCACTACCATTGGCGTTGCCAGCGCTATCGCTCAGCTGGCCTAGGTTACTGCCCGTGCTCATGGGGTTGCTGCTAGTACTCACGGTCACCGCCAGCACGGTCGATACCAGGCCCCAAACCCGGGCTTGGCCGGCCGACAGGCGTCCTGCCGGTAAAGGCCGCCACGACTTGTTCAGCCGGTCTTCCTCGATTGAGGCCGGCTGGCATTGGTTGTTGATGGTGAACGCAGGAGGTTGATCCAGCTGTACGCGAACATGTGCGGGAGACGCGACAGGAGCTCTCTCATGGGTACTGGTCGGCTGGGGTATGGAAAATGGCGAAAGCAATACTAGGGATGATCATGATTTTGAAGTCGTTGATGGTGAAGAGATACAGAGTGTGCGCGTGGTAGTGAAGGAATGAGTATACAGTGTTCAAGGCTCTGGTCATTTGTCTCAGATACAAGGCGATGCGAGTAGGGAAAGCTTGCAAGAGAGAAGAAGAGACACGGCCATCATTGTAGTCACAGCTTGATTGATCACTTCTTAGAACTTAGAAGAAGGGTGGGGAGGTATTAATTTATAGTAAGACGGGCTGGAGAGGAACCAATATTCAAGGCTTCTTTTTATCGAAGCTATCCAAAGCTTTCCTTCACCTAACTACTACTACCACTAACTACAAGGTGCGCATCCCAACGCTTCTGACTTATCTGTCGTAGCCAATATGTGTATATATATATCATAGTAACGTTAATTATACTTGTTAGTCTACGTATTGTGTTTAACGAAGATCATTAGGACTAGGTCGCTGAAATTATATAATCTGCTATTCATTGCTTTTTCCACCCGAAGCCTGCCATCAGCACTAAGCATATACTAGTCAACTATGTAGTAGTTTCCTATGTTGGCCTAACTTTTCTCCCACTGCGTGTTTTTGTTTTCCAATTCCAGAAAGTTATAATCACCCAGCCAGAGGCTTCCTAATTAGTTTATTCGCAAGCCCCGACCTCACCGTGTAATCCCAACACTTATATAAGCCCTCTCTCCCTCAACCCTCTCCACCCCTCAATCAAGCGGATATCGTCCCATTTCACATATTCATCACGCCAAGCAAAACCAAAGCAGAACCCAAACCCACTACTCTCCCTCCCTCCCTCCCTCCCTCTCTCTCTCTTACACGCATACCACCTCCTAGTCCACACGCACATCCCTCTCCTCTCCAGATAAAATCATACAACAATGGCAGTCCGCGTCTTCATCTACGCCTACCGCAAGCCCACCATCGACCTCCCCACCTTCAAGGCGCGCTACGAAGCCCACGTCCAGCTGGTCCCGCGCCTCGCCGGTGAGGATTTCCCTCTATCCCACAAGCGCAGCTACCTCGCGCGGACCACTGTCGACTCCTCCCCCCGGTGACCTCCTCGCTCCGGAACCCGCTCACCCCGGCTACCGTTTTGGTCGGCCAGCAGGCGGATTTCGACTTCGACGCGTACGCTGAACTCACCTTCGCGGAACAAGCGGCGTTCCAGGCGTTCTCTGCCAAGGTGATGGCCCCAGAGGCGGCGGCGCAGATCACGGCGGATGAGGAGGGGTTCTTGGACCGGGGGAAGCTGGGGATTGCGCTGCTGGGGAATGTGGTGGAGACTACTAAGGAGTAGGGGCTTTTAGAGAGAGAGAAGGGGGGGCTCTCGGGAATTTAAGGGGTAAGAGACTCAGAAGACCTTTCCGATATAGAGCACAATTTAAAGAGATGTGATAGACTATTTCATTGTTCCTACCACATTCCCGATCAGACCCTTCCATCCGGGGATGCTTCCTGTTTCTTTAGAGTATCAAATTATAGTTGACGCCGGTGGTTTCATGAAGAAACTCTTCTTACAAGTAATGAAAACCTACGCCAACCGGGAGCACTTACATAGTACTGCGCCTACGGAGAAGGTTCTTATGCGGACATGTTCGCGCGTTAGTAGGCCAAGGTCGCGTGGCTCATGTGACTGATAACGGGGCACTGGCCGGTGACAGCTATCACAGGATCAGTACTGCTTACTAAAAGGTTTATTATAACTACCCCACCCATTTAACCCTTTGACTACCCAGAGAACCAGTCTCTACGCACGTGACCTTGGCCGCTGCCCAGCGTCGGCTAGCTTCGTTATCGAGGACAGTGATAGTGGAGCACAAGTGATAACTGAGACTCGGGACCAGCCAAGACCATCCCACTTCCCCTCCATCCTCCGCATCATCGCAATTTTTCTCCAACGTCATCGTTTCAACAGAGTCCTTAGATCAACAATCAACGTCCCGAAGCTGTAGACGGTGTGCTCGGGGCCGAAACACAAAAATGGCACCCAGAAAGATTATCATTGATACCGATCCTGTACGATATATACAATCTTGCTTCGAACCGCACCTACCACGGCTTTGCACTCTTTTGACGTCTGACCAACTTGATTTGTACCATAGGGGATCGATGACATCCTAGCACTTCTGCTGGCGTTGTCCGCCAAGCCAGAAGAAGTCGAAGTGCTTCTGATCTCACTTACATTCGGTAACATCGAAGTGCGAAGGTAAATGTCACGCCTTGAACCAAATGTTGCACCTATTGACTTTCCCAAGCTGCCTGAGAAATGTCGTGTCCATGTTCCATATCCTCGAGCGGGAGATGCAATGGCGTCGAGAGAAGGGTCTGCCAGAAGGATACGGTGCCCTACGCGCTTGCCCTCCTGTTGTTGCGGTGGGAGCGGAGGATCCACTGGAAGACCAAAAGATGCTGGCGGACTATTTCCGTACGTGTTCAAGCGAGATCCAGGCTCAGAAATCAGACTGACCACATTGATAGACGGCACGGATGGTCTAGGAGGAATTCACTCCAGCGTGAGTGACGTGCATTCATCCTATCTTCCTCGCCAATCCACTAACGAGAAGCTTGTAGCATCCGCACTTGTCTCCCCAAGAGACTTGGGAAAACCTGTTCGACCCATCCACCGAATCTAACGACATTGACCCCGTTCCCGCTGGCGACTCCTCCAACCGCTTATTTCTTCCGTCCAAGCGTCCTGCACATGAAGAGATTCTCCGCGTCCTGCGTGAGAATGACCCCGAGACCGTCGCTATCGTGGCCGTTGGGCCCCTCACTAACCTTGCCATCGCCTCTGCAAATGATCCGGAGACATTCCTTCGGGCCAAGGAAGTTGTGATCATGGGAGGAGCTGTGAATCAGCCCGGAAACGTATGCTTTTGTGCCACCTTCCAATCCGGAGTTTGTGAGTTTGTACTTGCAATGTATTGACACTCATTAGGTCACCCCGGCCGCCGAATTCAACGCGTATGCCGATGCATTTGCTGCTGCCCGCGTCTACGCCCTCACTTCTCCCTCTCCCCGGAGCACCATACCTCCCGGCAAGAGTCTGCCGACGTATCCCGCTACACTCAGCAAACAGCTCACCCTTCGCACGTTCCCCCTCGACATTACACTGCGGCATGGTATGACCCGCGGCCAATTTCGGAAGGCCATCACACCTCTCCTCGAATCCGGCTCACCGCTGGCTGAATGGGTTTCAGCCTTCATGGCGCACACATTCCAGACCTTGGAGCGTCTTCACCCGGGCCACGAGGGCGACAAGGCTGACCTCAGTCTGCACGACCCTGTGTGCGTATGGTATGCTCTGACCGCCGACGACGAGGGCTGGAAACCCTCCGCCACATCACCCGAAGATATCCGGATTGAGACTACCGGTCAATGGACGCGGGGTCTATGCGTGGTGGATCGCCGCAATCGACACCGGATCGAAGGTGAGGAGGAAAGCTCGAACGACCATGGCCTATGGTTGAGCACGCGGGCGGGCAACCGCGTCCTGAGAATGGATCACTCCCCGGTGGAAAACACCTTCGGAGGCATTCTTCTGGAGAGAATTTTCTATTAGTGCGGTATGTCGAGGACAGCCGTGTGCCATCTCGAGCACATTGATCTAGATGATTAATCTTCGATACATGGCTCCTAGAATCCATGCTCGGCAGACATGAAAGGCGTCGGTATATATCCTGTATCTAGCGATAGACTTTTGTTGTTAGAAGCTGCACATAGGGGTAGTAAATGGTATGCTTGAGTGCATGAGTCGAAACGGATGGACCAAAACGTATAAGTAGACGGCCGGCTATAGTCCAGGTCACCTTCTACGGCCAAGTGTCGATTCTCCCCTGTCCCTCCTATCCAGACTCCGTCGAGACCCACACCATGCCTTTCCTGACGTAGCCAAGACAATCGGCGTGATTTATTCGCTTCCACATAAGGTACGTACAGGCTATACTTAGCTCCGACCCGAATAAGTCTAGCTCCGGATTTCGTCAAGAGAAGGATTCAGCCGACGGGCTGGATCTACACGACCTCCGCGTCTTCGATGAAAGGGTCCCGTCCCGGACACGTATAACCCTCAGCTTCAATTGACCGTGACTTATAGGAGAAAGGCAAAGTCCCATGAGTTGGAGGAATTCGTAACGCCACGAATTAACGAGGGTTTACTAACGTTGGAACAGAATTGAAGGATCGGCCTAGGTTAGGACGGATGGACGGTAATATCGAGACCAGACGGATTAGGTAGTACTGGCACATGCCCACACGGCGCTGGTGAAACCACTAATTTGGAATCAGAGGTGCACGTGCTTGGATGCCCGGTCTGGACGGGACTGAAACCCTCAGTCCGATCCCTCGAAGCTGCCAGGCTGTCGGAACATTTCCCTCTGTGCTCCCTTCCCCCTCCCTCCTCCTCGGGGTCAACGGTTCGGGTGCAGTGGTAGGTTAACGGTCCCCCCTCCAATGCAGGACGGATGAATCCGGAGAAGAGGAGGGGCGTGAGGGGGAAGGGGGTAGGTTGAGCACGGGCTTCTGGATGGATGGTGGTGATGATGATGATGATGATGCTGAGAGTCGAGTCCGACGTCGCTACAGGTACTGTACTTACTGTACGTGTGGATGTGCTTTTGCCACTGTGGCGTTCATTCTCCTCCTTTTCCTTTCCTTTTCATTTTTTGCTTTGTGTCGCCTTGAAGTTTGAGAGTATTTGGTTTTCTGCTTCTTTGATCTTTAACATGATGTTTCTGAGGATAATCTTAGTACCCACGGCAAGAGGGAGGTATCTCGTGCCCATGTAGGACGATGCGTAGATGCTACCGGACCGGGGTAGTTCGATTACCAATTAGCATTGAATCCGCATCAGCGTGGGCTATTACGCCAGATAAGATACTCCCCTCCTCAGAGGTTTTCTGTAGGCTATGGAAATGTTTGGGATGGTGGAACTCAGACACGCGCTACGGCACATGTCTGCATCTCACACTCCATAGTCTACCTATAGTCGTGTTCAGTATTGAGTTATCTTCCCGACTATGAGCAAACTTAGCTGATTGCTACATAGTATTCATGGTCCCGACGGCACGGTCTCTTAGAGTCTCCCTGAAGAGGATTAGTCAGGGAGGGAATAACCAAGGAGAGGCAAGGGGGAGGGGATCAATAATGGCTTGGGGGAGATGCGAACAACCGGTAAGAAGAGGGAACGGGAGCACGAGCCCCAGCAGACTGAGGAGAGTCGGCCATTTGGTCCGGGCGGCAATTCGGTCTCGTGCCCTTCCCACTGCCATCCGTCCGGCCAATGATGGCGCCTGGGCTCGCCGCGTGGGCTTCCCCCAAGCACGCGACACCGAGTCGACTTCTTACTGACTGCCTTCTTTCTCAGGCAAGGTAAGGTTACTTTGGCTCTTTGGCCCATTAAGTTATCTCAGATTTGAATCCGTCTGTCGATCATGTACTCTACTTTACTTACTAGGGTACTGTAGGTACTCCTACCTAGAATTAGGAATAAGTAATGAAGTAGGACCAGACTCTTATCGCCATTTCTCAACTCCCTCCTCGTTCTCATACTCTCCCCTCTCCCTCTTTCTCTTCCCAGGAACACCCTATCCATCATCCTGCTTTCCTTCTCCTCTCTTCCCCCTCCCTGTCACCACTGGTGGTCCAGTGATATTATAGTATAAGTCTTTTCCTTGCAACTCTATCGGGGCTCAATCCAAGAACCCTTCTCCACTCCTCCTCACATCCCATCATTACTGGGCCCGACTGTCGTTGCCGCATTCCTCCTACTGCCTCCCTCCCCTACCGGGAAGCAAGACCTGTACAACCTCTCTGCTGGTGGTCGTTCAACATACTCGCACCATTGGCCCCGTTTCACTCGCATTTTCACTAGTTCAATCATTCCCCAACTAGCCAACGAACCGATTGGCGAGCAGTGCCAACCTAACAGTCAACGTTGCTCATTCCCCCGATTCAGATCATGTCACGTTCTCGTCTGCCACCAACACCCGCTATGTCCGGGGAGCTCATAGTCAAGGAGCAGTCCTCAGTGGATGCGGCAGATACCTTTGCCTTGCCTCCCGCCGCTATCAGTCCTGCGAGAATGGTCGCTGCCAGCAGAAGGTCCTCCAAGTCGGATCCGACCCTCTGCTTTCCCGCGTCGCCTGCATCACCCAACCTGGTCATGGGCAGCATTGCCAACTCACCCCGTCAGACTGGAATCAAGAGACCCCTGGAAGATTTTGATCTGCCACCGCCGCCGACACGCACCCGCAAGATCATCCAGATGAAACCCAAGACCCAGAGCCAACCCAAGCCAGCCGCACCGGCTCCCAGCAACAAGGCCTCGGCGAAAGACAGCACCAGCAAGGCCGCCGCAAACAACACAGCCCCAACGAATTCCAAGAAGAAACAGCCCAGTGCCACCAGTGCGGCCGGTCGGAAGATCGCGAGAAAGACAGCACACAGCTTGATCGAGCGACGACGAAGATCCAAGATGAATGAGGAGTTCGCTACGCTCAAGGACATGATCCCTGCCTGTCAGGGACAGGACATGCATAAGCTCGCCATTCTGCAGGTGTGTATTATTGCTGCCTTTTTCACCTTCGCGTGCCTGATCGCTAATGGAACCTCGACGTACCCAGGCAAGCATTGATTATGTCAACTACCTCGAGCAATGCATATTAGACCTCAAGACGGCCGGCGGCCGTCCAGCGAGGCAGACTCCAAGCATGCCACCAGCCCCACCCTCTCCAACTTCGCCAGTAGCCCTCGGAGAGGAGTCAGGGTCGACGTCTTCGGCTTCCGTGTCTCCAGCGCTTCTTCCAACCGATGCTTCGACCTCAAACGCGACTTCACCCATCTTCCCCCCAACGGCCCAAACACCTGCTCCTTACGGATCCCTCCCGGATTTCCGATGCTCCTTCGCAGCCTACCCCGTCCCGGAACCAGTTCCGTCCGCCCGAGAGACGTCCCGCTCAGCACGGACCTCGTGGGCGGCATCATCAACTAGCACCTCGCCGTTCTTGCCGCCGCAGAACGCCCGCGCATCCCCCGCCGATGTCGATCACGAAGCATCGGCCGCCTTGCTGATGCTTAACCGGGACTGTCGGGGCTCCGTTGGCTCGGTGCACGATGCACACGTACCTCCGGTTCCTCTTGCGCGGAGGGAAGACCCAAGCGCGGGGCAAGATCCGCAGAGGAAACTGGGCATGAGTGTGAAGGATCTGCTTATATCTTAAGCTTGCTTGTTGATTGATGCATTTATGGCGAATTAAAATTGGTATATGTAAGCTGGCGTGTGGATGGCGTTGTATGGATCACAGCAGGAAGAGAATGGATTGGCGTTCCTGGAGGAGACTTTATTGTATTCGACCTATATATGCAGGCTGGACCAGTATAAGTGATGATTATGTTATGTATTAGTGAAGATCCGAATATAATATTTTTGAGGGTATGGTTGTCCAAGCTTCCGGGACAGACCAGAAACAGAAACTATCTAAGTGTCGGACGAGCTGAGGTCTAAACAACCATGAAATAGTCCAGACCGTCTCGGCATCGGCGCTCCACAAGACGGAGAACCCATTGGAGCATGGAAAGATAGCCGTCCCCACTCAATCTCAGCACTGGCAGAGAGACCTTCAAGCCCTCATCATGCCGGCAGCACATTGAAGCATTTGACAAGAGTGGAACTATTCTCACTTGACCGTTGCCCATAAGGGCCGCAGCCCAGTCAGTCAGCGGATCGGTTGTTGGGGTCCCGGTAGGGTCTCGGCCTTGTGTGGCTTCGTGCAGCTGCAAGTAATCTCGCTGGCCAAAGCAGAGACGAGCCAGCTTTACCCCGCCCTATTCCTGTGTACTATGCGTGTGCGCGGCCTGTGCTCCTTCTAGACACCTTCCAGCCAGCTTATTTCGGGGTTTGGATGTGTGACATCAGTAGTCAGTTAACAGGTGACAAGAATTATTGTTTGGGGGTGGAGAGAGAATATTGTGCTTGCTTGCTCTGACCTGATTAAACCTTCCAGTAAGAAAGAAGAGTCAGCCTCCAGGCTAGCCTGGAATGACCCGGGGTTAGAATTTACTGGCTACACAAGGTCATGCGGGGGTGCAGAGACAACCAAAATGCCGGCCGGCTTATTTCCCTTTTTCTTACTTACAGTAAGTACATAGCTACAAGCATGGCGCCAAATCTGCAGGGTTGTGGGTTTCCCCATGCCTTGGCGCGACCGAGGGCGAACAGCTTTTGACATTTCATGCTTCTACCTTTTTGCTTGGCCGAGCAATTAGTATATGCGCTGCTGTTCCCCGGCGCCCGATGTGTCGATGTCTGCATGTCACGCCATCCTCCCAGCAAATTGTTCCCTTGCAAACTGTAATCGCCAAGATTCCTTGGACATGCATCCTTCTCCAAGATACGAGGATAATCGATGCTGGAATACGCCTTGGGGGCGGTCGATTACCCGGTTCACGGTGCAGGAAGAAGGATGGAACTTGCATTAGGCGATGCAGGTTCTAAGCCCACTTGACTGTCTGGATAAGCATTCGTGAAGGGGTCCCGTGCGACAGGGCTGTACATTTTACAGTATATTGTTGCTTCCGTAGGATGGTCGCGAGTACAGGTAACTAGAATGTTATCAAATACCATGCGTGGAGGTAAGGTACCATTTGTATTGCTCAGATCAAACTGGAATGCATAATTGTACAGTATGTACACTACTGATCGTGGCTCCCAGATTGTGTGTCAAAGAAAGGCATCATGTGCTCTGCCCGGGCAATGGCCCGCGGAGATTCTTTGGCCCCACCCCTCTCCCTCTCCAGGCGGCGATCTTCAATCAAATCTTTTGGGCGTGAGATCCACTGCCTTCGGGTTCAATGATGACGTGGGTGGGTGATTCATGGCTCACTTCTTCCATTGTCGGTCTTTTTCTATTGTTTTCTATGTCAATGGTCAATACAGCGGTGAGCAAAAGAAATGTGAAGCTGGACAAATTCATTGCTACGAGGACCAGCAACCAGCCTCATTCTCTCTTGAAAGCCTCCGTGCGGGTGATCAGCGCGAGGCAGGGCCAGGCTATCGATCATCTTCAAGTAGAGTATTCTTGTGGATTGGAGAGGCCATTCTCGGCAATCGCGGGCAGCTTTGCCCCTAAACCCGCCTAAGTCTAAGCATTGACTAGCGTGGCCCAAGGCAAAGTCCCCGCAGTGCCGACATTCCGACTGACTGACTGACTGCCTCCCCGCCCGAGTCCCGTGGTCGGTCCTATTGTATCGTTCTTGTACTCTCAGCACCGTATATATTCTCCCTTTACCCTCCCCCTGATCGCCCACTCACACTTTTTTCAGCCCCTTTCCATCCATGGCCTCGAAGGACATTATCTCTCCATTTTGCCGACCTTCCAGCCCACAATTACCACAATCTTCAGCATGTCGAGCAAGTTTCCCTCCCAGCAGCGCAAGAAGAACGCCCGATCCATTGCCTCTGAGGACCCCTGGAAAGTCGACACCCCATTCGGCTCGCCGCGCATCTCGCACTTCCCCAGCAGCAAGATCAGACGCATTCGCAACACCTTGCAGAAACTGTCTCCCTCCGCTCGGGCCGAGAAAGAACTCCTCAAGCAAAAGAATCGATACAAGATCCCCCTGACTGAGCGCAACGTCGACGCCTTCGTCACCGAACAACTGTTCACCGATGCCTGCCATCCAGGCCAACATACCCCAGAGCTGCAGATCTCGGCTTGGCTTGATAGACTGTCATACTGAGAGTGATGGTCAGTTGGTCTGTCTGTATACTACTGCACCGCAACGCAGTACAAGACCTACGGGACATTGTTCTCCCCTTCTGGCTCGGCGGCTTCTTTTGTGCCCCCCCAGCCCCCACACCAGGCTCTCTCACAAGAAAGAACAACAACAACAACGACTGCGCAAGCCAAGACCCCAGAATGCACCTGAAGCCTTACCCACACGTCAGCATCTTGGCAATTCGAAGACACATCTCAATACTACGTCTCGGCGCCGCGCGAAATGACAAGACGGGTGCGAAACAAGAAGGATATGTAAGACCCTTGCCGGGGGGGCCAACGTCATCGATCTAGGCGCCGAGCCGCGCCCGGCCCCCGCCAAGTATGCAGGTGTCAACCATCCTAATCCTAGCATTGTTGCGTGTGGGGGAAAATCCTCTAGCCTCATTTCAGTCCTTTCACCTCTCATCGACGCACATTCTCATGCCCTCTTCATACTCTATTCCCATGGCATATTTGCGGGAGGTTTTATGCCATTCATAGCTTCTGCTGGCATAGTCTTCCGCTTCAACTCTCAGATTGTTTGTTTAATCCTATAATCTTGTTTCTTATGTTTTCTTTTAATCTGTTACGGGCCGCTGTCCTCAATTCGCTCACTTGTTCTGTCTTGGCCGGAGTTATCCATCTCTATTTGTGAGATTTTGGGATCTTGGGTTGATACATGCGCTTGGCTTTTATATTGGAAGGTAGCATTCAGCGAGGCGCACGGAGTTTGGCCAAGGTTGGCCGTCATGCTTTTAATATTCTGTTCAGCTCTTGCTCTATTGGCTATTCATATCAATTTGGCATTTGCACTCAACAGCAACCATATATTTTCCTTGACAGATACCCTTTAACATATCCTTTGCTGAAAATCTATCCACATTTGTCCCATGAATATTGATTGTAGCCCTGGTTAATCTGCTAACTCGGAACATAGAGCCAGAAGCCCGGTCTTGCAAGCAAACAAGTGCTGGTAACGGGAGCCCTGACCGGATAATTGCCCCAGTGAATGGTGAACAAGACAACCATCACAGTGACTCATACCCATTGACAGGACTCAGTATTGTTCACGTCACCTGTTTCCTCTCTGCTAAGTGAAGCTTGGACACTTTGGTGAATGCTCAGCCACAGAGTCTGTGAATAGACACCGCTCATTCATGATGGCTATCTCTTCCCTTCCAGTCTCTGCCCAGTTCCTCTCCTCTCCCAATCCTTCTTTCCTCCACTCCACCATCCACCACACTCTAATATACTCAACCACATCCAGTCCTTGATAGGATAAAGCATTCTTAGTATTTTCCTTATTAAATGAGCCTTACCAAAACACCAAGGGAGATCCATGCACAAAGACCCACTCTTTACTTCGGCCCGGCCATATTCCTGCTATCAAACTCGTATCTCTCCGAGCAATAAAGTAAGTCCTATGACCCAGTTTCCAGCGATAACTTTCTTGAATTCTAATCGAAAGCAGGATACACATCCACTCAGTGACAACATGTATCACCCCTCGATAGAGAGGGTAGCGGACCTGGACCTCGGGGTCCAGGGGAGCTGGGCAAGTGACTTGGAGAAGAGGACTCGTTGGCGGTGTTCTCCGGGGGGAGGGGGGGGGTGGGCAGAAGTCGGGGAAGGAGGAGTGGGAGAGATAGGGGGTCGCCGCCAACCAGATGGTGCTTCTTCACCGCCTAAAATGGTAGTGCTCGTTGGCTGATAAGACTGTACCTCGGTCTTCTATTTTGGCAGAGAAAGCTGTTCCATCCCCTTGCGGAGATTGTCCCTATCGAGCTCTGTTCTCAATTTGTCCAACACGAGCCAGCCAACTTAAACCCTCTGCCCACTGGCAGAGAAAGGCTACCTGACTTGCCAGAGTCTCTGTTGACCCAGTCCTCAAGAGAACAAGTGCTCCAGTCGACACTATATGAAGCTCTCTGTGGCATCGCCTTGCTCGGCGAGTTCATCTTTCCTTCATACAGGTCCATGGAAGATGATCTGTCAATTCAAGCCGACACGAACTTACTAGAGCACGCGATCCTGGAGATACCTGGCTATTTCTATCTGGGCGCAGTGGACATCAGCCTTACCGGGAGGGAATCTATGAAATGGGCAGATACACCGCACCGATCCAGACTCCGCATATGAAAATAGACTTCTGAGACCGCAGGACACTGACAACCCCATTCTGTGGTTGAAAGTAGAGTCTCTGAGTCGCTATCTTGACTCCACCGGGATGTGACTTGGAGAAATGGTAACTTCGGGCGCATTATTCTCCTGGCATCAATTATAAAGTTTCTGCGTGCAGAAGATAAGTTCACGATCGAGAGGTGTTTTCTCACAGTTTCGACCTAGAACATGCAAAATTGCTTTTCCTTGGCAAAAACTGGCTACTGGTTTTAATTGGGAGCTACTTATTCTTTTTATGGTTTGGTGTCATCATATCCTTCCAAGATGGTGATAGGGACCAGGCACCAGCTCAGTATGGACATGCTCAGAAAACTACTCCCAATGGACGTGGCGGTTCCCAAGGCTCCGTGACGTTTCTATCTTCATACTTGACGATCGCTAGAGCGGCTAATCAACTACTATCTACTACTGAAACTCCCTTGGCCATCCCGGGGTTGGTTCGCAGCCTCTATCGCAGTGGTACGAGATTGTGTATCTCAGGCAAGTCAGATAATCAACACTCAACAACAATCTTTATCGCGATGCCGCTGCTTGTGCGATACCAGCGACTGAGGCCAGAAGAACAGGTGTTGATAAACGAAAGGGACAGGAAGAAGCTCGGTGGGAGCAGATCTTGGAGTTATGCTACGCCCACCTTTACTTCATCATGACGCCTTCATCATCGCTTCTTTATTGCCACGTCAGGCCTCTCGCCGTCGCCGCCGTGTGCCGCCAGCAGGCGCAGGTTGTGAATGTTTTGGCCGCCCCCGCGACGTACAACCCGTTGGTGCGCAGTCCCGCTTTACCACCGGTGAGCACTCCCAGAGCTGTTTGAGATCGCTCGGCCCTGAGCAGCACTCGTCTCGCGAACTGGGTGCAAGCTCACTTCGTGGAATTGCCTGCTGATGGTGGGTTCGCCGTCCGTTCGCGCGCTAATCTGGTGTTTGTTCCCGGATACCCCCTGGACAGGTCGTGATCTCCTGTCAACAGGCGAATGGGCCTGGATCAAATGGCCGCTTCTCTGGTCTATCCTGGTATGGACGTTCTTCAGACTGGGGTTGTGCGCTCAGCTTCGCGAGAAGATTATCGTGACTCGAGCTGGGGCGCAGCCTCATCGCACGTCGCGATTTGTTCGGCTCACCGGGCTTTAAACTCTGGTCAAAGAGTGTCCAGGAGCCCGACTAGGAAGATCACATACAACCATTTGCAGCGGCCACAGGTAATCCACTTATGGGCTAATTCAACGACCTCTCACATGCTGCTTCCCGTTCACTCGAACAAGGGCGCTGGGACATCCAATGCCTGTCCAGCTTTACATTCTGAGTAGAGATAGCCGTGCTAAAGTTGCATTGCTCTCTGAGTGGGCAATCATTCCTGGTCCCATTTTCTCAGGTCTCTATCCCGATGACCTGTCTTTCTATGTTCTCGCATCTAGCTCTTTTCTATACTAACTTGTGGCCGTACTTCTTGTTTACTGCGCACTTAGGTGAGTATCTTGAGTATCCATTTCTTCGTGCATTAGTTTGCTAATGTTCTTCTTCCAGGATACGCTTGCTTGTCTCTTTCAGGAGAGAAGCTGAAGCTCTTGCGCTATTCCGTTCCGTCTTCAGTATTGTGTTGTGAAGCATTTTTCTGCTCGACTCGTATATCCTCTGTTTGCTTTGGCAAGTTTTGAGAGGCATATTGATTATGGCAAGACATTCACCCAAGGTCACCGGTCACGAAGCACAGAAAGAATGAACCGATGGGTTATGGCTTTTCAAGAATTCATGTTCTCGGCACATGGTACGTTCTTTTACAGCCTCTATAAAGGAGGATACGTGTTGTGCGGGGAAGGCGCAAAAGTATGTAGCTCGTGGCTCATAGCGACACAACGGGATATCAAGCAGAACTCCTTCACTCTTCGAGACCTGTCTGTCGGCTCCGTTATAGTCGCGCCAGATCTGCGCCCTGAGAACTAACAGGGCGACGATGCTGTCTCACCCATAGGAGACCAAGTCATGTCATTACCTGATCATTATAACATGCTTGTATTCTCGATATGAGCCGATTTGGATGCAGTATACCTACTGGCTATTGTCTATTTCCTGACTAGGTCTCGAATAATTGCCTGAAGCAAGCAGGCGGCGAGTTCCCCGCACTCCACGACTATCACCATGTCGCCTCTGAGGATCTCGAAAAGCTTCGTGCAAAGGGATAGTCACAACTCAAGAGGGTACAGATTCCCTTTGTAACCTTTCTGAAAGATATCACGATCTATAATGCGGAGGAAAGGAGATTGAATGGTCTATTGCCAACTGATGTAATAATATGAGAAAGGATTCGACCTAGCGCGATACTACGATGATGAGGTCAGTCTCAGATCGTGATATATGGACTTTCGTATATCCGCACGCAGGCGGCGAGGACCTCGGGGCTAGAAGCTTCTTCCCCGTCAAGCATCAGCTATCTTTTCAGCCTATGTCAAATTGTTGCTCGATGGCACTCTTACTGCTAGCAGTAAAGAGTGGCTTCTCATGAAATCCGAGTCGGACGTGATCAGCGCCTAAGGTATGAATTCAGCCGAGCGAGACAGTCGGACGATTCGGTTCCATATCGACGCCGTTAAGCTCCAGAGAGTATGTGAAGCATGGAGAGGCCGCTGTCGACGGCTTTGTGTAAACACGGTGACCCGCCACCTGCTAGTCAGGCAGCCCCAGCTGGACGCAACTCAAAAATGAGAACCGATATATGGGACACTTGGCCGCTAGTCACTGAACAGTAGGGTATTATAAAAGAAGACTGGTTTGTGAAACGGACCAGGCTATCGGATCAATGGATGATTTACGCCATCTAACGGCTATCATCTGCAGAACGTGCCTTTATGTTCCCGAACGATTTTAATGCAGATGGCTCTATACGCCAAATATAAATCCCAGCAGGACCGATATTTATTCTTTATGTATACGGCCGTTTCTTCTATGCAGTCTACAAAGGAGGTTATGTCCTGTGTAGTGAAAATTGAAGAGTGTGCTGCTTATGGTTACGCCGGAAACAGCGAGCGATCAAAGAGAACTCGTTTGACCAGGATACATCTCAGTCGGCTCCGTCTTGGTGGCTCCGGACTATTGCCCACAGCAATACGATGGAAAAAACGACGTAATAATGTTCGGAGACAAAAGGACTGGGTTTGTGTCGCAACTCGACAGCAATGGAGGCCGCCGTCATCGGGGCAATTCATCGAATGGTGTCTAGGATGAAGATCGTTCCTGTCTGACTTATTCAGCAGGTATTTTTTCTCATTCCTTCTTTTGATATTCTCGGCTTTCTTTGCTGTTATTAATCGATCGCTTGGAAAAAGCAAACACTTGCTTGCAATTGCTGCATTCTCGGAGGAAGAGGTATGCTTGCACGTCTCGATTGGAGACGATGAAGAGATCAGCAGTATAGGCTTCAGGGGAAAGCACAGTGCAGAGACCCCTCGGACTCTGACACAGTGAAAGATTGGCTGAAGACGCTTATAAGCCTTTACTACTTCTCTTCGAGAAAGCTCATATTGATGATGTGGCGTCGCGGGCCAGTAAAGAATACGAGCAGGGGGCAGATTACTCTGTCTGGCATGATTGCTGGGAAAGCCACGATACTAAATCCTTAAGGTAAGACCATATGACCACTTACGGCATGCCTACTGGTAAGTCTTCCCAGGCTTCTATGGTATGGTAGCAATTATGCTAACATGCATGCGGTAGTCAATAACGCCCCACATAAGGAGAGACTCTATCGCATCTGAGACGGTCTTACCTCTCATTGCTATAATCTTGCGGTTTTTCTGGATTCTGGAATGCAAGAAGTGTGCAGAAGAATCCGCCCATCAAGTACAGGAAACGTTGTCCGATGGCAGCGACGTGCTGTTGTTCGAATTCAATAGGGTCCTGGGTGCTTGGTTTAGCTAGCATTGGATCATCATGAGTGTTGCTGTCCCGCCCTATGCACGGAGCTCATACGCCTGAAGGCCCTTGAAACTGGGCCGGAATGTTCTTCACCTCTTAGCATCCATGAGTCTTCCTCTTGACTCACGACCTAGGAGAAAGAAGTCAAAGATATATTAGAGGTCAAAAAGGAAGCCTCCTTGCGGGTTAGTGATGATGAGATGGGATCGATTGTTTTCAGTTCTAGCCTATCTGCTCTTCCCAGACGTCTCCCCAGAGCAGTGGGCTATGTCTCAACCTGACAAGACATTTTTGCTTCCCCGTTTGACACGCCTAATGGTTACGGTCGAATCGGGAGTATTGTGTGTGTGTGCTGTGTGCATCATGCGCTTTCTTCAACAAATACATGAGCAAATACAATCACGGGCGGCACTGACACAGGACTTGCTTGTCTTTATCCTCGCCCTGGGACATCCATCGTATGACTACCAATGACTGGGAGATGCCCTGTTCCACGAATTACACCGGCAGCAGGCGGCCCGGAACGTTGAAGACCAGGAGAGCATGCAAGTTAGGAACGTACTAACGAGGGACTTGTGTCATAGGCATACCGATTGATTGTCCGTTTAGCATCTCCCTGACGAGCAACGACGTGTAAGGAACTTGACCAACCAATGCTACCCCCTGAATTTTATATACTTATGTTCTACAGAGAAAGATGCGCATCACGAAAAACGGCGCTCGACTACTTTACCGAACCTATGGTGGATTTACTGACTTGCTATGACATTCCGGGTTGGCGCAAACATGCACAAGTTTCGTCGCTCAGCTTGCGCCAGGAACGATTGAGACGAGACTGCCATTTCTTACCACGTTGCTCTGGGAGATTCTCTCTCTGTGATACGGAAATCCACCAACTCCATACTTGAGAAGAACAAGTGGGTGGTACATGTTACTGTGGTCCTCTGGACATCGCAGGTATTAACTCTGAAAAAAATGCTCCCGCAGCTCGACTAATATAGCATTGCTTGCAAATTGTCTTGTGAAGCACTCCCACTTGATACGCTTCGCGATATTTACCTCTTTCGTTTAAACCATTAGGGTCGTACAAGATGATAAGGAACCCGCAACACATACAAGCATTGGGATCTGAAGATCCTTTAGCGTATTCCAACCGGAACTCAACATACCACCGGGAAAAACAGGACACTCCTTGCAAACTGCACCGCAGTATACATCATCAGCCGCGAGGGGGTGTATGCTGCGCATTTCTTTGAGGATGTGGGACAGCGGCCGGCGACGATCAATCGAAAATGTTATTAAACCAAGCCCATCGGCCACTAGGTTGATTTCGTTGAACCCGACTAGGGTAAAGACCAAATTTATGGAGACCTGTACCCTCTTGGAAGGACGTCACCTACTTACATTCTCTGAGGTGAACTTGTAGAGAGTCTGGCCTCCCTGGGAGTACAGGAGAATCGACTGAGAAGGACGAAAAGAAGTGGGGGGAGTTCGGCACGACGGTCATGAAACTCCTCGACCCATCCCTACGTGCTTACTAATGCTTATACTGTTTAATCTTTTTGAACCATGGCTAATGAGAACCGCGATGATAATTTGCGGAGGTTCCCGATCATCTTTTGACAATCTTAGTCCTAGGAAATCCTTTATAGAGCACATTTTCTCGCTCGCAGGGCGCTTGATCAAGCGATCTATACTTCCTGTCGGTCACGGGTACTTGCCGTGGCTTTACAGTCAATAACTTCTGGGAAGAGTATGAGCTTGGAGATTATAGTGACTGCATAACTCGTGCTGCTTTCGTTATCTCAATCGGGTTATTGCCAGATATGCATCTGGCTATGTAGATGGAACAGCGGGCTTCGTTGATAACCACTATATGGTCGTCGCAAGAAACGATTTTTCAGTTCGTCAGTTGCTGGGACGCCTGAATGAGCTGGGATCCACTATGCCTACGCTTATTCGAAAGAGGTGGACAATGCATGGGACTGGAGTTGTGACTGCGTCTGTCACAATCATGTCGGAGGGCTATTGCCGGGCCGCGTCGTTCTAACATTACAAAGACCCGGAGTCTATCTTCGTCACGGTTCTAGCACACTTGGAATCAGTGCGTTGCACAAACACCATTTCGGCGAATATCTGCAACCGAGAATATGGCCTCCAAGACGAGGTTGAGCGGCATTACCAGAAGACAGTCTGGACGAATATAGGTTGGCGTCGGAGACAAGACTGGATTACAAGAACGATGGAACCAGTCCTATCAATCCTCATCGTTCTCATGAAGCAGAGACGAACACTGTTCGACACAAAAAGTGTGTTGATAATCATACGGAAAAAGCAAATACTGAATCATCCCCGCTCAAAACAGCCGAGCCACGACATCCTAAGCCAGTCCTGGGCTCTTCATATCGATCCTAACATACAGGTCGAGCTGAAAGCGAATTTGACATGCATTGCCAGATCAAACGCTGGGATCTGCTACCTGGGTGGCTCAAATGGAAGGCCTCTTTCTGAACGACCTGAGTAGGGCTCCAACAGAAGCAACCAAGCGCTATTTCTACATCCAGCTACCCATACTGTGGGAAACATGTGAGAAGATTGTCTTTTTTTTTAATATGCTTCCTAGACTACGCATCCGATATGGCCCTAAGAGTTCCACCAGCCAAAACCAGGAGTGTGGGCCTGCGAGAGAGCGAGTTTGTAGCGACAAACAGTTTTGTACAACGCATGCCTTGGTCATAACGGCCAAGGAAGACCAGCCACCAATCCTTTGTCTAGACGTCGAATCTCGCGTGTCACCATGGACGCGGGTTTCCTTAACTTCTACCAGGAAAAAACCACCGACGTCATCCGAGTCGAATATATCAACCAAAATGGAAGCATCACATTAGACTGTCCCGAGCGCGGGGTCCCTGAGAAACTACTGTCAAAATGTGTTACCAGTGCATATAGATACCTCACAGACCGGTAAGCATCTCGACCTTGATTCTCCTGACACACCACCCTGCCAGCAGCTTTAATAGCCTCTCGAACCTCACAACATCTCCCACCCTAGGCATCTTGCCAGCCAAAATGTGAGGCTTCCCCTATCTTTCGGAATTGAGGAGCCTGTCCACTGACCAAGACCTTACTTTGTTTCCTTTAGTAAGAGCGCCTCACACCCCATCGTGCGCGATTTGCACCAGATCCTGGTGATGTACAATATCCGGCCCGACGCCACCTTCCTCGAGTTCAGGGCCGCCCTCGCTAACCCATAGCTGAAAGCCGACCTTTAAGTGTATCTGTTCTATCTCCTTAGGCGCTGCTACGTACATGGCCACACTGTCCAGAAACCGTACGCGGCGCTTTATATCACCGCTGCTACAGCCATAGCTCTGCTGATCGTGAAAGGCCTCCGCGTAAGTCCCGCAATTATATTCACATCTAAAGTCAGGAGATTTGCTGCTGACTATTTTGCTTCTTCTTCTTCTTCTTCTTCTTCTTCTTCTTCTTCTGTAGGAGCAAGAAGTGCATGACCTTGCGGTTAATCACTTGACTGCGGACTGATTCTCGTCTGTTCCACCATCGCGACTCGGTCTTTTCGGTACACCAGCAGCGCGCGAACCCCAGCACTCTCTCTGCACCCACGCTCATCCTCACCAACCGATCAGATATCACCTCGTGGGTATCATCAAAGCGGCAACTCTCATCCGACCAGGTCCGTGTCAAGCTTCTCGTCGGAGACAGTACGGATATAGCCCACCTGATCTCGTTCCTCAATACCCTTCTGGCCCGGAAGACGGTATTATTATTCTCCTTTCTACCTACGATATCTGGGCCATGTCCAGTAGCTTGCTGGGTTCCCCTTCCTCCTTTTATCTCTTCCCGAGGTTTCTCCCTTCATAAACATCAACAACCTCCCACGCAAATCTGCAAGCGTTCCAGTGAGAGATAGAGAACTGAAACCCATTTGGCTCTCCGAGTATAAAAAACAAATCTTGATAAACAATGACATCTTCCACGGACGCTGAACAGACAATGCAGCTCGCTCTGGAGCGATTCCGCGTCCGGATGGCCACGGCAAACAGGAAATTCATCCAGGATCGCGTGGATGAAATCGAAGCGCGGGGCCTGGCCAGCGAAGAAGAGAAATGGCGAAAGATGGCCGAGTACCGACATATCGAACCGAATGAGAAGGAGACCAAGTTTCCCCAGCGGTTGGTGGATCTTCCCGCGGCAGTGGACAAGGTGTTCCCCTTTCCCATAGACGGGGTGCACCCGCCGCGACTGCGGACCGACGACGCACGCGAGCAGTTCCTGGATATGCTCCAGCAAGTCTTCCAGCAGCAGGCGGAGGAGTGGGCGGCGGAGCGAGGCCGGGAGACGCCAGGGCTCCTCCCCCGCTGTGACGAGCTGAACGTGTTTTTGAAGTACGCCTACGCGGTCGAGGACCCAGATTTTCGCCTCTCCGCCATCCCGCCCTTTGAGCCGGGGCTGACGCTCTTATCGGTGGAGCAGGCTGAGTTGGCGGAGACGCAGCCCGAGCAGTACCGGGAGCAGGTCCGGGAAGAGTGCGCGCAGGTGCGGGAATTCCTGGAATCCGACGGGACTGGCGATCTGATCAATAAAGCGATAGTTGGCCCGTGGGTCGAAGCCGATGATCTGGAGGTCAAGGCCGGTGTGATTACTGGCACTGGCTATATCGGTGAATACCCTCATTGGTATAGTACCTATCTCTACTGCCGTCAGCGGGAGGATGCTGTTCGGGATTATGCTATTCCCGATGCCCCCAATATCCGGAACTGGGCGTGGCGGGTCGTTGTCCTTGACGACAAGGGGGATTTCCTTGCGCCTTCTGTGATTTATGGGCGCAAACCGCGCTTTGACTCCATTCCTGAGTTCTTGGATTGGTACTGTAGCTGGCCGGACTATTTGGATGCCCGCCGCATACGGAGTCTTCGGCGTCACGCTGTTCAGTGTGAAACTGATTGCGAGTCGGACTGTGACATGCACATCGCTTGATGGCCCGAGTTTTGTTGTTCTCTGGAGCCCGAAGAGAAGCCATGTATCTAGTTGAGAGGGGAATTATCTTCCCAGCGTTGTAGTTATCTAATACGCGGGTGAACCCCAGCTCGGTCTCCGACTCAGTTCACCTACACATACGTACCCAACTCAACACTCGACCTTGAAAGCTGCCCTGCGTACGGGGCGGCACTTAGAGTTTATCAAGGCTTGGGTTAGCCAAACAGGTTGGGGAACTTCAGAATAACTTCTTCGAAGATCTCTGAATGCGTCTTGCACGGGTAACCCTCCGCGACAATCCGTACGCAGACAAATCTAGCGCTATGACCGGCAAATTGAAGATTCTCCGTTCTCAAGACCGTAGCTAGTATCAGTCACTCTGAAATACATTGAGGGAGATAGACGCCATTGAGTTCATGCCACCTAGACCGTTAACAAGTGGATCTAAGATTAGTGACCTTTCATTTCGTTACGGGATTGAGACTCAAAACTGAGAAAGTATACTTAGTTTTCTCCTCATTGCTCTCGCCTTCGGAATGAATACACGGTGAGAATGGATGCTCATGAATCACAAGGAAAATATTCTTCTAGAGGGGTGCGATGGAGCTTGAACTCGTCTCTCAAGACTTGTCACAATATCTCAATTCTTCCTCGTGCTGGTTCACTGCTCCGAGATCTTGGTCCTCCTAGAATCTGGTATGAAGAGTGTATCAGCATATATCCCTGGAGTATAATTGGTCTACACCATAGTTTTATGCAAGTGCGTATGAAAAGTGACCCGTATTCTCTAGCGTTCATAGCATGGCTCTGGATATCAATAGTCATTACAGAAGATCGGGACAGACGCAGCATAAGTTAGTATAGAATGAGTTGATTAAGCATTGGCATAGTTCCACCACCCACTCAGTTCGTCACGCCAGTTCAAAGGAGCCCCTGTATTCATATCCATACCCATGTCCCATTTCCGCACTCAAGACCATCAACCGAATGTCCCACCTACCAGTAACTCGAAGAAAACTATCGCGAGAGAAAGAAAATGAGAAAGAGTTAAACAAAGTAAGGTGCACGTACGAGCCTCTATTGGAATCAAGTATCAAAGACCCACGCCCACAAACCACCAGGGGGATAATGTTGAAATATCGAAATCCCCTAGTATTCCCCCTCGCCTTCCACTGCTGACAGTCGAGCGCGTAAAAAAAATGAAGGTTGAATATGAATGGGGCGCAGAGATGAATCGTCGCTTTGAGAATCGAAATTTTGGGGGATGCTTATGTATGTACAATGAAGGGGTAGAAGCTATTATCAACTGGGGATTTGTTTATGAGATGCCCCAGGAAGATGCATTAGAGATGCATTAATGGTTGCAGAAAAGTGTATGCGGGATTCGAAGAAAGTTGTGTGTGGTCGTGATCGACCTTCCGGACTAAGCTTCTTGAGCCCAGCGACGTTCACGGAGAGGCATCTCTTCCTTAGCCTGGGCTCGGGATCCGTCCGTTTCGCGACGCCAGGCGTAGTATTCTCCGAGGCGGAGCTCGGCGTAGGACGCGTAGTCGAAGTCGATCTGGGAGATTTGCGCTTGGATGAGCGACCAGATTCCCCTGGACGCAGCATGAAGTGGTGAGTATCTTGTCTTGTAGATGTATAGGCTCAGACGTACCAGTATAGACCGGGAATTCCACGGAATCGATCGACGTCGTCGTATAGTCGGTCTACGATCTCCGGCTGCGACGGTTCCAGGATTCCCTTGTGGTAGCTGTAGCTCTTGACGTACTCCGTCAGGAACTGGCGTCGGACGGAGCGCGTCGGCATCATGTTGTAGTCGCAGTCGTAGCCAGCCCATTCAGCAAAGTGGTTGGCAATGTCGAAGGCAGCGGGGGAGGGAGTAGCATATTCGTAGTCAATGAAGTTGACTGTCGCGGGTTCTTGGTCGTCAACAGCTGTGGCAGCGTGCCCATTCTGCTTCTTTTCCGAAGGAAGGACAATGACGTTGGCACAGAGGAGATCGCAGTGAGAGAAGACCAGCTGGAACGATTGAACAATTAGATAAAGCATGACGGATATGAGTGGTCATAGTTCTACGTACGCCGCCTTCACCGAGTCCCTTTCCATCGTCGAGCTCACGCACGACCCGTTCAAGCTCCTTCTGGAGACTTAGTCTCCGCTGACGCTGCTCCTCCGTTGCCGTGGGAAGGGCAAGGATCCATTTCTGAGTGACAGTCCAAATGTTCGGTCCGGGTTGCTTGGTCTTCACCACGGACAAGTCATTTTCTTGCTTGGACTGCTGCTTATGGTCTTCCGAGTCGACGTCTACTGGTCGCGTCAGGGGTTTATCGTCGGAGCTCCTCGAGGTCGCAGGAGTGCCACTAACGGGCAGCACGGCATGCCACTGCGCCAATCGTCTGGCGACACCACGCCAGACCGGAGGCGTCGCCAGGTCCTCGTGGGTCGCCGGCCGGCCCCGAAGGAACCGGTACAAGAGGCCATTCTTAAATCGTGCCAGGAGAGGGGGGGCTAAGCCATAGCTGGCGAGGAGAGCGTGGGAGCTCGTTTCTCCTATAGATTCGAGATTCTACTCAGCAAAGTGTCGCAATGGGCAAGGAAGGAGGAAGGGAGAGGGGAGTTGCTTCTGGAGTGGTCCCTTCTCCCCGTTATAGCATACTTTCGCGGTCTATAAGAATCTCTGTGTGGTTACCGTACGCTCTCATCAGTACTGCATCGTGGTCTATCTGCTCCTCGGTCAAGCCGGGCTTGCGATTGATGATTTTAAGAAGCTAAAATCCCACGTTAGTCCACGATACTTGATGTCAGCCATTTCAATTCCCCTTTGCAGCGTCGCGTCTGCGGAGGGAGCCTAGTTTCGCGATGAACACACAGTATTGGTGATGCCGTCCGTGAAGCGCACGAATTCGATCTTGTTCTCCGGGCCCTCCCAATCAGGGTTGAGCGTGAGGATCAACCGTAACGCGGATGCGTGAGAATCGGCATGATTATAGGATAGCGGAATGTATCGCAAGCCAGTTCCTTTCTGTTGGCACATAGTCATGGTGGTCGAGGGAAAAAAAAAAAAAAAAAAAAAGGATAATGAAAAGGAGGCAAAGAAAGTTCAAAGGTCGACAGGCGAGTGAATGCGACGAGTCATCCGCAAGATTCCTAGTATTAATAGTCTATAGAGCTTCCGAGCGCATGTCAGTCAAGGCACGGTAGAGGTGTGAATGAAGTGGAGTGTTTTTGTATTGTGAAGTGTTCATGATATAGAATAGGGACACCGGGGTACATATAGGAACTTCCGTACCAATCAGCCAAGCCCGGGAGAGCGGGTCTTTGGATTCTCCTGATAGATTAGTGAACGATATCGCTAGTCCACGCAAACTGTGACGAGTACAAATTGGCCGGCAATTGATACTCTGGGAAGCGAGCGAGTATGGATGAAAGGCAGATGTAGCAAGAAAACCAAACCGGGAGTGGCCACGGGGGGGAGAAGTGGGAAGAAAAGAAGGAGAAGGGGAAGAAGACGTCGCTGTGCTGGTCTCGTGCCCTGCTCTCCGCTGATTGGGTGCCGGCGGCGGGCCCTGGATGCCCCTCCTTTTTTTCCGCCCAGGACTTCAAGCCTGAGGCCCAAAGGCGGCCCACCACTGCTCCTCAATCATGTGCAATGACGCAGTAAGATGAGGGGCAAATTGTTTTCTGGATAATCAATAGACTTCGTAGTGCTTGCGCGACAATAGGCAACACAGTAAATAGTTCCTACTGTCCTTCCAAGTATCAAAAACGTCTCTGAGCATAGAAACGATGAGTCTTGTACTCCAGGCTTGCGACTGCTCCTCACGCATTGATGTAACTGGTCTAAGCCGCTTTAGGCCGCGTAATTCTCAACAATAAAACTTTAGCATGTGATTCTGCCGGCCCGCATTCATCACGTGAGAACTTGCATTTAACGCACGTGCATCTGTCAGCCCCTGCCCTAATTCTCTCTTCTCTCGGTAACCCACTAGTCCCGACTCCCCTTAGCGGCTCCACACCCGCAGACTACATAAGCCGCCCGTCGCCGTCCGCGACTTTGATACTTTTTCTTTCTTTTTTTCTTCATCATCAGTAGCGGTTTACTTACTTTATGTTATGTAAATCAAAACCGGGGCTCCGTCAACGTACGGCTCGCTGAGGGTTATCTTGTGTGGGATTTTTTCTCTATGGGTTTCTCCTCCGTTCCCAGCCTTGGAGAGCAACAACGCATTCCTTTTTCCCTTACAAACTATGGCTTGGCTAGGGTTTCTGCTCGCAAGAATAGATCCCCATGCGCATAAGCTGTGGAGGAGGCGTGATATTCCGATCTTTCAATGCACTTTCATGTAGGTGCTTTGGGATCATTATAGACTGTAAACTCTATTCTCTGCTTCGAGCAGGGTGCGACTTGGCTTAATGTTGCATATCTGCTCGTTGCTTTGCTGTTCCAGTTTCAAATCACCGATATGGCAGTCTATCAGATTTGACCGTATCGGACTTTTGTGCTGAATCGGGATATTTATGCTACGGAGTACGGAGTACACTGCATGTCTTGCTGTTTTGTCATGTCTTTTAAAAGCAGTCATGTCATTCCCATACTACACATATCTCCGTATGCCATTATATGTCGGTTCATCGGTCTCTTAGCCCGCCGATAGTATATTATATTTTCCTGATCCATCCAAGTATCCTCAAGCTCTTCCCGCCTTGCCCACTTGGATGCGCTCTCCAGTCCACTTGTCGTCGCTGCGCAGCACCGGCCAGCTGGTGCCATCCGCCTTGATCAAAGTCAATTCCAGCTTCGTGCCCATGACACGGAACTTGGACTTCTCGGGATCGATAGGCGCAAACAGCTGATAGGTGTCTTTGTACCGCTTGTTGTCCGTCGTGGGGAGATCCAACTCCAACGACGTAGCAGAGAACTCAACCTTGGCGTTCTCCTTGTCAATCTTCTTCAGGTAGAGCGAGACGTTCACGGAGGATGGCGTCTGGTAGAAGTCGTTCCTGTAGAGACAAATGGAGAACGTCAGTCAGCCCCTGCTCATCCACGGTCTCACACAAGCCTGATTGTAGCCCACTCACCGGACTGTGTCCACCTTCTCCTCGCCCGGAGGCTTGCCCTTGCCAACAAACATATGCTTCGTCTTCTCCTTGCAGCCCTGGATCTTCAGGAACTCGTCGAACTCGAGCACTCGCTTCTTGCAGCACGACCACCCCTTGCTGCCTTCGTGGAAGATGGGCTGGCCGGGGTGGAAGACACACTTCTCGTCCTCGCGCGCCACGGCCGCATCGTATCCCGCGTTGCAGCCCCTCCGGCGACAGGTGGCGTTGGCCGGGATCTCGAGATCGGGATCGTCGGACTCGGGCTCTTCGGGGACAGGAGTCGGCGCATTGGAGGGAGGGGCAATGGCCGGCGAGATGGCATGGCGGGGAGGTTCGGGCACCGGCGTAGAAGCCGGAGCCGGAGCCGGAGCTTCTTCTGCGACGGGCTTGGGAGGAGGCTGAGGGGTATCATCGACTGTGGAGTGCTTGCCCGTGGTGCACGGGGGGATGGCGAGAAATTCGTCGAAAGTGAGAACGCGGGGCTTGCAGCATTTCCAGCCTGGGGGTTGGGGTATTGATTAGTCCGCGGTCGTTTACAGTCCGTCCAGATTCCAAGGAAAGAGCCGGGATGTAACAAAGTGATTCGATAGGAAGTCAAAAAAAAAAATCCCCCGCAAGGTCCTTAGAGATCATACCTTTTTGACCCTCGTGGAACACTGGCGGGCCGGGATGGTAAACGCAGGGCTCTTCGGGGTCGGTGAACTCCTTCCCGCAGCCCTTGTGGACACACTTAGATGCCATATTTGTGAAAGAAGGGGTAGGTCGATGAAGCGGATTGGAGACTTGACTGAATTTCTTTTGCGATGGGGGAAGATGGGTCTGATCTCCCTCACCGTGAAGGAAATGAGAGTTGTCGCATCGAAGCGCGCAGAACCGCAGCAGGAGGGTTGGGCTCGATTGGGCCTAGCGCGGGAAGCTCGAAGGTTCCATCTCCAGCTCCAGCTCTCAGCTCTTCCGCCCATTGTCATTCTTCCCTTTGCCTTGGACTTTGGCTACATTAAACATTATGTTTCCTACTGCTATTCGTCTCTCCAACGCCGTGCGCGTCACTCTCTTCACCCGTGCGGGCTGTGGGCTGTGTGATACAGCCAAACATACTGTCACTCAACTGCACAAGCGACGTCCCTTCGAGTATACTGAGACGGACATTGCTCTTCCCAGCAACAAACCTTGGAAGGATGTCTACGATTTTGACGTGCCAGTACTACACGTGCAGACCGTAAAGCAGGACACCTCTCTCTCCGATCCCAAGAAACTCTTCCATCGGTGGACGGAGCAGGAGATGGAGACGCTGATTACCGAAGCCGAGAACAAGCAATGTTAATTCCACCAGTTCACAAAGCAATCAGCATTGAAATCGGGACGCTAGCCGTTTCGAGCACGGCATAGCTAGGTGGGCAGAACCAGCGCAACGACCATCACCTGAATCCGTGAATCAGACGCGGTCAGCTATTCTTGCCTGACATTGAACCGATACTCATGGACATGCCTTGCTGGAGCACTGCTCCGCCTACTTCAAGGCCCCGCAGCGAATGCCCGCCATCATCCCATACGCTTTGCGGATCACCCATCAGTGCGTTGGACAACCTGAAAGGCACCACAAATGGCCAATTTAAGGCAATCCAACGTCAGTGGGCATAATGGTATCCGAAGGACTAGTGCGTCTCGTTCATCCAGAACGAAGATTCTGTGTCAGCTCTATGATTTGACACAACATGATCGAGTGCCTCTTCATCCATTTCTGTACAGACCTAATTCGCGCATCGTGTGCCAGTTGAGGGGAAGGCCCGTCGTCGACCGTATGCAGGCCGATGTCGATATCGCGTGTATCGGTTTCGATTGACGCAAGTGGTATATATATGTATACCTTATATCAATACTACTTCTCTTCAAATCAACTACTTGGTGACACAAAGTCTGCCTACATGTATATTCAACTCAAGCCAATGCCGTCTCCCATTAAATAATCAACTCCATGATTGAAACATATATGCTCCATAACATAAACAGCCACCACCACCGTAACATCTCTGATCCTCACCCACCACACCCTCACCAATATATACCCGACACACCTGGACCACTACACCCATGACTCCCCTCAGTAGCCGGATCCGTACACCCCCCGGCACAAAGCTGCGCATGCCCCACATCCCCCGGATTCTTACAATGAAACAAAATATCCGCTAGATTATCATTCTCCAGCCCGGTACCCTGCAGCGCCGTCTTAAGATCATTCTCCGAGAAGCCTTTTTTTTTGCCCGAGACATTAGCCACTTTCTTCGAAAGCACCCCATTCCGCACTTCATCGCCAGTACAATCTCCTGAAACACCCCTTCACAGAATCCCACTCAAACCGCACCGCATCTCCCCAAACAGGGACCAAGAAAACAGGGGAAGGGAGAACTCACCCTTAGAGCTCATAAGCTTATTAGCGCAGTAATCGAAACTCGGGGTACAGGTCTTATCGGCGAGGATGCCCGTTGCCAGGGCCAGGAGGCCCGTGAGGAGGAAGGGGGTAGTTGGTTTCATTTTCTGTCTTGGTTGATTGATTGATTGATTGCGGCTTGGGCGTGGAGATGGCTTTGAAGATGGGTTGGGGTTATTCTTTGGTTTTTGTTGTCTCGTGTGATGGGAGGGGGGGGTGGGGGGCGAGAGGGATTGGTTATGTAGTATATTTGCGAGGGGTTGTGCTGTTCTGTATGTTGCCGGATTCATAGGCGAGAGAGAGCTGCTGCTACATTCTTGGTGATGTATGTATTGCGTGAGTTGGGGGGGCTAATTGTCCGGTGGAATGCGGAGAATACTGCGCCAAGTCTGGAGTCGTTGGTATGTGTGCTAGGACTTACTAGGTCATTAGGACTATCTAGCTTCACTTTGGGAGGGGAGGTTGGGGGGGTGGGGGTTGGATTCCAGGGGAATTTGGCGTCTCATTCTTCGGAGATTACATTGTTGAGGTTGCAACTTGGAAGCACCTTAAGGGGTCGAAGGATGGGAGATATAAGAAAGGGCGGACGGTATTCCATGTGGCGCGCCTAGATTTACCAATTGTTATTCTCGACCACCGAAGACAGGACATTATATAACAAACATTATGTATATATTATTACTATGGGCTGGTAAGTTCCCCTCCACTCGGAAGGGCAAAGCAGCCAGGCTCTAACTACCGTAAGAGCTAGGTACAACTCCTTCATCGACAAGACGGCCATCCATGCGGCCTAATCCCGTGAAGAGAACATAAAAACAGAGGACTGTATATCCATGAAACCCAAAATGACATCGTGAAGGCATGAGCGACAATTTATCCCAGACCGAATTTCCCCACTCCGCATCCGAAAACCCCCCCAAAAAAGAAAGAAATATACACTTGGAGCTATTATATAGGGAATTGCAAAGCCAGAAGGAGCAATTAACTGGCAAACAATCATGAGCCGGACCCGTCCGGCGACACGGAAAACAAAGTGCGGAGAAGGGAAGACACCGATCGAGGCGAAGGCCATTGGGGCGCAATATCAAATTGCGGGACGAGCTTTGCCCTTGCTCCAGCATCCAAGAGCCTTGGAACTAAAAGCGAAAAAAAAAATCCTGGGTTGTATCGACGTGGACGCCGACTTGCCGGTCTGCCATATTCGGGAACATCACAATGGCACCGAATGGCTAAAACCACATGACGCCAGCAACTATCGCAATCACAATAGCCATACAGCTGCCACTGCGCATTCGCTCTGGTTCTGCTTGGCGTTCGACCGCCTTGGGTTGCTCTGTTGCAGTCGGAGGAGGTGGCTGCGTAGGCGCGGCGACCGACTCGGTGAGGACAGCCGAGGTTGTCGCACCGGCCTGGGTGTTCTCGTCCATTGGCAGTGCTGGGAGTGAGCCTCCCAGAGGCGCTTCTTTCCGCGAACCTCGAGGTCGAGACGAATCGTTTGTGTTCATTGTTTCCGAGCAATTACAAGAAGTTGTTCCGGCGACATCTCGGTACCCGTAGAGGCCCGTGACGATCTCTACATAGCCGCTACCAACACGACAGGCCTGCTGCCATGAGGTCCGGACACAAGATAACAACCACTTCGGCACGTCAACCAGGTTGGTCGTGTCTATTATCGTACGATCGCCATCGCCACCACCAGATGTCAATCGAGAAAGGTCTTCGTTGTGCGAAAGCGCCACATTCAGAGAGGTATTCGCGAAAAGCGGGCTTAGGCGCGTTGATAGTTGACCCGTCGAGGAATCAATTTCAGCAGGAAAGGAAGGGTTGAGCTGCGGATCGTCCAATTGCCTGATGACCAGAGCCTTTAAGGCACGTACACCGCGCGTGAAGGCCGACGATGAGTCTTGGGCCAAATATGCCATCGGATCGCTATCGAGAATCGCAGGCGCTTCAAACGAGCCCCGGGAAGGCGCATCCGTGGGCGGACGTCGTGGCCGGGATTTCCGATCGGGGTTCGTCTGGCGATAGCCTTCTATTAGCCACGACTTTGACTGTCCGCCCGTCATTCGTAATCGTGATCGCACATCGGCCCAGCTATCCTTTGCCCGGGAAATATCTGTAACGAACCGGGAAAATGTAAGCCTGGGTACTGCGGCTAGCAACGAAGCAAAGCAAGGGAAAAAGGGAGACACCCATACGTCGAGTTTCGCTGCGGAGATACCCAATATGCCCGAAGGGCAAGTTATGATAGTCCCAGTCCTTCGCCAGAGACGGCACCAGACTCAACAACGAAAAGATCAGGAGAGCGAGAAACGGAATGGCCCCAGGTTTCTGAAGACCCGACCGCATCATACACAACTCAATGACCTGTGGCGCAGGCCTGACTTCCTTTCTATCCACGGAGACACAATGCCTGACAGTTGATGGAGATCTCGTGCAATTGAGAAATATTGCAAACAGGCAGCTTCATCGCCAAAGGAGGAAAGGGACGGAGAGTGGAACCAAGAAAATCAGGGGGACAGATTCGCAACGCAGCGCAAGGTCCAAATGGGACGAGTTTGAAGGTATACGGAGCGTAAACCTCGCGGGTGGTTTCTGAATCTCGTTCCTGGGCGGTCTTGCGTCTAGTTTGGAATCTCTGCGGGTCTCAGGGTCTTGCGCGATTGACGATGGGAGTGGGATACTGATTTCCCCTCTTCGTTTCTTGGACGATGGATACTGTCGATCAGACGGGGCGGCCGGACGGTCGGTGAGCAAGCGCGCGCGTCCTAGAATCGAAGCGCCCGAGCAACGAACGAAGCCAAACACCACCTGCTGGGGGGGAGAAGGATAAAGTGGAGGAGGGGTTCGGATTGCGAAAAATACTTCCGGTCTCCCACAATTTCCCCAAGACTCCCGGAGGTGCAGGAATGGAGCACCGCAATGACGTATAAGACCACCGGGTCGTAACGTAAAATCGAGCTCGTCGGGTTTGCAAGCGGATGTTGCCAAGTCGGACTATCAGAGGGGGAGCTGTCGTACCTAACGTAAGCGAGGGGCCATGGTCGTGTCTGTGCTTGAAGGTGCTTCAAATTGGATTTATCTGGTAACTTTCGAACTACTTGATACGTGAAGCTGAAAAGACTGGCACCTTGTGGTTCTCTTGGAAAATAATAATGTCAAGATTGAAGAGGGGATGAGGGATGGCTCCAGGCAGACATTTCGAAGTCGTTCAGGTCATGGAAGGATAATTCGGAGCTCATGACTGGTCAATTCCACTGCTCGGAGGTGCAAACAGCTGCAAACTTCAAGGGGCTAATGGCCTCAGGCAGACTTCCCCACTGCGCTGCTGTGGCGCTAGTCGCTATTCTAACTTGGCTGCAGTATCTGTGACATGGCTGTTCTTATGTACCGGTATATCCACCGCAGATTTATCCTAGGAGTTTTGGCTTCATAAAATCGCAATGCAATGATCGTACAACGGGACCAGAAGAGAAAGCGGTAGTATGCCGCCAAATAGCCCTCCCAAAATTGGCTCCCAACCCAGACCAATACATGGAAGAAGTATATACAGGTGATGAGTAAGTATAATCATAGAATGACAAGGTCGGGATTAATAGAGTAGATATCAGATAGGGTTCATCATAGTTGGATCAGGCACAGCAGGCGGCAAAGACTCAGCACTCGTCGGCTTCGCTGAGAGGGTTGGTCTAGAAATGGCTGTCGTTCGAGAGGATGGTGTTCGGGATCCGTCGCTTCGTGATCGTTCGTCCCTGGGTGTTCCAGCGACAGTAGTACTGCCCGCTGTGCTGCTCGCCTTCCTCACGCGTTTGACCATCTTGCCCAGGATCCCAACGATCTCAGCGGCATCCTCAAAACTCTCGTCATCCATGCCCTCTTTTGCATTGTATACGTCCGCTATGGCCTGTTTCGCCACACGTCGACAGGCAAGTGGATCATGGAGGCAATCATAGAGGTATGCGGCATACTCGAGCTTGATAGATAGACGAAGAGGATGTGAACCCGGAAGAAAACGCTCCGCCAACAGCACCGCATAATCGAAGCATTGTGTAGCCGTCGTAGTGTAGTCGAGCGCCGGTAAGAGGAATGCAGAGATAGACTTCGGCGGCTGAATTGGCGCAAGGCCCGGAGGAGCTTGTGTAGCTTTGCGCCGCAGCGCACTGTCCGGGGCCGCTGCTGATAGGTCGGAGACCGATATGCTTTCAGGTCTTGGATGAAAGGAGTACCTTGACTCCGATGCCTTGGTTGGTAGATTTGCATTGGCAGCGCTGTTGGTCAGCGTTGCATCATGCGGAAGATTGCTGATACCCGGAGCATGGATAGCAGGCTGGTTATGGAACAAGACAAAGATGTGGTAGAAAGAAGCTCTCAGCTTGAAAGCGAGAATATTGAGCTCCACATACACCTGTACATGGGGAAGAACGCATTGCTCTAGAATCAGGAGGCCTTCACGAGCGAGCCATATGATGTGATAGTAGAGCTGAAGCGACTTGGTTTCACGGGTTGGGTCGAGGCGCCGTAAGCGTCGCGCACGGAGCAATTTTTTGGAAAGCATGACCGACAAGCCAAGTATTTTGTAGAGCATGGCGGACAGGAACGGGTTTTCCAGGCTTGTTGTGGCCGCAAAGTTGCCCAAGGCCTTCTGATCCACTTCGGAGGAAGCCATCCACAAAGCCAGCGATTCAGTGTCTATTGGGAGGCTCTCGCCTGTCGCATTAGTCAAATCCATATTCAGTTCACTGCCCCGATGTGTATGATTCAGAATTCGCGCAGGAACAAAAATGGCCGGATCGTGATAGACAGGTCGTAAACAGCAGACCATCAAAGCGAGGTCGTCATGCACCTTATGCATGAACAATCATGTGGCAACCACATAAGGCAGAGGTGAAGAAGGCAAAGAAGTGCCGGAACTTACCTGGGCTGCGCGCGCAGAGTATATGTTTAGTACAGGATCAACCTCTGCAATTGCTGCAGTTGCCCATGCTCGTGTTCGGCGCTTGAACCGGAAATTGGCTCCCTTGCCTAATTCGGCGTTTCTCGATGCCCGGCTAAACTAACGATGGCGGGGTTCTTCCTGTACGGTGGGATGTTCGGACGCTTTCGCTATGTCTGTGATCCCGAGTTTTGTGTCCGGCTCGATATGCACCCTAAGGCTATGGGGGTTTGGTATGTGATGCGTTCTCAATTCGAGTAGTTGAAAGCAAAATGCCGCCAATTTCCGACGAAAAACGGTATGTTACATATAAGTCAGGGATTAGGTACGTCTAGGGGAGGGCGGTTGCGCGAATGATCTGCTGTACAGTGAGAGGTATAATGAGACACAATACAATATTGCAGAATGAGTAGCGTAAGGTATGAACTGTTACGAGTTCAGATCGATCAGTTGGCGAACGTGCATGCATAGGATGAAATTAAGCCAACCGATCAACAAACGGATTGGTGTAACCAAGAAGGACAAAATCAGGCAAAGGTGAACATAGAAAAATGTTAGAAACGCAAGGTACAGAGAGAAAAATAATCAGCAGGATGAAGGGCAAGGAGCTTGCTGCTGTGACTGTAGAGCCAATCTCGATGCATCGTGCGCATTTAGGAGCAGCAAGGCGTTAAGTGCACCTCTCCGCCAGCTTGTTGCTTGCGATGACGGAGAGAATAGGGTCAATATCGATTATGCTCTCAAGGTCAGATTATGCTATTGCATGAGACAGGTTGATCTGACTGAAATGCGACAGCAGCTTCAATTGAGCAGAGGGAATCACTGATATCAGCCACAGTCAAAGAAGTGGATCAGCGGTCATTGCTTCGCGGAAGCGCAGACTTGGGGAGACTATGCCAGTAATAAATTGTTGTGCGAGACGATGATGCAAGGGCAAGTTGTCTGCCCGAATGGGGAGTCTTTAGGATGCAGCAAAGTGGATGAAGCCCGCTGCGGCATGGGCGTGCTAATCAGAGTGAAATGAAGTGCGGCGAAAGTCCACTATACAGACAGTGGGCATTAAGGTAAAATCGTTAAGACCTAGATCATTGATCAGGCGTCAATCCCGCTTCATGACTCTTGCCGCCCCAAGGCGGAGGATATCGGGCACGAATGGGAGCGATGGTTAGTAGCATCACATCACAATCCAATTGCCGTTCCCAGATTGGCAAACTGGCAAAGACATAAGAGCAAAAGGAATACGGAGGGACAGAGTGGCATGTTGGCTTGCTCCCGTTCCCCAAATCCAAGCCATGAGGCGGGAGGCCAGCGCATCGGTTCAGTTAGTTCGATACGTGTCAGAGCCCAACTGCTGAGTTTCCCTGCCTTGCAGCTCCTGGCCCAGCCGGACCGATGAGATAGGATTAGCACGGTGGATCGCCTGTCGCCAGCCTCTCTCTCGGCAGCAAAAGGTCGCACATGGGCTTTTGGGGGCAATCGCAGACTGAAGGGAGTGATCCAGTCAGACTATGGTGAATTTGTCTTTATGCTAGAGCATGCCGCCACTGGGACAATACTTTCCGACTGGAGCTGCAAGCGTGGAAGTTCAGCGCCCGCGTGCTGGTTAGCAGGGGGGTTGTTTTTGACGGCAGAACTAGACTCAAGCCGACACGATGACGACAGCAGGCAGGTGTCTGCCAGCGTGGCATCGATATCGTCCGTGCATGCTATAATGGGGCTGTGGGATTAGTGTAGATCCCCCAAGCAATAGTCAAAGAGTTTGCCTCTTGATGTATTCGTACTGGCAGTAACCAGAGGTGTGGTTATGGTTGAAGGGAGATGATGATCATGTTGATCATGATGAAGTTCGACCCTGTGGGCAGATCCGTCACCGCCTAGCTGACCGCTAGAAGCGCCTCGGCCTGGCCCTGCTACTCGCCCGCTGCCATGGGTTCATAAATACGGAACATGAATTAGATAAGTAGTAGAATATGTGTGGTATATACATGCAACACAATTCATTTCAGTGAGCCAAAGGAAGAGAAAGGATACCTAGGGGCCGTAACATCGTATACTTTTTAGGGGATCATTAATTGATGAGTCGACCAAGCTCGTCAATTTATGTCGTCAATGTCGTCGTTTTGCAGAAGACCAACAAAAGCCCTCGTTACAAACGTCTTCCATACCCGATTTTTGTGTTTCTTGAAGTTCGCTGCCTCAATACCCTGGGTACCGTAGTCAGTCCCTGCATCGAAATCATCCAAATCGGCTTCCTCCATATCTCCAAGGGAAGAAGACTTGGCCTTGTTGGCCTTTTTGCCCCCTCGCTTGGCGATCCGTGAAGCGAGCTTGAAGAAACTGCGCACAGTGAGGTCATCCATCTTGTAGACCTTGTCGTCTCGAGTATCGTACTCGACTTCATAGGCGAAAACATCATCACGTTTCGAGGCAGTAAGCTCTTCTGCTCCATCACTTGCCCGTTCGCGAGTTGTCATCTGGCTATTGATCCTTGTGAGGTTCGCATAATATTGGGTGTAGCTGAGCCAGGAGAGCGCTTGGTTTGAGTAAGCCGGTCCTGGGGGGGTGGTCTTAGATGGAGGGGCTGGAACTTCGAAGTGGGGCTTCTTGCTCTGCTTCTCCCCTGCATCGGACAACGGGCTGTCATCCTCCATGTCCAAGGAAACGCTATCGATGCTGCTGCGAAAGGGAGTGCTGGCCCAAGTGGCTGCATGTTCCAAACCAGTGATGTTGTACTCCACGACCCGCAAAGTTGGGAAATAGTTGGGTACTACGCTGGGAGAAACCAATGACACACTATAGCGCTCCGCGAAAGGACCCCCAATTTTCTTCAAGAAGCGCTTCTTTTTCTTGGATCCGAGAATGGAGGTTTCGTCCTCGTCGAACCACTCGTCCATCGAAAAGCTTTTCGATGTGCCCGCCGGGACGGATGGCAATTTCGACCAGTCCTTCCTGAGGCTAGAGAGATAATCAGATCTAGACTGTGTGGATAGTTCATCTTCTCCTGAGCCGCCGAGGTAGACAGAAGACTCCTCGACGCTGACGATGTCCACCTTGTGGCTATCCTGGAGCATGAAATGATCGAGATTCATATGTCCATAGACACTGCCAACCACGACATCTCGGAACTGGTGAAGCCACAAAGTATATTTCTGCCAGCAAGATTCATCCCAGTTTCGCTTGGTGCCAGCCCGAGCCGGAGGGACGTGTCCCATGAGAATGGCCTTCATGTGCCTTCCTCGCAACATCTCAAGCTGCACGCGCAGCCATTCCATATGTTCATAGCCAGGCTCGGACTTCGCAGCGCATCCGTCGACGGCGGAGTTCGAGTCGAAGAAGTACATTGTATTCAGACTGACCACAGCCAGCTTCTCAGGAATCACCTCGGAGATGAACCAGCCACCTTCCACGAAGCTATGAAGCTGATACTCGGGTATGAAATTGGACCAGATCTCCCTGTACTGCTTCGTCCACCGATTGGGACCAGCCTTGAAAATGTTGTGGGGCATGATATCGTTGTTGCCGAAAGTGGGAATGATTGGGATCGAGATACCCTTCACGGAGTTGTCATCCTTGAAAGTTTCCACGAATTTCTCTGCAAGCAACTTGTTCAACTCAAGGACCTCCTCGGGTTCTCGAGGCTTCTTTTCGTCGTTATCGTGTCGGGCTGAGTCGCCAGTCCAGATGATAAAGTCCACCTTGCCCTTCAGGTTCTTCTCGATCCAGCGGAACGTTTCGTTGATCAACGTGATAGGGGCGTCGCATTCGGTTCCTTCTGACCCAAAATACCCAGCCGAGCCGTCCCCTCGGTGACACGCTTTATCGGGTGATGTTCCAGGCTTATAGTATGAGTCGGGATGTAAATCTATTCACAGTCAGACCAGCGCCCCCCTTTCCTGTTGTCCCAGAGGTCCGAACGTACCGGTTATGTGCAAGAAGCGACCTGAAAGGCCCCGCGAGGTTGGCTCGACATCGACCTGTGCTTCGAGCTGAGGCCTCTGAGAGATCCCATTGTTGCCAAGCAGCTGTTGATCAAAAAGTGGAAAGGCGCACGCGCACGTAGCTAGCAGGACGAGCGCCGGAAGTAATTGTGACGGAATCATTGGGAAGAAATCTGAGGAACGAAAGCCCCGACAGTGCGGGTTACCGGTCTCAACCTCGGTCAGTAAGGATAAACATTAAAGGAAAAGTAGTAATAGGTTGGAAGAATATCAGCGGAGAGTAAAGATAGAGTGGGCAATAATACATGGAAGAATTGAGATTTCGACTGGTCGCCGTTAATGTCAACGTCACTCTAGCAGAGGCCCAACCGGGGAAAGCGTCAGGTAGCCTCAGGCGCGGACCCACTCGATTTTGACCGCAACAAAGAGACAACAGCAACAATAGGCCGATCCATGGAAGGCTGGTCTGCGCATCTTATATCTACTTATTGACTTGAGAACCAAATACCGAAGAATAGGTGAATATCGCCAGCAGACCAGTGACTATAGGATCTATAACTAGGTACCGCTAAATATGCACCAACAACTCTGGGCTCAGCGTGTGACCCTTGCGGAATGTAGTCTAATGTAAGGTACCTGTAGCCTGTGTGATTCCTTGAACCGACCACGTGCCTGCTTCTTCCGATGGGATTGTAGGATGGCACTTCTTAGTCATCTTGTTCATTTCTTCTCAAGGTCCTCAGAATGGTCAAGTGGACAGTTCAAGTGTGCGACTTAATGGGCTGTTCCGATACTTCACTGGACAGACCGACACCCACCGATCAGTTGCCAAGTGAGGGTCTGCAGAGTATCCATCAGGAATGATAGTGTGACCAATATCTGTTTCAAGAACTTGTTGCCTCTTTTTGCTTACGTGCGAAGGCGCGGGCGGGCCATACAGCACACCAAGATTTTGGCAAGCAAAGAACTTGTCCTGTGTTGTCCAAGAGAGGTGACACACCCGGGGAGATCCTTTTAGTCAAACCATCATCGGATTAACCGACTAAATCTTAGTCTACTTAGTAAAACTGCATGGATGACCCATAGCGATCACCCCCTCCAGCAATGCGGGGCATTGCCTGCTCTGCCCCTCCGAGCTTTCGCCGCGTAGTACCGATACTCATCAACAACAACTTCTTTCTCATCCTACTTATCCCTCATCAAGTGACAAACCCTCAAGCACACCATGTCGGGCTTTCCTACTCTCCAACCGGCCTTCACTATCCAGGTGATTCCAATCCTCCCAACTTATCTCTTCCATCCAACCGATCTAAGCAATGCCTCACGCGACAGGTCACCATCGATGCGCCGCTAGGCGTCGGTAAGCCATCCCTCCTCGTCACGAAGTCAGGCTGGAAACGAAGCTAAATGCCTCAAAGGTAGTGCCTCTCGGCAGAACAGCCTTCAGGTCGTGGTAAGCAGCTCATTGGCTTTCTAGTCAGAGGGGAGCAGCTCGTCTAAACACTTGATATGCATGACACAAGCCCATGACCGGCGGCACGATCAAGAGCGAGCCCGGTTTCTCCCCCGCCATCGATGCTGAATTTGTCGGCGTCGGCAACGACTACATCCATGCGGATGCTGACGGCAAGCACCTGCGTCTGGACGCGCATGCTGTCGCTAAGTAAGTAGTTGGCCTCTTTCACACCAAGGCTCTTGTTGAGGGCTTTTGATTGACATTCCCTAGGCCCAAGGATGATGCCGATGTACGTTTCCCACAATGCCCAGAAGTCAGGAGCGGGATCTGACACACTGCCGATATACTAGCTCATCTACCTGAACTACACCGGTGTTGTTACAATGGTCCCCGAGGTCCAGGCTGTCTTTGCCGGCACTGCGGAGAACGGCTCGACGCCGTTCGGCAATGCTTGTGAGTCGTATTCAATATATGAGATCTCCGAGCGTATAGTAGCTGACTCTAGTGGCCTGCAGTCACCCACTTCACTTTCGAGGTAAGTTGCCCGGACAGAGTACTCGACCTTCCACCCTAACACGGATGACGCAGACGGGCAGCGCACGCTACAAGGACCTCGAGACCCGGGTCTTCGTCGCCCAGGGCCGGTTCAACGTCGAGAAGGGCAAGCCGACAGTGGTCGAGTACCGCGTCAGCCAGGTCGTTCAAGGTTAGGTAGTCTATAGCCTATCTGACCAGGCATCGTAGCTACACATGCGACTCACAAGCACACAATCGCAAATTTCTGAGGGGGGAAGATCCATTCTCCTCAAACCTTCAGCGTAGCCACTATTATCCATCAATATTTCAACATCAAACATGACAAGATACATCAACACCCTCTTCCCAGAGGCTTATAATAAACCCAGCCGTCTCCCACCTTTCTATCTTCAACCCGACCCACCAAGTAAAGGCCTTGTCTCCCCAACCCGAAACTCACCCTCCTCATCCACCGACAGCCCGGACGGAGCATCACGACCCCAGCGAGAGAACCCAACCCCGCGCCTCACCCCAAACCCACTCCGAGCCCCCCAGCCCGCACCACCACGACGACACCACTTCCTCTGCGCCAACCCACCCCCGACACACCTACAAAACCACACCAAAACCACCCCCAACCCAAACGCAGCCACCGTCCCCACGACAGCCCCCACAGCCGTAAGAAATGTGATCGTGCTAACCTGACACCCGAAGGGCAGTGCACGGAGCTCCCACCGCTCCTTGGGGCCTAGGGGACAGATCCCTGACGAGCCGAAGGGAGCCAGAATAGGGAATCGGGAGGGGTTCGGCACGCAGGTCGAGGACTATGGAGCCATCATGAAGATTCGATTGTTAGTGAATCTGAATTTGCGGAGAAGAATACAAGCTGCAGGTATTTTATTTCGGGTGAAGGCGACGGTGGACTTGAAGCTGCAGTTTATTTGTGCGATGAAGGGGAAGGCAAAATACATGTTGTTATCATGGGAGTGATTGAGTGGCATAGTTGTAGGGTGATACAAGGTTGAGGAGGCAGAGCTTACCACCGCGCACCAGCCACAGGGGAGATCGCCCTGCAGGCAATAGTCACATGACTGGCGGCGCCAGCAGAGGTAGAAGAGGTGGTCGTCGGTGTCGAGGGGGTGCGTTGAGTTGAGGTCCATGGGGGATTATGAGGGGTCTAGAGATGTCTTTGAATTTTTGGAGATGAGCTGGGTTGTTTTTGTGAGTCGTGGTGCGCAAGTTTGATATCATCAGTGCTTTAGCCCGTAGTTGCGGTGTCACCGAATGTAGGTGTAGCGTTTGTGTTTTGTTTTGGGTGGTTGTCGTGCGGGGTTTGATATTTACGTACTCCTGGTTGCGATTTTGGTAGCAAGGTACGGGTGACACCGACCGCTTCTATTTTATAATATGGAGGATTCTTCGTGGGTGGTTTGCTTGAGATCGATCTTTTTGATGGAGGATTAGCTTGTGTTTGCTTCACTGTGAAAATCTCATGTGGTTTATTGTTGAGTATTGAGTTGAAAAGGTCGATAATTGAGGTTGAAAACATAAGTATACCATAGAATTCCGAATATAATTCAAAAATTAAAGTGGTCATCCAGATGATCTATTTTGACGAGGAAATAATAATATGGAAATAAAATGGTAGGAGCCCGGCGCTTTTGCTAGGAAATGCTATGGTAGACACACCCCGTCGATGCAATCCGATCGTAAATACATCGCATTAAACCACACGCTTGACCTGTAGACCGCAAGCCATTGTTAGAGAGCTTCAACAACGACTGACTCCAGAGTTGACCTACCTCGAAGAATCTCTTCAACCACCAAACCTGGAAGATACCCTCGCCGATCAGCACAGCCAGCTGGAAGATACTCCACCACTTCACCCGGGCATTGGTGCTCTCGGCGGTGTTCCGGTGTACCCGTTCTCTCACGACAATATACGACTGCTCGTCCTTGACTTGAGCGAGAGCCTCAGACAATTTGCGGACTGCAACGGCGGGTTAGTTGGCACACGGGGAAGAACCCTCCGACGGGCGAGCTGAGCGATGGTTCCTACCTTCGGCCTCCAGAGGGTCCTGCGCCATCTCATGTTCCGGAACATACACAATGCCATGGACGTTGAAGGACACCTCCTTCGAGTTGGAGGACCAGCCCTCGTTGCTGAAGCAGTAAACGTATTTTCCGTCCGCGTGGGCGTTGAACGAGTAGTCCTCCGACGAGATGGCGTGCTTGTAGTACTGGCGGTTGTTCAGGGGGTCCTCGACCTAGTATTCGCAGAGGGAATCGTCAGCATTGGTTCGATGATACAGACGATATTCACTCCGCAGGCGTCCAGAAGTCTTCTCAACAAGAACAAAGGGCTATTTGTCCCCGGGGACGACAATACTCTCGCTGGCCAAGGGTGACGGAGGCATCATACCCAGAAATCGATCTCCAGGTTGCCACTGCCACCAAACTCCCGGTCGCCAACCTGAAACGTGACCGTCATCTTATCATCCTTGTGCAGCGACTCGTGGAAGCATTCTCGGGAGTGAGCCTTGAGCTGGATGTTGTGTGCGGCCACGGCGCTGATCCAGCTCAGCGCGGTGATTAACAGGGTCGTCGCGGAGAATCGCATGGTCGGCGAGTTCGTTCTTCTGATATTTTCCACCGATAACGAGAGTCCCTATGAGAAGATTTCAAGCCCTCGAGCAGGGAAGAGTAGACTTTCGTGGAGAGGGTTGGAGCGTGGGTTTGTCGGCGTCGTAGTAGTTGGGCTCCGGGACGCGCAAGGTGGTCTCTGCTGTGCTGGGAATTCAAGACGCTCGGACCACCCCACACCCTTCCGGCACTAGTCCCTTGGGAGTCTATATAAGTTTCGTGTGCTGCATTCTGTGCACTCGACTTCACAGATCCATATCATCTGAGTCTTCCTTTCGTTGATGAAGGATCTCAGCGCGCTCAAAAATAGCCCTTTCAAACTTACATTGTTTGATGCTCATGGATCAAGTGTTGACCAACTGACCCTTTGTTCAGATACGGATAGACAAGCTGTTATGCATGTTTTGATTGAGGACGGGTGAAACAACTAACTGCCAAATAGATTATCTGGAGAACTTGTCAACATGGCTTAGCTTCGGCTTATCCCGCGGTGTCATATAGGATGGAAGCTTTTCTAACAGATCAAAGTTGCGATATGCAGGCACAAGCGGGCCTTGCTATCACAGAGCCATTTTCAACCCTTGTCGCTGCCTCCGCAATTCAGGCAAAGACAAATTATTTTACAATCCAACCTCGTCTTTCAACATGTCTTCATACATGATATATGATGGGCTCACCGGTTTCCGCTCTGATCATTCTTGCTAGGCCGAGTATATGCCGAATTCACACCGCCGCTGTTAGGATACGAAGATGATTTTCTTCTCTCCACCCTGAGCTCTGTAGGTTTTCCAGCAGCTGATATACTGTCCTGAGCGACATCGCTACGCGGCCGGAAGTGTACCATGCTCATTTTATGGAACTCAATTCCTCCAGCTGGGCCTCTGAAACTTCCAAACCCTCTCGGAAATCGAGACTTTCTCGAAATTTTTGTCTCCCCCGCAAGGGATGCAACAACTCAACCACATGGTAGGGAGGGAGCCCCTGCGGTAGCAATGAGCTCTACGATAAGTTCCAAAGCCACTTTCCTCCGGGACAAGCGGAATCGGTCATCGCAGGCGACTAATAAAGCCCACCAACTTTGCGCAGAGCCTGATGGACCTATGATATCAATTTGCGGTAGAGATCGAGCAAAGGTGTGGATGACAAACTGATCGTTGCGGGATTTCTTTTGCAGTTCATTTCGGCCTTCCAGAATGCCTCGACTGTATCCAAATAAACTCCGTCCAAGGTTCATGGCAATGTGTGTGCGCGTTCGAGATGCTTGTGGTGACATCACTTGAGGGTGAGAAGACCCTCCGTATATTGTGGTTGAGCCAATGCGGAACCGCGATTGATTCGGTTGTCCACGTTCTTGGCCCTTCGGCAAGACATTGAAAGAATCGTCGAAGGCAACATCCGACTGACATCCGAGGGCAACGATTGTTGGCATTGGTTGTGAAGTGTTGATGAAACCGCCGTGTCATACTCAACTCCAAATGTTCCAGGCGGGAGTAAAGATCGTGAGTTCACTTTGAGTATCGAATCAGAAGTTTGACAAGTAGAACCGACTGTTCTCAAGGGGTGTGGTACTGAAAACGTAAGACAACATAATTGCATCACTTTCAAGTGGGGGAGTGAATAGATTCAGTCGTGTATATCTCCTCTGAAAGGATGCGGATCCAAGTCTAGACCCTGTGTGTGGTGGCGAATCGTCGAGGCTACAGCCGAAGAACCCCCAAGAATAGGGCGCAAGGGCGTCCAGGGATCAACGGGCGCTTGGCGGCTTTGAGTAAGGCTCGCGGGGCCCCCGAATCAGCAAGCGGACCCTGTCCATCCTCCGGGCTCCCGGGGAACTTCCCCAGTAACTTTTACCTATTTGCCCTCACAGTCAATGTACTTGTAGTGGAATCGGGTGCCACTTCCACCCCCCTCACACAAGCCCTGAGAGGACTGCAAGTAGCCGGAAAGACCGAGACTCACCATCGTCATTGGTGGTAGTTGACCCTGCTCTCTGCTCCTCATTGGAGGTTCGGTGCAATGTGAACGCATGAATTTACCTACCTACCACCCAGGGGTCTGCTCTTGACACTGATCCATTCATCCATCCCACATCGGACTGCTCCACTTACCTGTCTCTTCTTGCCTGACGTACTGCACTGCACGGAGTTCCTGTTCTTTTAATACTCTTGTCCATCCCTCCCTCCTTTGGTCCTTCCCCCCTCTTCAATCTCTTGCTATTTGTGTCCGGCGCTCATTCTTTTTATAGACTCTCTCCTTTTTTTTTCTCGTCCTGCTTCTTTGCAGAAAAAGTAGAAGAAGACTTTATTCCTGTTTTCCTGCACATTCATCTTGGTCTTTCACTTTACAACCACTCTTCCTCTCGAGATCTTGATAGGGAATTGCAAGGCTTTCTTCCTTCTCCAGGCAACCAGCCATTCTAGTTGACAATGCGTATCGTTAACTTCCTGCCTGCCTTGCTGGCAACCGTCCCTGCTGTTGCCGCTACCAAAGGCACTCTGGGGCTTGCACTAGGCAACAAGAACGCGGACGGCAGCTGCAAAGCTACGGGTGACTACGAGGCTGATTTCGAGGTCCTGAAGGGTGTTTCGAACATCGTCCGTACCTACTCCGCTAGCGACTGCAACACTGCCCAGAACATCATTCCGGCCGCAAAGGCTAAGGGATTCCAGGTCGTCTTGGGTGTTTGGTGCGTGTTAATAACTTTGGATCCCTGATTTTTGCTTTGGTTAGTTGCTAACTACAAGCTCAACCAGGGCCGATTACACCGACTCTTTCAACAAGGACTTCGATGCCCTCAAGCAGTTTGTTCCTGGCAATGAGAATGTCGTCAGCGCCATCACCGTTGGCTCTGAAGCTCTTTACCGCAAGAGTCTCACGGCCCAGCAGCTTTTGAACCTGATCCAACAAGTGCAGGCTCAATTCCCCAAGGTGGCTGTGGGCACCGTGGATAGTTGGAACAAGTTCGCAGATGGCACTGCTGACCCCATCATCCAAGGCGGTGTTACCTACTTGTAAGCAACTCCATTTGTGATCCCTCCATGAGAAGATGTTATTGAGGCTGACCATTATTCCTAGCTTGGCCAATGGTTTTGCTTACTGGCAGGATGTTTCTATCAACGATGCCCATAATGTCTACTTCGATGATGTCACGCAGGCCAAGAATCACATCTTGCAGGTCGCTGGCTCGAATGCTAGCAAGATTCGCTTCGGCAACGGCGAGACTGGCTGGCCGACCGGTAAGTCACCTGGATGATTGATGACTCTGGGGCACACCTCGCTAATAAAGCGTAGATGGAGGATCCAACTATGGCAGTCACTCTGTTGCCGGCACCAAGAATGCCGAGCAGTTTTATCAGACTTCTGTTTGTCCTATGCTGGCTTCGGGAGTCGATGTCTTCTACTTCGAGGCTTTTGATGAAACCTGGAAGCCCAACAGTGTTGGAGACAACGGCCAGTCGATGGATGAGAAGCACTGGGGTCTCTTTACTGCTGATGGCAAGCCCAAGTTCAACATAAACTGCCCGAACTAGACGATTAACGTGTTCGGAGTGGCACGACGACGCTGACCGGCTTCTTTGTCTCTTATTTTCCCCTTGGCCCATCAGTTGTAACATTTGTTCCACATGTCCTATATTTCATTCTTTTGAGTCGCTGAAAGCACGGGCCTCGAGCGACGGCTTGTCCTTAGATTGCTCTGTCACCACGAGGGAGGGTTTATCCGAATCTTAAGCTTTCAGCAATAGCCGTAATTTCAATGCAGGAACAAATCTTAATTCGAGTGCAAAGTCTGGCAGTTACGATCTTCGCAGTGGTGCACAAACATACTGTATATGAGTGGTTTAGTGTTGTCTCGATGAAGTTGTGCTTTTTTGGATAAGCAGCATTGATTAATTGCCGGGCTCTTGGCTGTCTCTGGGGGCGGGCAGGGCCCGAGTAAGACTGCCGAACTGGAATGTTGATGAGGCCACAGCCATTTCACCCGCCAGCGTGAGTGTGCACTGCAGGCAAGTCACGGGCAGCCGAGGAACCGTGGTTCGCTACGGTGGTAGGCTAGTAGCGCAGCTTTACCCCTGAATCGGGCCACGAACCGCGGCGCGACTTTGTTTATGGGGGAAAATTAATTGCTGGAAGCCTGGAAGGTTGGGAAGAGCCAACACATCGAATAGTGCACATTAACTACCTCAAGGACGGCATTATCGGTCGCTGTTGATCGCGCAAGTATGCGGGTCTCTATGGCACTATGCTGAGACAGTAGTTGCATACTGGAGGCAGGCCAGTATGAGAGATGTCCAGCCATCCAGGATAAAATGCTGTAGACATCCTTACTGAGGGAATAGTGAGTGAGGGAATTATCTCCTTGAGGTCCTCCACGTCAATGGCGGTCAAACACCATGATGGAGGATGGATGGATGTGTTGGCCAACTGCTATTCAATGCTAAGGAGAACCACTAAACCAGAACAAGACAGAAGGCCACCACTAAAAGAACTTCTGCTCATCATCGGGGTTACCGTACCTTACCACTTTTTACCACCTTCACAGTTGTTACAACCGTATGAAAGACTGGATGGAATTCACTGCAGGTTCCCCCTACAGCCTTATCAAGAGCTGCAGGAATTTCCGTTCGCTGTGTTCTTCATATGACTGGCGCCGAACGAAATCATAAGAAAAAAAAAAAAAAAAAAGAGAGTTTCAAAACACAGTGAAAGAGAAGCGGGAAAGAAATCCCAAAGCCTGGCCGAGATGAGAAGGTTTCCCTCCAAGGAACGAGGAAGCTATTGACTAGTACAGATGGAGGTAAATCACCACCACCAGTCCATCTGAATGAATCGCTCTCCGTCGTCCGGCTTCACGCCAATCCGGTGTTTTTCTCCCGCCTCATCATCTTTTTTTCCCTTTCCCCCCCCAACCTCTAATCCAGCTGTTCTTTTTGTGTATGCGCCATGTTCCAATCGCTCGCATACCTGAGACCCTCTCTGTAATCCATTGTCTGCTTTCTTTCCCCCTTCGTCCCCCCACATTTCTCTCCCTTCCCTCGGATGTCTGTATTGGCTTGTTCTTCCATTATTGTCGGAACCCACCGCCCCTGAAGATAATTCCCATTCACTCGCGCCAACAACAAAAACAACAACACCAATTCTTCCCATAGGTACGGTCTCGCAAAAGCCACACTCATCCTCCCTCCCCTGTGTTGATCACAGGTTCTCTGTGAGGTAGTGTCAGTCTTAGAGCTTGTTTTCCATGCTCCATCATTCTGGACAATAAGGGGAGCAGCAAGCAATTGCTTGCTGCAGGAGACGAAACGGAAGGTGTGTGATTTCTGTCTCTGTCTCTGTCTGTCTGTCTGCTCGCCTGCAGGTTCTGAGTGGTAGCTTGGCTGCATCAATGCCAACGTCCCACTTCTCCCTCTCTCTCCTCTAAAAATGATTTTCCCCAATGGCGGTGTCGCGCCATCGTCATTTCATGTTCTCGTAGCCACACTACATATGGGTCAGAGGCTAAACGATCAATGCTTTAGTGTCGACAGATCTAGGTCCGTCCGCATCTTCCGCCAATTCGGCGCTTTCTCCGCCGTCGCCGCCGCCATCCACCCAGCCGTTCAATCTCCGGGTTGATTCACTCTTGACTGTCCCATTGACCTCATTTCCCACATCGCCTGGAGCGTCGAACTTCTCGGCCGCTGGTTCCCCTGGCCGGTCGATCTCCCGCAGTGTCACGCCGAATCCCCCGAACTCTCTGCCCGTCCTACCCAAATATCGAGGCGCTTGGGAATCATCGACCTCATCACCGGAGAATCGAAGGGCGGAAAGCAGTGTATACTACACGACCGCCTGGGGCTCGCCGTATGCTGCACCCAGCCCTCGGACAATTTCTTGGTCACTCAGTCAGTCCGCTGTCGCGGTGGATCGAGGTTCTGGAAATAGCTCTCCCACCTCGATGAGCAGTGTTGCCCAGCACGGTCCTGAAACGAATAATCCCGACCTTTTGCGACCTTCTGCCCGAGACAACTCGACCCGACGCCCATATAGCCGTCTGCTGAGCAGGTCCCCGTTCGGTAGAAAAGGCGGAAAATCGATTAAGGATTTCACCCAGGATTGGATCAACCAGTACCTCTCAGGCCAACCCAGAACTGAGCGTGGTAATTGGCTAAGTGACGACTCCGGAAGCGAAGCTCCCTCGTTCTTCACAGCTCAGAACTTCGCGGAAGACACTTCTGACGATTGGCTGGGTCTGGAACAAGACACCCGCGACGAAGACCTCCTTAGAACCCCAACACTCGCCGACTTCGGGAGCCGAAAGACAGCATCTGGTCGCGGAGAAGGTAGCAAGAGGAACAAGGAGTATCTACACAAAAGAACGGATACGTTACGGCAGGAGGATTTCTGGGGTTTCGCCTACGACAAGGACCCCCCGTTGATCACCATGGATTCTACAGAAGCACACACCCCGGCCGGGCCGTCGCAACACCAAACGCCATCCTTGTTGATCGAGAAACCATTACCTCCACCCCCGGTGGACGAGATCAGAGACGCCCCATCCAGTACGGAATGTCATCAAGGATCTTTCGATTCCCAGGCCGTGACAGGCTCGGGATCGGAGCAAAGCCTCGTCCAACCTCCAGTGCAACGACAGAGGAAGAAGATCCTTTGGCGCGGGAAAGCATGCAATATTGCGCTACCGTACGACGACAGGAGAGGTACGGAGGAGTCAGGCTACCGGCTTTTGACCTTTGAGGATGTCGAAGAGCGATTGAGAAGCCTGAATGAACAAGGATACGACACCCGTGGGTTCAGTGTTTGCGCATCGAATGACTTGACGGATTTAGAGCTGGGTGGTTTAAGTTGCCCAATCTTTCCAGACCCTGGAGAGGTGCACGAAGAATTTTTGTCTGGAAAGTATGAGGTTGGGATCCCTAATAAGGCCGATTGGGATGCGTACGTCGCCAACCTTCAGGAGGAGAAATTGCGGGCTTTGGGCGTTTCCCTGGGTGATGACGAGCCCGGACCGTCTATCTCGCCTGCAATGAGCCAGATGGCCTCGTTCCCTGGTCTGGTCTCGTCACCCCCCATTCCAACAGCATCAGCTGCTAGCAATCCGCTGTCTATGTCCCATCACTTCTCTCCGCAACTGAACCAGCCAGGAAATCCTGCAACTGGCCTCGGCTCGCTGGCTTCGCCCGCCTCGCAATTCAGTTTACAGACCCCGTTCTTGGGCGTAGACCAGAACCTGTTACCGCCCTACACGATGCCGTTTCAACCCACTCCGCCAGCTCAGGGCTCTCTCACGCCGCAAAGTTTCTTCAATCCTCGACAGCCTGGTGTCGCCTCAACCATGGCTGGCACGCTGCCTAACCTTAATTCAATCCTGTCGCCTGTGTCGCCTATGAATGAGCAAGGCGCTTTCCACCCCGGCTATAGTAACCCCAGCTTTGGCGACCCCAGCTTTGGTGACCAAACAGGCATGCCAAAGGATACTTACGGCGATCATGATGTACTCGATCATGTTACTGAAGGGCATCTGTTGCGCCCTCTTCGCACGCCTACGGAGAATCTTGATAACTTCCATGCCTCTACCGTTGAGATTGCCCAACCAACGCCGCGCGGTCACAGTCGCGGCCAAAACTTGAGCGAGACACTCCAGAAGGGACTGGACAACTTTGGCCCCACCTATCACTTAGAAGAGTCTTTCGATCGACAACAACTTGATGACGGTGGTCGTGGACAACACCTGGGTCATTTCGATGGCACTGAAATCTTAAAGTCTCGATGGGCTTTTGGAGACAATATCGGAGTCCAGCAGCTACCTCATCACATGCATCAATTCTACGATGGTAACTATTCTGGAGAGGTTGCTCACGAGGGCTCAGACATTGATACCAACCCGAGCCTTTCTGGCACGCCTCGGCACGCACCGCATAACAACAATGTGCCTTGGCACCAGTCCAGACCTAGTGCCGGTTCTTACGTAGGTGGGCACCGTTCAAAGCTTTCCACATCATCTCTCAACGTTGCTGCTCAAGAATTCAAACCAATTGCAGCGGCGTCGTCCCAGCCTCTGCCATTCCAAGAAAACTCCTTCCAATTCCAAGCCGGTGGGGATCCTGTGTTCACGTTTGGCTCGCAATCTGAACTCAAGCCAAGTAATACTGGTTTCGATCTAAATGCTCCCTCCTTTACTCCCGGTGTCCCCAATAATAACACAAAACGAACTACCGGGTCAGGTGAATTCAAGTTTTCCACAGCTTCCCTCAACGTTGCAGCTCCTGCATTCAACCCTGGTGGTAGCACCTACTCTGCGGCACCGGAGAAAACAACGAATGCCCAACCCAAGATATTCAGCGACGTTGACATTTCTCAGGCGTCGTCGAAAGCTTCGAAGAAGTCCAAAGCCATCCCTATCGTACGGCCTGATGACATCAAGGAGGACAAGAGAAGCAAAGATGAGAGCGAACATGATAATGGCAGACCAGGGCGTCCAGACCGTCACAAGCGTGCTCGCCGTGGCGATGAGCTTTCAGAGACTGAAGCTCAGCTTAGTGTGCCTGCTGCGTTAGCAGAGGCGACCAATCTTCAATCTTCTCATATGCGCCACCCGTCCCATGTATCCGCGGAAGGCAAGGAGAATATCGTACCCCAGGCAGAAGGAGCCCCTGCAACGATCCCGAAACCCATCTCAGCCCAAGACGACAAGTCTGCTGAACGGAAAGACACTCCGATTAGCGAAGCTTCTACTTGGATTCCCCAGGAGATGAAGAACGAGAGTGCTGCAGCGCCCGAGTCCGAAGCTGAGATCAAGCACACGGAGCCAGAGCCGCTACATGAAATCCAGGAGACGATTGAGCCAAATACCACCAAGGACCAAGAGCGAACTGTTCCAGAATCTGCCGATAATGACTTGTCATCCGCTGAGCTTAGAGCTTCCGTTCCCCAGCATGTGCTGACCGCTACTGAAACCACGGAGAATCCTGCAAACTCCCGGACCACGCCAAAGCGTGAGCGGTTGTCCGAGCCAGCTCATGTGGAGGATGACGAAGACTCTCCAGACGAGGAAGAGCTTAATGCTGTCATGGAACAGCTGAATGATGATTCAGACGTTGGCATTGAGCGGATAAGCACACCTCAGCCCAATGGCCGTCTACCTGAATCTGTCATGCATGTGACCAAAGAGAAACGCCACGTCCCAGCTGATATCAGAAGCGAGGCCCCGAGCCCAAGCCCAGGACGTGGCCCCGCTCCTCACACCTTGGATGTTCCTAAGCTCGACTTTGAGGCTCAATCCCAATTCTCTGCCTCTCCATCGAAGGGTGTAGTTTCTGGCTTCCACTCGCCAGTGCGTAAACTTTTGAGCCGGACCGAACACATTAGCGACTGGGATGATGTTATTTCTTCGGGAGAAGATGAGAAGTTGGCCAACCGAAGCAGGTTCTTTGATCGTCGGATCAATGATCTCGTTGGTTCGACTATTGACGAACGTCTGACGCCTCTGGAGCGAGCACTAGGGATGATTCAGAATTCTTTAATGGCCATCACATCTGGTTCTCATACCAGACTTTGGAGCGCATCTGCCGACGGTGACAATAGCGATGCTGACGACGAGGAAGATGAATACGAGGAAAATGAATCCTTCAGTACAAGATCCCATATGCGTCAGAGAGAAAAGCTTGACAAGTTGAAGGCTGTCGTTTTAGACGCACTTGCATCCCATGTACCTCAACAAGTTAAGGATGAAGTCACTGCCTCGGAACTTACGCAACTGCGGGAAAGCGTCTCCGCGTTACAAGCCTTGACCATCCAGAAATTGTCGCAGGACCCAGTCTCCGAGCTTAGAGAAATGATGCAAGAGCTGGTCTCATCTCAGCGCGATGTGCCTCCCTCTGATACGGATGAGGTTCCTGCAGAAAGTCTCATGCTCCAGGTTGAAGGCCTGAAGAATATGCTTCGACTCGCTGATGAGCGAGCGAACCAAGAATACAAGATCCGGAGGGAAGCCCAGGACTCTGTTGCAGAGCTCCAGCGGCTCCTTAGGGTTGTTGAAGAAGATGCTGTTCGTCATAGTCATGCTGCAGAAGATGCCGAGGCTCGGCTGCTGTATTTCAAAGCAGAGAAGATCCCTTACTATGAAACTATTCAGCACAAGGCTGAATCGCTTGAAAGTGAGCGTGAAACATTGAATTTCACTCTTAACGAACTCTCGTCGAAGAACATCTCACTTCAGGGCACCCTTGACGAATACCGCGTCATGGCTGACAATTACAAGCGGGACAGCGAGCAGTCTAAGGGTGCTCTCGAGGAGGCCAGAGCGGAGAACAAGAGTCTGCGTGGCATTGTTGAGCAGCTCAAGACGCGCCTCGAGGACGGTTTGAGCATTCGGCAAAACCTGGGCAATAAGCTGGACCAACTCCAAGAGGAGATGGCGACGGTGATTCGAGACGTGACCAAAGATCAATCTTCGTGGCGCCGACGTGAGGAGGCACTCAATGCCCAGTGCAATGAGTTGCGTTCTGCTTATGGGCGAGAATCGAAGCTACGCGAGAAGTTGGAGTATGACATTGAGGGCCTTGAAGAAAAGGAGCGTGAAGCGGCGAAGCTGAAATTCATCTTTGGTCAATCCCAACAGGAGAATGCAAGGCTTGAAGAGCTCGTGGCAAACTTGCGCCTTCAGAACCACGATCTGGAGCTCAAGGCTGCTCGGTTCGAGCGCGAGTTCAATGAGGCACGCGAGAGCAGTCGTGTCGAAATCCAGCGCACCAGGAATTCATTGGAGTCAGATCTGGAGGCCGCTAACAGCCAGGTGAACATCGTTCGGGCTGAGCTGGAAGCGCAGATTCTCCGCCTACAGAGTCAAATGGACAATGTGCGACTCGATAACGACACGGCTCGCGAACGCTACGAGATGTTGTTGGAAGAAGCAGCCGAGACTAAGGTCAATGCCCTGGCAACGGCCGCTCAAGCCCAGGAGCTGGCCGTCGAGGAACAGCGCCGGAACCACGAACGCGTTCTGAACGACCTCCGGGAACGCCACGCCCGCGCTCTACACAACGCTTCGGAGGACAGACAGCGGGGCGAAAGCCATCTGCTAGAACGCTTGGCGCTGTCCGAGGACAAGGCGAACCATCTTCAAGACCGTGTGCAGCATCTAGAAGAGAGACTTCAACTCGCTCAGGAGGCTGCTCGTGCTGCTGCCGAGGCGGCCCAGTCTGCTAAGTCGAGCCCTGTCATCGCTCTGCCAGCACACACCAGCACGCCTTCGATGTCGTACCTCGATGGATCTATGGTTCCCGAGAAGATCTCTCCTCAGGCATTGAGAGAATCAATCTTGGTGCTCCAAGATCAATTGCAGCAGCGTGAAACTCGCATCGAAGAGCTCGAGCAAGAGATCTCCACTGTCGACAAGGACGCACCGAACAAAGTCAAGGAGAGGGATACTGAAATCGCCTGGCTGCGTGAGCTGCTTGGTGTCCGGATAGACGATCTTCAGGACGTCATCAACATCGTGTCGCAGCCATCCTTCAATCAGAATGCTGTCCGCGACGCTGCAATCCGCCTGAAAGCTAATCTGCAAATGCAGCAACAGGAGAGAGAAAGGATGCATTCTGGACAGGCTTTCCCGAGTATTCCTTCGCTTGCGGAACTGACTGCATCCCCGCGCTCTCTTCCACTTGCAGCAGCAGCAGCGTGGGGCAACTGGCGCAAGGGGAGAGAAAACGTCAGCTCTGAACAGACCCCCTCCAAACAAGGAGGTGCAAGTGGGTTCCTCTCAGGACTTTTGACACCTCCGGCCAGCAATCTTCGTCAGGGTCCTCCCAGTTCTAGTAGCTCAGCGGCAGCGAACGGACGGCGCCCATCAGAGGCTCGACCCTTGAGAAACTACAACACGACGCCCAAGCAGTCGAATACGCGTACCAGCCGAATGCGTGAGCTTCCCAGTACTCCGCCTCTTCTTCGTCGATCGAGCTACGATCATGACGCCGAGCCGACCGATTATGCTCACAGCTCTTTCCACGAAGATGCAGAGAGCACGGCCGACGGCTTAGTATCTGCGTCGCCGCGCGAGACGACCGACGGGCCTTTCGGACCACAGATTACGTCTCCAACATCGTCTTAGACTGTCCATATCCTCCCTCGCGGGTCCTCCCTATTTCATGTTAATAGATAATTCCGAAACCTCTTCTTGCTTTAGACAAGCGGACGTTGCGTACTGACTTGTTATATCATGATGCATCCTTCACTCTCCTTTTGGCCATTCATATCCATCCATGTGTTTTTATCCTGTGCGTGCGCTTTGCATTTGTGCTCGTCCGTCTGGCTCTTTTACCCTTCGAGGCGGGAATACCTTTCATGACCTTCCTTTTCATCATTCGTTTATTATACCATATCCAAGTGTTTTCTATCATTTTATTTTATCTTCCATGCGTCCGAACTCAACTGGATACCACAAACCACCCATTCTTGATATCTTTGCTGCAATTATGTATGTACTGTACACCAGGTTATTTTTGCGCTTCACTATTTTGAGTTCAGAATCTGAGATCTATCGATTGAGGCAAGTTCGAATCTTCTTTCTGTACAAGTCGGTAGCTTTGGTAGTGTTGTTCTCCATGAGAATGGATGCGCTGCATTTGGTGACTTGCGATTGAGATAGGCTTTGAGTGTCCTGGTTGTTTGATTGGCCGACGATTAACGCCTTCCAGAAAAGTCCATAGGATGAGTGGCGTCATCGACTTCTTCATGTCACATACAGACATACATTATGATGAGCTGAAGAATCTGGATATGCACAGACGGTTTTCTGTCGTTGCATCCATCAAGAAGTACGAAGTAGAAGATCTAAACTCTATGTATGTTAAGAGACAATGACCTCATTCATCATTAAACTTATCACCAGGAGGTGTAGACTTCTATCTAGCCTGACCAGTCTAGGTACTAACTAACAGTATTAAGGTTGTATATTATAGTTGAAGTGTGTGGTGGGATACATTGATGTAGGTAGGTGTGTGTTTGTTGCATGCGAAATGCCTTGGCAGTTTGTCCGTTTCACGCTTGCTTGTGCTTTTCCTTGTCGACACGCTTTTGTTATAACCTCAATTCGAAGCAAGGAAACTTTCGTGCTTCTCCGATTTCGTGAAGAGTGAAGGGTAGATGGGAGATCAACCTCCCCATCCCCTCCCTCCCCAGCCCAATCTTCTAGATCCGCCACTCGAGGATTTGTCTCGGGGAGGTCGTGATCGCTGTTATCGCGTATCTCCACTCCTTGGCCTCGTCTTGGCCGCGGGAAGAATCCACGCGGAGATCTTGAATGTCCTCGTCTGTGATGTCGAGGAGGAGAGACCATGTTGGAATGGTGGTTTTGCTTATGTGGGGATACTTTTGCGTTGGGTTTGTTTGGTCATGGGGCCATGAGGAATAGGAGGATGGTTGGGGGTGGTCATCGTGCATGAGGCTGTAGATGTAGACGGCGCCTCCTGCTGCGATACGGGAGTAATGGCCTGAGCCTGGCTCGTAGATGCACATTACTTTTGCGTCGGGGGAAACTGTCACGAGTGGGGAGTTGATGGTACCGGCCGCGGTGGGGAGGTTGGCGGTGTTCCATCTTGAGGTCGTTGCGGAGTGGAGGGTCGTGGTTTTGTGGTGGGCGTCTGTTGTTTGGAAGGTGGGGTTGGTTTGTTGGGTCGTTGTGTTGGGTTTGGAGGCCGGGGATGTCGTTGTGCTGGGTGGCGAAGTGGAGGTGATGGGGATGGTGAAAGGGGTGATCTGGGGGAGTGTGTTGTCGGGTTCGGGACAGTAGTTGTCTCTGCTTGGGAGGATGCGCGTGATGGTTATCCCCTGGGCGAAGGCTGGGGTCGTCGTGACCTCACCGATGCAGTAGCCGCTTGTCGCTTTGGTGCCTATTTGGAGGAGGGCCGTGAACTTGCGACTGGGTTGGTGACAGTGCTCGTTGCCGGGGCTCCGAGGCAGCAGGCGGAGGCCGCGGAGAAGGACTTTCTCGCCGCCGTCTCCGCCGGCCAGGGTCGCTGCCATCGAGACCGAGTCGACGTAGACTTGGCTGATGTTGGCGCGCCAGTATGCGAGAGAGGCGGAGGAAGGGGTTTGGTTGCGCGCTGGATTGCCCAGGTATCGCACGCGAGTCGGTTGGTAGGTGGTGGTTTCCTGGCCGATGGTCACGCGGAGCAGAGTGTCGTCTTCATCCGCGAATTCGAGGGACTCGATCATGCCGTTCGTTTCCTCGTAGCTGGTTGGTACCGGGTTGACGAAACTGTCCTCCTGGTTCAGAGTGTACTGGGCAGGCGATGAGAGGCCGTCCGAGTCCCCGAGGAGGCTATAGATCTGGATCGTCTTGTCCAGCCCGACGGCGAGCAAGTGTCCGCTGGATGAGAGCGCGATGTGGTGTTTAGCATGTTGTGATAGGCCTCCTATACCTCCGCCGAGTACGGCAGTGCAGACAGAGGTCCATAGGGAATACAGTGGTGCGGACCGAACAAGTTCCCAAGGACAATGCACACCTGGACGGCTATACAACAATGCTCGTGCCCCTTTCAGAACCACAAGCTTCCGACCGTCGCGAGAGGTGTCGTATATCGTGCAATGGGAACATTCCTGGGGAAGCTCACATCTGGATTCCGTCTTCTGGATGCCCGTATGGTAGCCCAGTAAGTTGTGACGAACAACTTGAGTGAAGTAGGCATTCCACTCTTTGTTGGCGAGAAGCTCCGTCCGTGGGGGCAGCGAAACTGGGACTTGCTGAAGGATGTTTCGGATGATAGACGAGGCCGAGGCTGCGATTCTCCATTTCCGACATGTTGACCGAACAGCGATGTAGTCTTCCACATCGAGGTAATCGAGAATGCAGTAGATAAGTTCAATTGGTAGATTTGCAGCCATTTTGTGCTGAGGGAAAATTAACGTTGACGAGGGTCACATCTTCGCATTCGAGAGGATTCCTCCACATGTTGCCAGGCGAGACACCACCTTATATAGAATGCTCGGAAAACCGGCTTGATTTGAAAACATATGGTTCGACCTGGCAGGGATAGTCACCGATAAGGCACTTACGGATGACAGTCCCCCTTTGGTGCGACATGGTGAAGTAGCCTATGGTCTGTGCGTCATCAGGCACGAGGAGAGAAGATGATGTTAAAAATGGCCGATATGAGAAAAAAGTATGTGATGATCCACCGGAGATGATCGACTCGGAAGACACCCAACACGGGCCGACCGGGAAACAACAGGCAATCGACCCTGGGATTCAAGCTCTGGCCAACGTCAACCGGCCGAAGGACGGGTATCGGTCTGGACTGAGGGTATCAGTGGCGTGACTGTGAACGCACGATGGGTAAGGCTTCCCATCGGATGATTCCCCATCAGAAAGTTCCACTGGCCATTGGTTGGGAACAGTCGTGTGTGACAAAATGATGATGATGGTTTCTACAGCCGCAAAGTTGGTCTGTCGTACATGCCGGGATAGCCCCTTCGTTGCATCGGTGAACATATGTAGTTGTGAAAACCCGGTAATGGTATTATGTCACTCGGTATAATTAACCTTTTGGCTAGAATTCCTTAGATAGCTAAATGTCGCCCCTTCCTGGAGGCTGGTGAATTTAAGATGATAGATACCAAAGCGATGCAACCAGCCAGACGGAGATAAGTATGTGCTGATCGGGATGGTGGTACGTTGGAGTATAATTGATGCCAGTATACCCTGGAAGCCCTGCGCTGCCTGTTCCAGAGGCGCGCGTGCGGGATAGTTTGAGCTGCAATCCGGCATGGTCGATCACGGCGGAGGCCCGGATTTATTTCGGTCGAGACTCGATGAAGAGCTGCCACTTTCTGCAGGGAGCGTGCACAACATCAAGGGCCGAATGATACTGACGGCTCCGGTTGTGTAACCTACAATTCCCCAAGAAGATCGTAGATAATTGTAAAAGTCCCTGAGTTGTCTGCCGCTCAGATGATGATATTCTTCTCTCTCTGGTAGAGATCCTTGAGTAATTTCAACTGATGGACAGCCATACTCTGTCGAGGAAGATTTTTGGGAAGGTCGACGATCGCTAACCGCATCATGGCTAATCCAATATGTCCAAAGAAACCGACGACTCGCTCGGCAGATGTCTTGAGCATGGCAGTCAGAAGGGTAATATGAGTATCCTGGATCTCATCGGCGGGGATGGACAAGATCTTGTGCATAGATTGCCAGAACATAGTGTTGGGGAATGGGTTTCTGCGCGTCGTTTTCCCGAAGTTGCGCAAAGTCAAGGCAGCATATCCGGCGCCGAGGGCAGTCATCCGTTCTGCATGGTTCTGCTCGCCAATCCAAGGCCCGTCCGGCCCATCCCGCTGCCAACCCACGGCACGCCGGCCACCTTCGGTCTTCTCGTCGCCGCAAAATCCCCACAGCGCTGGGCAGCAGACCCGATATTTAGCCAATAGAATGTCAATCATGTGGTGGCCCTTATAGACGAAAGCATCTAGTGAAAAGATCTGTGCGGCCACAATGCCGATCGGCTCCGCATGTCCGATATTGATACCAGCTTCTTGAAGGAGTCCAGAAATCAGGGCCTTGGAAAAGATGTTGAGAGCGTAAACTAGGAGAGCGGGAACTTTGTTATCGTCGGAATTGGCGATGCTCTCCGGAGGGAAGGCGAAGAATTGGCGAATATCCACCGATGGCTCGGCGATGGCAGATGCCTTCTCGAGCGTGGCCCGGATTTCCTGAATCTGAACAGAAAACAATATGGTCAGCTTGTTATCCTTGAACGGTAGGGAGTAGATAAGTACCTGTGCTTTGTTTGCTCCTTTGGTTCCACGAAGCTGTCCAATGCACTTCTTAATGGATCGCCGGATATCGCCCATATTTTGTTTCACGATCGCATTCGTCTTGCTTTCGTCTTTGAGGTATTGGCGGAATTTCTTCAGGTGCTGGTGGAGTTCGACGTAGCGGGCGTGAACTTTGGCCTCATCTTCAGTTAAGCGGCCTCCGCCGACCCGCCGTTGCCTTTCTGCTTGGGCCTTCTGTGCATCTGCTGCCCGGCGGTCTGCGGCCTCTTGCTCCGCTTTCCTTGCCTCTTCTTGCTTCTTGCGCTCCTCTTCCGCGCGTCGTTCCCGTTCCTTGCGCTCCTGTTCTTCTTGAGCCGCTCGCTTCTGCCGCTCTGCCTCTTCCTCTGCCTTCTTCCGAGCTTCCTCGGCAGCCTTGCGCTCGGCTTCTCGCCGTGCGGCCTCCTCTTGTTCCCGTCGTAACTTTTCTAGTCTCTCCCTCTCTTGGCGTTCCGCCTCTCTTCGGGCTTCCTCCTGCTTCCGGCGAATCTCCTCTTCCACTGCTCTCTGATGTGCACGTAATGTTTCTTCGGCTTCTTCCAACACCTGTTCATGCAATTGAGCTACTTTGTCAAGGGCCGCATTGTGTTGGGCTTCGCGTTCGCTATCCAAGCGGTCGAGATTCTCGTAGAAGGAACGACGTTCGTAAGCTTTGACTTTTTTGAGCTCATTATTGTGGATCTTGAGTTGTTCGAGGTCGCGCGTGAGGTCAAGAAGGAGCTGCCGTGAAGGGCTGTCCGCTTGGGAGGGATAACTCAGCCGTCCCATTTTGTGGCTTTACGAGTCAATATTCGGTACGGTCGTCCGTGAGAGCGGTGGTGCTTCGAAGGGGAGCTTGAGAGCAGCAAGTGACCTCCGTCTCAGAAACTAGGTCGACCAGATGGGCTTCCCAACTCGGGATGACGAGTTTAGGTGATATTACCACAGCGTCAATGTGAGAATTGGTAAAGGAGCGTATAGGGCGAGTATAGAGACACCGGACACTCTTGAGGGTTCTGGGCCTAAGCATGACAGAAAATTGACCATTAGCAAGATATCTCGCGCCGAGGTTCAATACCGAATAGTTCGACTTACTACCGCTGGCAGAGGACGTTTTTCACCCAAGTATGCGGATTCAAGCTTTTTCGAAGCCTTCCGTCCAGTCAATTGACGTCTGTAGTGAGCGAAATCTCGGCATAAACAGCCAGAGAAGAAGCAAACAAAGGAATGGAGGTTGCCGGTGCAATGGCTGCAGTGGGTACTACGAGCCTCTTGACTTCGGAACGTTTTGCGGGAAGAACAGAGCTCCGGCGCTGAGTCATGATGATTTCCGCCGGGGATTGAAAGGAATGCAAACCCGGCAAACAAAGCAAAACCACCCACCCCGTTTAGATGGGTCGACGGGAGGCGGCTGCTACTGCACCAGACCGCCTGGCTAGACATGGATCGTTGCCGCCCACTGGCTCGCTCACCCCAATCCATTCAATCCTCGGTCGGAAATTCGGAAGCAAACACAGTCTTCATCCCCGGCCGCATCCTCATTATCATGAATTGAACGATAAGGATCTGCATTTAGATCACAACTAATCCTTTCAGGTCAGATGGGAAGCAAGAGACTTGTAAAAGTCTGTTGCCTCCGATATGACTCGCTTCTGACTTCCTCCTTCCAGTCAGTCAGGGTGGACACGCCAACGCCTCCATTTAATCTGTCTCTCACACCCAGTGAGCACCTCATGGGCATGGACTTGTCCAGAGCCCCGCCTGTTTCGCTTTGTGGACCTCCAACCTGCTCACCATTGGACCCGTTGATTCATCGCGGAGCAGCGTATCGATACCGCTAAATACTTCACACCTACTGAGTAAGACACCCAAGAACACCAACCAACATCAATGTGGAGGATGTCCGCTCAAGGATGGCCAAGGGAGGACGGACCCCAATTCCAGACGAGCTGGTAACCCAGTTATGCTCAGCTGGCTCTCGTCATCATGCTATTGTCTTACTATCCATGCAGCATGCGAACCGAGACGTGGTTAAAGTATACTATCCGGGGTTCACCAAGCAACTCCCACATGCTAGATGCAGGTAGCCCTATTCTTGATGTGCCTAAAAGTTAAGATAGGTCTTAGTTAGTGACCGTGACCTGGTGACTTGAGACTAGACTTGACTACTGGGAAAGAGAGAGACGGATTGTGGTGAAAAACCTAGTCTAGCTTACCGCCATACCGCGCACTAAATCCCCTATCCCCAAGTTCCCATAGGTTCCCAAGTCTGGATTAGGCGCCGCTATTCACGTAGTGGATCACCTCCGAAAAGTGAGAACTCAGTGATGATGATGATGATGATGATGATGATGATGATGCTGTGTGACAGAAATCAAATCCCTGCGGTACGGGATGGATGTCGCTCCTGAGCACCCATTAGATCAAGGGTTCTGGTAGAGATAATGTAGTCGTACATTACTTACTTAGTAGTACTGGAGTGGCAAGGAAGTGACAGGCCGAGAACTAGAGCTGTGATGGAACCGGACCCTGTCGAGCTCCAAGTATGGTAACTTTGGTTTAGTGACAAGTTAAGCCCATCACTGATCGGATGCTGCTGTGGCTTCACAGGCATGTCGGAGCTACTTCGTAGGAGACGGTCAAGTGAAATACTGTACATATTCTCATCGACCCTGAGCAAATGAGTTCATCTCAACAAAATTTTTTCAGAATGTCTATCCAACTAGTGATTTATGGATCCTCCTCCCCACATCTATCTAGCATTGTTGCGACATCATGGATTATACCTCTGGACTCGGGTGAGGCCGTTTTCCTTTGGAACATGAGATCTTCTTACATATTGACTTTGCAATAGTAATCCTGATGTGACTCCGATTCACTTTTTGTTTCGGGATTGGTTGTGGGATCCTTACAGGGTCTGCAACTTGATCAGGTTATGATTACATGCTGCTGGTCGCATGCTGCCTGCTATTATTCGTACTAATAGCGACACTAAACGGATCTTCCTTCGCTCTCTTTCTCCTCACCCTTCTCTTTTCTTCATCTACACCTCCTCCTCCTCCCCCTCCCCCACTCCCCCCAATCTTCTTTTCACTACTTAGTACTTTGTCTTCTTTTTTTTTATTTCCCTCTTCTAATCTTCTTCCTCTGATCAACTTTTCCCCCCCTCCCTCCTTTCTCCCCCACCCCTCTCTCCCTCTTTAGTCTGGCCTGTCCTGATCATTCCTTCAGGTTATCCACCCGTGCCTCTAGTGGTATCATTGATCGCCTTGGCTTATCTGTCATTCTCTCTCTGTCAGATAGAACCACCTCGCCGTGTGCTCGTCGATTTTGCTGAGGTGGATCTGAGAACTTCAAGTTCGGAACAACAAGACCGTTCTTGTGCAATTTGCCTCCTTGTCGCCAGAAAAGACGTCAGCTCTACAGCAGTGTGGTGCACGATACACTCGGGTTGCCCCCCCCCC